AGTTATAGCAGTTTAAAAATCAAAAAGAATAGCTCTGATTTCTTACCTTATATAACTTTTTTCTTAATATTAAAAAGCCCGAAACAATGAAAAAAAAAAAAAAATTTTTTTTTTTTTTTTTTTTTTTTTAGAAATGGTTTAAGTTAAATGATGTCATCATTTTTTAATAAAATTAGAAAAAATTTTTTTTTGGGCGGAAACAAATTATAATTGGAAAACTAATACCAAAACATTTTTTTGTATATAAAAATCAATACTTAATAAATTGAGACTAACTTCAATATTTATTGTTATCAAATTTTAGCCAAATGGCTAAAAATAAAAAAGAATAATTGAAGGAATTTTTTTTTTTTTTTCGCTAAAAATTTCATAAAATTTGTTATTGTTTTTTTATTGTTGTACGAATTAAATTAACCATTAAAAAATTAGTCAAAAAGAGTAAAATTATGTGACAAACAATTTTCTCAATTAAAATTTATCAAACCTACTCCGGTTATATATAACATAACTATTACAATACAACATAACGATAATAATACAACTTTTATATAACATAACTATTATAATACAACTATACAACTATACACAACTATACACAACTAACTATACACAACTTATACACAACTTATACACAATTATATAACGCAGCTACAGTATATACACAACGGTTTTTTTTTTTTTTTTAAAAAAAAAAAAAAAAATTTAAAATTAAATACACAACATATTAAAATTATAATTTATTGGTAAAAATAAAATAATTTTCATTTCCAAAATAAGATTCTTTAAAAAAATATTCCTCGAATAAAACAAATTTATTATATTTATTATGTATGTTTATAGTAATTATAGCAACAAATTAAAATCAATTTTGATGTTTCAAAATTTGAATATTTTAAAATATTTTTTTGAAATAACCAATATATTGAATATATTAAATATCGAATATATTGAATATTGAATATATTGAATATATTTAGCATTTTGAGTATATTGAGTATTTTGAGTATATTGAGTATTTTGAGTATATTGAGTATTTTGAGTATTTTGGGTATTTTGAATATCCAGTCAAATCATTTTCCAAAAAGTATTCTTCATTTGCTTCGAAATCAATAATATAAACCTGTTAAAAAACAGGTTATTATTATTTATTATAACCGTAGATTAAAAAAATTAACACATTTTATGAAACATAGTAAACATGAACAACAAAATATTAATTATTAATAAACATGAATAACGAACCATTTTTTTAAATTATTATTAAATATGAATAAAGTCTTTATTGGAGAAAAAAAAATTAATCCCAGATCAATTCAATTTATGTAAATGATAAAAAAAAAATATACAATTTATATACGAAAATAAAAATATGAAAAAAAAATGTATGTATAAAAAATGAAATAAAAAAAAAAAGAAGAAAAATAAAGGAAAAAGAAGAAAAATACAGAAGAAAAAAAAAAAAAAAGATTTATTTTATATATTACAGATTTTGCTTTTGCCAAAAAAGAATACGAAATACGAAAAAGAATTTACAAATAAACTTGAAAATCGTGAAATAATCTTAAAACTTATTACAATATATATATATATATATATATATAATTCGAAAGGGAGAAAATGAAAAAATCTATATATTAACAAGAAGAGAAATCATAAAAAAAAAAAGAAATTAAAATTCGACGTATTATAAATTTCTATATCGTAAATTTTTAACGAAAATCTTATTTCTAAAGTAAATAATGTTGGTTATTATTGATCGCGTTTTGGTTATCCTCGTACGAAATAAATTGTTGTGGATATTCGGGATATCCATTATTTAAATTAAAATTGTTATAATTATCAAAATATATCAAAAGATCTAATGGATTATTAAAAGGTGATGGTAATTCATTAGAAGCTTCTGATACACATTGTGGAAATAAATCTGGTGATTCGACAAATTCCGGCATTGGTGACGATGAAGATGATGAATATGATGATAATGAAGAAGACCCGGGTGAAAGCAATTGAGGTGAAGCTAATTGTGGGGGAGATGGAAGTAATTGTGGTGAAAGTATTTGTGGTGAAAGTATTTGTGGTGTAATTTTTTGTTCTGTACCATTATTATTATTATTATTATTATTGTTATTTGAATTTATCAAATTTGTTGAGTTTTCTATTGAATCATTATTATCATCATTATTCGTCGTATCTCCTAGAAAATTGGTTACACTAAAAGTATTTAACATTGAACTATCAACAACTACACTATTCTCGCTAAAAACGTGCGATTTAAATATTTGTCTTTTCTTTGGCTGAAATCTATAACCGGGATATAATTCTTGATGAAGTATTACTGCTTGCAATGCGAGGATATCATAGCGTTCTTTAACTTCCGCGGAGATGTTGGTCCATAATTGTTTGCTTTGACGACATATGTCTGGCATTGCGTATCTGTAACCTAACTTTCTTAGTTCAAGCATATAACAATTCTTGAACAGAAAGTAGGAGTTCGGCGGTCTCGGAGGTACCACTTGCTTGCGAGGCTTCCTTCTTGTACTAATCAATTCAGTTACAGTGTATTTTGGATTATAAACACAATCTAAATCTAAATTTTCTGGAATACATTTATGATTTTTTGTAGAAGAAACTGTTGAAGAAGTTGAAGAAACCGAAGAAGTTGGTAATGAAGAAGGACGATAGACGGAGTTGAGACCATTTTGTTGTTTGCTAAGTTCTTCAATGGCAACTTGAAAGGCTTTGGATTTTCCCATTTTTGTCATTTTTTTTTTTATTTTTTTTTGATTGAACGAATTTAACAAAGTATAAACGAGTAAAAGAAGAAAAAAAAAAATATCGAGTTTATAAACGAACTAAAGCTAAAAATTTTTATATTTTAACGAGTAAAAAAAAAAAATTTATCGAGTTTATAAACGAACTAATTTGAAAATTTTGTATTTGGTATTTTTTTTTTTTTTCCTTGCAACAAAAATTTCATCCTTATTTATATTTAAAATTTCTGATAATAATGTATGTATTCAATTGTGAAACATAATTATTAAATTTGGTATAGTGTATGATGATTATTGTGATTATTGTGATTATTAAAGATTATATATATACTTTATAATTTATTTATTGTCCCTTTGTCCTGAGTTAAAATACTAAAAAATTTATCGGAATGATTTTCTGACTCAGTTCCTAATACTGTATAAATTAAGAAGTTTTAATTTAATTTCATTTATGCAAATTTAATATGCAAATAAAATATACAAAATAATATACAATAGAATAAGAATTGATTATTTAATTTATATGATAATCGCAAAAAAAAAAAAAATAAAAAAATAAAAAAAAAAAAAAATTCGTGTGAAACTGTTTCTAAATTTATTTTTTTTTTTTATCTGATAAGAATTTTGCTTTTTACTTTCATTTATTTTATTTTATTTTATTTTTTTTCTTTAGGTAAAGATAAAAGAGATTTCTTTTTTCGTTGAAAACCGGAAAATTGGCGTCTTGGGATCATGTTTGATAAAAAAAAAAAGTAGAAAAGAAAGAATTTAAAGAATTTACTAAGAAAACTTGCACACATTTACACATCATATGCATTAATGTGTACATATTCGGAATAGCCGTGATTTAAAATAAAATCTTTTATAAAAGTTTATAAACACGTAAGATTATAAAATATTGATATTATATTTATTTTGTACGTGATTAAGTGATTTATATTACTGGTAAACTGAAACGATACCGTATCCAAAGTACCCATTAAATTTCTATCGGTTTTAAAGGTCCGTATTACACTTATATTAAGTATATACCATATTTTAAGTATAAGGAACCAAAATCGGTTATCCTTGTCCGTAAGTATAATGAATATATAATATATATTTATTTTTAATTTCATATAATTTTCAAGTTTTAAATTTCCATATTAGTTAATAAGATAATTAGAACTAATAATATTCGAGACTGAAATGCACATCTAATACTTTAGTAAATTTATAAGTAAAAAGGTAAAAAGAATTTTTAAAAAATTATATTTAGAATTTATAAGAATCAAAATTGGACATAAAATTAACCTAATTAAAAAAAATCATTAAATTTCAACGTGAAATTGACTTTTTTCCAAAAATAGAATTTCATCAATGATATTCTGTTTAAAAAATTTACTAGTTTGCCTTTTTTGATATCAAGAAATATAAGTAAATTTAGTTCGATATCACATGATCGACACTAAGAACAATTTATTTCATTGTTTCAAATAAAATAGTTCAAACATTTTCGTCATTCTACAAAAAAAACGAAACCAATTTCACATGATATATTATGATATATTAAATGGCGCATGCGCAGTAAATCAAGGGACCAGTTCAATATATTATTATAATATTTTTACTTGTTAGAAAACTTTAATTTGTACATTATTATTACATGTAATCATTATTATTAAAAATTCTTGAAGCAGACGCCAATCCCTCATGTAATGAAATGATCTTCTTTACCATATTAATCGATTGTACAAACAAGACGCATGGTCTAATTAAATGATGCATTTATACCGGAATCCTCATTTCCGACATGCGTTTTAAAATGATTTACTTATTTTACTTATTTACCGAATTTATCAATTTTTTTAAACCGAAACTGTATTTTTTGACTAATGTTTGACTATTAATATTATTGAATTTTTTTTTTTTTTTAACCAAAGGGATTCTCTTATTTCGGAATAATGATTGCGTTTCATAAAAATTTTTTTTTTCATTAATAAAGAAAAACATATAACAAATAAAATATAAATATGTAATGTATGTCATAAATTTTTTCATTATTTCAAAGAGATTTCATCCTCACTTCGGAATCAAAAGTACGTCATGCAAAGTGACCATAAAACCATCTTATAATAGCAATAATGTCGTAATAATTAATGCGCATGATTATGATAGTACAGAAGAATGATTATTTCGACAATTTATTATTGTTGAAGAAAGATGATACAAGTAGGTCAGATGAAAGGGTCCATTATGTGATCACGCACATGATCACATGAGTAATCATTGATATATAGATAATAAATATGTTGTACATAACCCACATAACCCACATAACCCAGCATGACCCAACATAACTCACATAACTCGACGGTTAATATTTTTTATATGCAACACAGTACGATAATATTAATAAGTTGAAATTTAGCCAGACAAATTATTTATTGCAATTTATAGTAATTAATAAAAAAGCGTTGAAGCAACTTTATTTTTTATAATTTCTTTATTAAGAAGTTTGAAGAATAGTAATATTACTCCATTTAGAACATCATAATTTATACAATCCTTTCTTTTTATTATTATTATTATATTTATTATCCAATAAAAAATTATTATTTTACTATTACTAATACGCAATGCAATGGCCGCTGATTGAAATGCTGCAATGAACCTGCAAATGATGGTTGACTTCTCTTTAGAATTGGATGACAAAAATAATCAAATGATATTTTTTGACCAAATATTTCATAATTTCTAACATAGAAGAAAAAGAAGAAAGAAAAAAAAAAAAAAAAAATTTAAAAAAAATAAATAAGTACCGAAAAAAATTGAAAAAATAAGGACAATAATTCGGTCCAAAATCATTCAATAATAATAATATTATTAACAATATTATATAACCTTTGTCTGTCATTTTGTCCGTGGTCCGTCATTTGTGTTTTCTGTTTTATCACATAATTGTTTTCCCCTTCGATACAGAACTTTCAATTGAAAAATTTTAATGACTTAGCAAAATACGGAATGTATATACATATAATATATATATATAGTATTTCAATATATATTAATGATCGCTTAATTATTTGTTTTTATACGACACACATTTTTTACCAGGTAATTATTTTAGTCAGATGACCCCCTAAAAGCATTCCTTTTTTCTTTTTTTTCATAGCTGTGGGTAACAAAGAACATATGCATAAGACAAAGTAAGTAAAATTTATAAAAAAAAAAAAAAAAAAAAAAAAAAAAAAAAAAAAAAAAAAAAAAAAAGATTCTTTAAAGAAAAAAAAAAATACCCTTGATAAAGTAAAATGATGATCATAATTAAATTATTATTTGTTTGTTTTGATAGCTATTTAGACTACTTTACTACTTTATTATAAAAAAATAATTTCACGTGTTACGTATCTGTCGATCGGTGTCTATCGGTTGGTTTTTTACCAACAAAAATAAAAATAGAACGGAGTTGAATTACCATCTATTAATAGATTTGTACTTTTGTTTGCTGTTATTTTTAATTACTTTTTTTTTAGACGAGCATAGAAGTAGATTGTGGAAAAAAAAAAAAAATTTATATATATACACATAAATGTAAAGAAGATATTCTTCTATAATATAATTGTGCAATGAAGATTATTCCAAAGATTTCGATAAAGGCTGACATAATTTTAGGAAATTTCGATTATTGAGTACGATAAAGTTTTTTTTTTTTTTTTTCCAAGCTTCTATATCGAAAAAACGTTAATTCTACGTGGAAAGGCAAGATTAAAATTTAACATTCCAGAAAAAAATGTGGGATGTTTATTAAATACATTATCTATTGAATATCAAAAGTTTAGTGTTTGAATGTTTTGATGTTTCGATGCAGAAAAATTGGTTACGTGTACTTAAATGAATTCTTTCAAAAGGAAATATAAAAGTTTCAAAAGTTTCAAAAAAATATTCTTTGTGTTTCGTATTTTATTTTTTTTAATATAATAATTACATATATATATATTTTTTTAAACAAAGTTTTAATATTGTTTTCATTTTTTTTGATCTAACTTATTTTACTTATTCTTTAAAAGAAACAATTATCATTTTTTTTTTTTGTTTTTTTTTTGGAATTTTCTTTGTGATCTTTTTGCGTTTTTGTTTATCATAAGCATTTAATCGGAAGCACAATTTATTCATCCATGTTTACATTTGGTTTTATTATTGAATCTCCTTTTTTTTTTTTAATCAAAAGGTTCATATAGTTCATATTAGGATAGTAATTCATATAAGGTTCATTAANAAATAATACAAAAAAAAGTTTTAAATCATTGATTTTAATAGATATTATTATAAAATATTAAGAATTTTTACTAATATGATTATGTATGCATAACCTGTCTCTTATACACATCTAGATGTGTATAAGAGACAGATGCAACACAGTATCAAAAGTAATGCCATATGACTGTTAATATATTTTTTTGATGTAACTTTTATGTAAACTATTATATATATAAAAAAAAAAATTTAATCTTTCATTAATCAAAATCCATGTAAGATTGCCAAAATGCTGTCTCTTATACACATCTAGATGTGTATAAGAGACAGATATTATATAGTTCGGAACATGGCACTTACAAATAAAAAATTTTTTTTTAGAAAAAACAAAATTTATTAAAAAAAATAAAATAAAAAAAATAAGATTCAATGGATTCAATAATAATAAAAATGGCGTTTTTATAAAGTGATATTAAAGAATAATTTTATCAAAAAAAGAAAAAAGAAAAGAAACAAAAGCCAAGAATAATTTATTACTCTTGAAACCTTAATCCTAACATGATTATTTGATTTAATGGGTTAATCCCAAATGGGACGCGTCCGTGGTTTTTCTAATAATAAAAGAATTACACTTAATTCTCTTGTAAAAGAGAACTGATATTAAAAATTTATTTATGTACAACAAATAAACGTTTACTAACATTAGATATTCTCTTCATCATGTTAACAATGTTGGAACAATTAATTTTAAGTAACAAAAGGTGATAATTAAAATAATTATTCCTAGATTTAGATTGTTTAGATTGTTATGGAATACGGAATTCAGCTCCCGATATTTCACCAAATTCGATCAATTAACGTTTAATACGTTTAATACATGTTTCAAGTTGATGTCAATGATTATGTCAATTGGAATTCAATTCCGATAATTTCAGACTAAATTGATCAAAAGTTAAATTTATATTATATTAAATTATATTTTATTTCTTATCAATCAAAATCTCTTTTCTTGGTATCCGCAGTAACTTAATCACGTTTAATTTACATATTTTTTACATGGTTACAAATTTGACAAGAATCAATTACTTTATATTGACTTTTTCTTACTCATAATGAATTTCTTTCATTTTATTCCGTTATTCCGCGCATTTATTAATTTATTTTGCAGCTTCTTCAAATACAATTTGAAACGTTTTATAAGGCGTATGACATACATTTTGTCTGTACGATTTGTCAGACAATAATTTATTGGCATCTCTGGATATCTTAGGGTATCTTTGGGTAAGACCTTTTTTTGTAATTGCCAACCTTGAAAAAAAAAAAAAATTCATACTCTTTTAACTTTGCAATTATCAACTTTTGAAAAAAATTTGTATTATTTGTGTTTTACATATTCTGACATCTGACTATTCTGTGAATACGAATCACATATCTTAAATAACTATCAAATATCAAAATATCAAGTGGGATATAGATATACTTTTCATTCTTTCATTCTTCTTCCTTTTTTTTATATATATAAACCTTTTTGTTTTCGTTCTTCATTTGGTCCAGTTGGAAATCTTTTGTGACGTGCGATTTTTCGTAGCATCATTTCGATATTTCGATTGAAATCTTACCATGTTATATACTGTATGTACGGTAGTTATTGCACTGTGTACGAGTTAAACCACTGTTTTCTTTTGAATGCTTTTAAATTTTCTACATTATTAGATAAATTTCCGTAAACTTGATTTCAACCGAGATTCGAATTATTATTAAATCTTCGTGAGTTTACTATGGTTATTTGAAAGAACATAAGATTATCGAAATTGAAAGAAATATTCCGAAATTACATAATATCGATCGTCAATCAGATTTTTAATAAACAATTTGATAGTTAAGGTAATAATTTTTAAAATTAGTTATAATAAAGACAAAGAAAATTTTTTGGTCTTTGTTATTCTTTGTTAAAAAAATTTTTTTAATCTTATATTTTAGTAAAATACAAATTCAATTGTACTTTGGAATGAATTCAATTATATTTTGAAATCATTTAGTCTCAAATTGTGTAAGATTTTGAAATTGTGTAAAGTTTTGATCTTTTTTGTGTCAAAATTTCATCCCTCTTGATAAATTACTTTTTTTTCGAAAAATTTCTTTTTCATTATTCAAAGAATCCAGGATTTCTACCTATTAAATGCATGAATTGTATATTAGTAATCTTTAATTTCAATTTTTTTTTTTTTGTAGTGATTTGCTATCTTTTGTGATTGTAAAACTTTTATCTTTTGTGACGTGCGGTTTTTCGTAGCATCATTTCGATATTTCGATTGAAATCTTACCATGTTATATACTGTATGTACGGTAGTTATTGCACTGTGTACGAGTTAAACCACTGTTTTCTTTTGAATGCTTTTAAATTTTCTACATTATTAGATAAATTTCCGTAAACTTGATTTCAACCGAGATTCGAATTATTATTAAATCTTCGTGAGTTTACTATGGTTATTTGAAAGAACATAAGATTATCGAAATTGAAAGAAATATTCCGAAATTACATAATATCGATCGTCAATCAGATTTTTAATAAACAATTTGATAGTTAAGGTAATAATTTTTAAAATTAGTTATAATAAAGACAAAGAAAATTTTTTGGTCTTTGTTATTCTTTGTTAAAAAAATTTTTTTAATCTTATATTTTAGTAAAATACAAATTCAATTGTACTTTGGAATGAATTCAATTATATTTTGAAATCATTTAGTCTCAAATTGTGTAAGATTTTGAAATTGTGTAAAGGTTTGATCTTTTGTGTCAAAATTTCATCCCCCTTGATAACTTTTTGAAAATTACTTTTTTTTCGAAAAATTTCTTTTTCATTATTCAAAGAATCCAGGATTTCTACCTATTAAATGCATGAATTGTATATTAGTAATCTTTTAATTTCAATTTTTTTTTTTTTTTGTAGTGATTTGCTATCTTTTGTGATTGTAAAACTTGGGAAATGAAGATAATGAAACCTGTTCTCGGGAATAAAAGCGGAATGAAATTTCATAATACGCTGAATTCACGATGGTATTCCTCGTTATCATCATTTGCGAGTGATGGATGTTGAGATAAGATCCACACGAACTGGAAGTTTTCTCGAGTCTTGACGAATTTGACCGGTTAATTTGAACAATTATTTACAATTATTTCAAGAAATTAAAATCAAAAATACCTTTTATATACATGCTATATACGAATCCTAATTCAAATGTGAGTGGATGAAAAATTTTAATTGAACATTATTATGGAATTTTGTTATATCTTTCCAATGGTATGTAAAAACTCTAAGATTTGGTTATTTATTTATTTACTTACCTTTTAATACTTAGGTTCGTATTTTTTTTTTGTGAACTTTGTTACTATGTGAAAACTTTGAATTTTGAAGGAAGTAACTAAAATCAACCTTACCTTTCGTAAAATTTTAAAATTTTATGAATATTTAAAATAATACGAAAGAATGATATGAATATGATTCATATGAAAATTATTAATTATACATGTATTCTCAAATTATTAACTTTCGCATTATTTACTTATTTAAACGAACAAAAAGGAATCAGATTTACGCCTTACTATTTATTTATTGTATCACTGCAATCTTGCATGAATAAACTGGCCGTACAAATTATAAATCATGATATAGTTTTGGCCGGTATGATTTAAATTTTTCACTTATTATACATTTTTATCAATTTGGTCATACATTTCTGAGCTAATGTTTAACTAGTTAATACAGTTTTTTGATATCTAAAAATAAACGATATATATATTTGGCGGATCCCCAAATTTAGGTAACGTTGGCAAATTGTCGAAACTTTTTCGTCATTTCGATATCGATAACGAAGGAAAACCGTAATAGTAGCCGTAATGGTATATACATAAAATTTTCATTTTCATTTTTTGTTGGTTGCAATTTTAATATCACAATTTAGTAATCGCAATTTTAATATCACAACTTTAACTTTATATCGCAATTTGGCAAAATTTAGTATCCGCAATTTAATAAATTTAATATCCCAACTTAATATCCCAACTTAATATCGAAATTTAGTATCTTCAGGTATTATATTTTCAAAATTTGGGTGCAAACACAATTAGTTTTGCAAATTATAATAAATTTTGATGAAAATTTGGGATATTATGAACTTTTTTGCTGGTTCACAGTTAAAAAAAGGTATTTCTTCTATTACGGTAATTACGCAAAACCACCAGATTAAAATGGCGTAATTAAATATCAGGCCATAGATGATAACCTTACTTTGAAAGGTAAAATATTTATTTTAAATCAATTTCCTTTTGGCGTTTTAATCATCAATTTTAAGAATCTTTATTTGGGTAAAAACTGTTAATCTATATAACCTAAATAGGATGAATTCTATTAATATAATTTGAAGGTATTTTTTTCTTCTTTTATTTATTTATATGAATTTTTGATGGACTATAGTTAATTAACGGTTAATGGATAATTTACGATAATTTACTTTACAAAAAAAATTCAAAAAAAAAAATTATCTTGACCAATCAAATAAAATTCAAACAAGTTGACCATCCAATTCAACAGGAAACTCCAAAACGAAAATCTCATATCAATTGATCGAATAAAAGAATTGATTAACAAAAGAATTATAAATCGTTAATCGATTAACGAGAGGTTCAGACTTCAGACCAAGTATTATAGAAATTTACTAGTAGTGTATTATTATTTATACAATAAATATACTAAAAAATGATTACCATACAAAATTTCAAATTTCTTTAGGTGGCGATGAGAATTTGTACAAGAACAAAAATCAACATACGAAAAACAAGAATACAACGACGAATAATTTAACGTTACTTTGTAGCGTCAAACACTTGTAGCGTCAAAACAACGTACGAAACTAGTAAACTAAGAATTACGAGAATGGGTCGTTACTCGTTAGACTAGGCTTCAATAGATCATACTGTGAATTATAGTGATGAATCAAACTCAATCATCATTGATTCAAATCAAATCTATCATAATAATAACTATAATGGCTCTTCAAACAATAATTTTTTATTTTTTGAATTAATTATTTAATCGAACCAGAATCCTTTTTCATTTCCTTCAATTTTTTGCCTGTTCAACAAAATATTCTTTAAAAATGCATGATTATCAGGCTATTAAAGAAATTGAAAAATTCCTTGAGGAATTGGCAGATGCCGAAGACGATTATATCGATGATTATGAATATGATTTTTTACCTGAAAAATATCTTGAACCACCAGATTCACCAATTGAAAGAATTGCAGTTGGAGTCATTAAAAAACGTGTTTCCGGTTTCAATATTCCATTCATCGAACACCATGCTCTTATTGTTAAGACTCCTAATGGATTCATTTCTTTTCATTACGAACGTAATAAAAATAGACCAATTCTTAACCGATGTATTAATCTTAACGATTGGGAATTGACAAAGTTTTACACTCCTAAAGACGGGATTACTATGGCGGATTTATTTCAAAATGTTGGAAATTTTTGGATTTTTCCTAAATTCAGATTCGTTCAAAAAATTCTTTCGATTTTATTTGAACAAAGGTAAATTTTTTGATACACTTATTTTAATTAATTGATTTGTGTAACGACTTTATTAACATGGGTATTTATTTCTTACTTAGGATCGTTAATATGTTGAGAAGAGAATGGGCAAAAATTTCTCTTGTTCGAAAAACTCTAGTAAAAATTAAACTAATAATTAACTCGGGAGTTGAGTGGATTATGACACATATAAAAAGAATGTTTTCGCGATTTTTGTATGTAATTTTTCTTATTATTTTATTTATTATATTGTGGTTTCAATTATTAATTCAGCGAATAAAATTCTTTTTTTTCAGCCAGTAAAAGTCACACAGCATACACAACATATTAAACGTTGAATGTTACTTTACATAGTATATCTGATATGCAAAAGTAATAAAGTTGATTGAATTTCTCAGTGTAATATGTTCTTTTCACATGATAATTTATTAATTTCTTAATCTCGGAAATCTTTGTTAAAACAAGTATAACAAGTTTTATTACAGGATTTATGTGCACTTCATTGTCAAATTTATATATATATAATACCTATTTTGTAACCAAATCCATTTGCTTCGCTTTTTAACTCTCGTTTTTTATTTTATTTTTTTCTTTTTTTTTCTGTTTTCAAACTTTAAAAAATGGGAGCTTCTTATTCGACATGTGCAATTTGTGTAGAGTCTCGGTATACTTCAGAATTTAAAGCAGTTACAAAGAATTGTAAACATACGGCATTAACTTGTCAGACATGTGTTAATAGACACATTGAAGCTGAATTAAACAATAAAGGAAATTTGGAAATTATATGTTTAGTTGAATCGTGTAGACAAATTATGGATTATAGTGATATAGAAAATGTCGCAAGAAAAGAGGTAATGGTAAGATATGATAGAATGTTGGTTAATAGTGCATTGGGTGGAGATCCAAATTTTAGATGGTGTAAAAATTCTAAATGTGGATCTGGTCAAATTCATAGTAGCGGACGTATGTCTTTTAAATTTTCTTTTCAATTATATGTCATGGTTATGTTTTTAACGATAATTTTTGATTTTCTAGACAATGAACCTATAATGAGATGCGAATCATGTGGTCAAAAATCTTGTTATACACACGATGTTCTTTGGCATACAGATTTAACGTGCACTCAATATGACGATATTATTAAAAAAGCGGAAGAGGCAACTCAAGATTTACTTAATCGAGAAACTAAAGCTTGTCCTAAATGTGGTGTAAGAATCACTAAAAATGGTGGTTGTAACCATATGACTTGTAGAATTTCGACTTGTAAACATGAATTTTGTTGGTTGTAAGTATTTTTCTATCTTTTCTTTTTTTTTTTGGTAAAGAAAAAAAAATTTAAATAACTGATAATTTGAAAATTCTTTTATTTTTTTTATCTAGGTGTTTGGCTGATTATAATGCGATTCGTAAAAATGGAAATAAATCTCATCGGAGAACTTGTCAATTTTATGCCTAAAGAAATCCTGATTTCTGAGAAATTATATAAATTATGATGATTGTGATTGTTATAGGAATTTTTGATATATATATATATATATTTCTAATATCCTTTTGATATATTGTATATAAATATATATTTTATTTTGTTTCTTTTTTTTTTTTTATATATATATATATATATATATAATAAAGGAAATATATTCGAATTACTAGGAGCTTTTATCATGTAATGATTTTTTTTTTTTTGTAATATTATCAATATTTTTATTTTCTTACCGTCCCAGCCCAACTCCCTATTGGAAGAGAATACTTTTTATTTAATACATTAATGAATCCAGTTTCTGAAAGTATTGTTCCAAGTTGCCTTGTAAGTTTAGGTTCAATTTTTTTTGCTTCAAACATGTCAATCCAGAATTTCATTATCATTACATAATCCATGTAATGATTTTTTATTGTAATATATCAATATCATTACACAATCCATGTTCTTTATGAATATACTACGACGTAAAAATTCCTTACTATCACGATCTCTCAAGTGTCAAATTCTATGGAAAACTGTATGTATTATTACCTTTGTGAACAATTCGAAAAAAAAATCAAATCACGCCGCATTATTAATAAATACTGTAGAAAAAATTTCCAGAATTATATATAGTACATAAATTGATGAAGGTCGTTTTTTTTCAAAGGACATGATTGATCCAAGTTAGATGTGATATTGATTATGAATTCTGGCAGTTCTAACAGTATATGAGATGTTATTTATTGTTTAAAATGAGTCGTGATGAATCAAGAGACTAATTCATTACTGGCAGTATATGTGTATTGTTTAAAGTGGGTTCATATATCAATTCATGATGCTAATTCATTGCTGGAAGATATGGCAATGGAAGCCACGTGCTTTTAGTGATTTGGTTGGTTGATATCTTACCATGTGATATTAAAAAAAAAAAATATATAACATAATATAGGCCAGAATTATAGAGAATCATAAATGTTCTTAAAATTGTTCTACACTTTTAGGAATCTTATTGTAGGTATGATAGCCAAGCAATTCATTCAGTTCGCAAATTCACAGTTTTCAATGGTTGTTTAAGCTACATAGATGAAAATTATGAAATCCTGCTTACTGGATTTGGTTGTAAAAGTTAAATTTGTCTATATGATTACGCTTTGGTGATATTCCTTGTGTTCGTTTCAAAGTGATCAAAATCTATCACATCTTGCTCTGTAAATCTTACAGTATTTACTTTTTCATTTATCATTTAACTTAATGATGGCCTTTAACTATAAAATATTTTATAGATACAAAAAATCCTTGATAAGAAAATTCTCGATCTTAACGATTATGGATTTGAAATAATTGTAAGACAATCCTTTTGTTGATGCTTTAATTTTGATTAAGATTTTTTAAGGTTCTAAAGTTAATTGAATTATAATTTTAAGAAATCATTTGTAAAAAAAAAAATCCAATAAAGAAAATCTTAATGGCCAAAAAAATATTTTTGTAAAAATTTTTTTTATTTTTTTTTTTTAAAAAAAAATAAATATCATAAAATAATATGTTAATTTAATAATTTATGGGGGTGTTTATATTAAATTAACGTCAATCTTGACGTTAACCAATATAAATACCACCGTACAATATCTATATTATCGTACGGCTAATGCGGATCATGCTATCGATATTGATATCAAATATTGTACGATAACGAAACACTTAATTTTAATTGAACCTTATCATATTGATTGTAAGCAAAGATAATTATACATGACGATTGGATTATTTTTTCTCCACGAAAAAATAAGCAAGTTGAATCTTTAATCACTATGAATAATTTGTGCCACGAAAAAATAAGCAAGTTGAATCTTAATCACAATGAGGTTTTAGTGGGGTTGTTAAAGAATAGGATGTCAGCTAATGAAGAACCTGTGATTAAGAAGCGTCGTGTGGAAGAAAAAATCAAGAAAAATAATTTTTAAAATTGACATTGCATTGAAACATCATTTATTATATATATATATGCAGATTTCTATAATGTGTCACGTGTAATTCCAATTTCTTATATTGCAAAAAATTTTATTTATTAGATTATTAGGAAAGGGAACAGCGAGAACGCAACTTCCTAGGATTTTTTAATTGATAATTTCATCTATAGGAAATAATATACTATTTAATATATATAATTATTTGTAAACAAAGCTAATTTTTTTTTTATACAACAATTCAAATACAAAAACTACAATATAAAGCTTAATATGTATTATGTTTCAATGGAGAAAGAAAAACCCTATGCATTATGGCAACATAACACCTATAAATGCCGCAAGACTTTCATATTCATCCATTTTTAGTCCATACCTTTTTAAAAAGTTCAAGAATTTCGCCTTCGATATGATCTTGAGGCCTATAGATCCCGAGGGATAATTCATAGGGGTTCCTCCTTGATCACTCAATGTCTTTGTGATGGTTATAGAGAACGGCGTTTCTCGTTCTTGCGACTGAGCACATTTCTTTTATAAAAAAAAAAGTTATAAAAGTTAGCAATATGTGTAAATTTCTTTTTATTGGAAATAAAATAATATACAAATGATAACACTTTTTTTGTTCTATTTCAGTCCTTACTTCATTTATTTTTTATCCGTATCGTCTTGTTGTTTCTTTTTACTTCTATCCATTTCATTTAGTCTTTGTAAAAGTTGATTATTAGTTACTCTTTAAATATGATGTGTTGGATGTTCAACAGTGTGAGTTGTTCAACAGTATGAGGTGTTGAAATAAAAAAATACAGTATGTGTTGATTCAGCAGCACGAGTGTCGCGCATTCCGCCCGCCCATCTTTTAATTGTATTTTCTGTTTTCTTTCCTCTCCGATTTTCTTCATCTTCCTCCTGACTTCTTTTTCTCATGATGATAAATGATTTTTTTTTGTATTTTTTATTTTACTCCTTTTTTTTTGAAATTGTTGAACTAAAAAAAAAAGAATTTTTTTTTTTTGAATATGATGTGTTGGATGTTCAACAGTATGAGTTGTCCAACAGTATGGGAGGTGTTGAAATAAAAAAATACAGTATGTGGTTGGTTCAGCGCGCATTCTGCCCGCCCAACTTTTAATTGTATTTTCTGTTTCTTTCCTCTCCGATTTTCTTCATCTTCCTCCCCGATTTTTTCTCATGATGATAAATGATTTTTTTTTGTATTTTTTATTTTAAACTCCTTTTTTTTTGAAATTGTTGAACTAAAAAAAAAGAAGATTTTTTTTGAATATGATGTGTTGGATGTTCAACAGTGTGAGTTGTTCAACAGTATGAGGTGTTGAAATAAAAAAAATACAGTATGTGGTTGGTTCAGCAGTACGAGTGTCGCGCATTTCGCCCGCCCATCTTTTAATGTATTTTCTGTTTCTTTCCTCTCCGATTTTCTTCATCTTCCTCCCTGATTTTTTTTTCTCATAAAAAAAAAGATTTTTTTTTTTTGAATATGATGTGTTGGATGTTCAACAGTATGAGTTGTCAACAGTATGGGAGGTGTTGAAATAAAAAAATAGAGTATGTGGTTGATTCAGCAGTACGAGTGTCGCGCATTCCGCCCGCCCATCTTTCAATTGTATTTTCTGTTTTCTTTCCTCTCCGATTTTCTTCATCTTCCCCGATTTTTTTTTATCACGATGATAAATGATTTTTTTCGTATTTTTTATTTTAAACTCAAAAAAAGAAAAAAGTCCTTTTATAAATAAACATTTTAATATTGTACGCAAAACCTGCAAAACCTTAATAAAACGCGCAACGCGCCAATCACGTGAACATGACGATTACCACTAGACTAGTAATTTTCCGGCACAAATCACTACTTTTTACTCGCAGACAGCTCTCAAAATTTTAGAAAATGGAGGTTAATGGCCGTGCCTTGCCTTCCTCAATGTTACCTAAGAAAAGTACAGTATTTATAGCATGTATAGCATGGTGGGCCTGTGTCAAAATACCGCTGTATTCGATAAAAAAGGTAACTGAGTGAGGCAAGAAAGAAAGAGGGCTAGGACGGAGGAATACCGTTTGAAAAAATAATTATGTAATATTAGCATAGAAATTTCACCTTCGGCATATCATGGGCTTGCTTATTGTTTTATATTGTATTAATAAAGCGAGCCTCAGTTAGCGAAGCAAACCCATCCGAGCTTGAAGTATTGAAACAACGCATCGGTGAGCTTTGAGGAAAAGAATGCCGAGCCTGAAACCGCAACCGCAATGGAATCATTCTCATTTTCGTCGGATCATACTTCATATGAATGTGATCTTACTTCATATGAATGTCAAGGATTCAGTTAATCCTAAGAAAAAATGAATTCACTAGAAGATTCAGTTAATCCTCAATTAGCAGCACTCAACAACAGAAAGAATATTCGTTTCAAATTTATTATCTCCAAGATATGGATGTTCAATAGAAGTAATGAAACAGCGTAACATTGTGCTTGAAGATGAATTGCCAAGCTTAAAACAACCTCTCTGTTGAGCTTTTCGAAGTTAAATCCGAGAATGCAAAGCTCAGGCAGGAACTCAGGAGCAGAATCGAAAAATAGAGCGATATTGATATCAAGAACGCCTGAGAGTGCAAACCTTATGGCAAGAGTTTCGAAATTGGAACAGGGTTGGTTCCTCGACAGTGAAAGTCCAGACATGGAACGATAAGGAAGCGATACCAGCTGATACCAAGTCATCGAAGGACCCTGATAGTGAAACTAATAATGATATGGAAATGGGGGGCTTTCTTGATCGAAAAGCATAAGAAAAAAGTTAATGATGAGATAAGGCAGAGGAAGCAGGAGAAAAAGCTTCGTGATCAGTTGTCGACAAGAGAGGTATCTTCAACTCCGTTATCCGATAATAATATGAGTAAGATTTCAGTCGGACCCCCTTGCCAAAATAGTCATAGGAAGAAAGGTGCAGAAATATCGTATAACTGATAGCTGATGGGATGATGTCCAATCCGGTACTCCTTACGATGAAATTTCAACCGAGGTCCCCCGCTAAAATTCTTCCACAGTTTCTTTAGCACAGTTATTCAATAAGCGACGGGTGCTGAGCATGGCGCAATCGTGCTATCCAGGAAGAGATTTACTCTGGTATTATTATGAAGAAGAATTCTTGAATCAGGATAGAGCAACTACACATAATAATAAAGGAGAAATCGGTGAAAAAAAAGCAAATGGAATGATCTATGATAAAATCTTGGAAGTTCTTCTATTTTTCGTAAAAAAGAGATCTGAAGAGACAGGATTGCGACTCCCAGAAGTCTAAGCTGTAAAGATATATAAACAAGTACATCACGTCATATAGTGTGAACTCTATTTCAGAGTTGACTAATAAGTGATCAAAGATAATTTCTCGGAGCATACCGATTATAGGTCTGAAATAGAAAAGATGCCAGGATCAGCTGGTTAAGCGAAGTAAATCCACCATCTACATCTCAGGACACTCCAGCTAAGGCAGAGGAGGATGACCCTTTTATTAAGATATTCGAATATCTTGAAGAAAGACAGAACGAAACGTCATCAAGTGAAATTCTTGTCGTTTGCATTAGATTTCATAATTTACACGTACGACTCTAATATGTCAGATGATGATCGAAGAGAAGAGAATCGCTGATACTGTACTTTTTTAAAAAGGGATCGTACTTGGGCAACGTGTCTTCAAGAACGTCTTGGTTCAGCTAAACAATCTAGATCATCACCTTCATCATTCAAATTTCGAAAGTTTCATCATTACGATGTTTGCAAAGATGGTTCATCCAAAGCTATTGCAAAAAAATAAAGGTACTGGTACAGACGTCTCCTTGAGTGTGTATTGCAAATAGAATTCTATGGGACATCAACCCAATGTTCTTCAACCATTTTTTGCTTCTGTGTATTTAGGAACAATATTTAGGTCAAAGGGATATCGAGATTTCTTCATAAACGATAAAAGAATGAGCTATTGAATTTTACGAGATGGAACTCAATGGAACTCAATTGACAGAATTTAAAAAACGTGGTCCTATTTGCGAAAGAATGAGCAGTTATTGATATTTGAAATTTAGAATGAAATTACCAAGAGGAATAGGACACAAATGATTTATGTCATTTACATTGAAAACTTTAATTCTGTTCAGTTGATGTTTTCTGATGAGTTTATTCAATTGCTAGGTAAAGAAGAAAATTTGCTTAGATATAATTTGATTTTTCATGAATATTGATTAAAATGATCCATTATATAATATGACTAGGAATATTTTTATTACATTGTAGAATTCTTTATTCTTTTGTATAAATAAAAAATTGTGTGCAATTCAATTTTTGATACCACAATTACATCCATAATTGCCCATTCGGGTGAAACTATAATGTTATTTTTGTAAAATAAGTGTCATATTAAGAACGCGAACCTTGCGAATCTCCGCGTGAAAAATTTCTATACCTCTTTGAGACGAGATAAAATCATCATAATTCATTTCACTTCGTCACGAAATAATTACATTAAATAGTATGGAATAGTGATCATATGGGTCAGAGTTTAGTTTTACTATATAATCAATGAAAAATTAGGAATTTACTTAAATAATAATAAATGTATAAGTCTGCTAATGGGTTGTTTATTAATTCATTTAAATAATATTATTAAAATGAAAATCAGGAAATTAATCCTATAATTCGTACATAATGCATTTGTACTAATTCTTCTAAAACTACGAAATATAATTATCAACTTCCTTTCTTGATCCTAAAGCGATTTCTTTAAGAATTATATTACAGTCGGGTGAAAGAGACGGTTGGAATATATTCTCACTTATTTGGAATTTTGAAGGGTCTGTTTGCAACAGTGATTTGGATAGTATATTTGGATAGTTATAAATATTGATGCTTTGATAATCTTGTTATAGTATATTCCTTGTTTAATCCTAATATCATCAATATTGTCGAATTTCTTCGAAAGTAGTATTGAAACAAAGCCTTCTTAAGCTTACCGAAGTCAATCTTTTAAATCTTGAATCTTTTCAATTAAACTTGCCTGAGTTCTTGTTGGTTAATTTGGCTCGTTAATGATCATTCTCCAATTTTAACTTAACAATTTTTAAATTATCTGCTTATTACATTTAGGAATAGACGCTTTTTTAAATCTTCAAATGACACGGTCTCATTTGGTTGCTGACTCATTATTTACTTGAAAGTCCGTCCCCATTACAAATCATTGCATGCGACCACAATTCAAACAACCTTCTCCAAATGGCTTTCGAAACTCTAGTGTTTCATAGTCGCGCATATGTAAGCAAATCAAACATTGAATTTGACATCACTACAGTTTCAGAAACGGGCCTCGAAGAACTGAATGTCCTTTGAATTCTCATTAAAATCGCGTAGATCTTCGAAATGAGATTATTAAATTTTTAAAAAATTCATCTTCCACGAATTTAGGTGCGAAGGATGAAATTCCATCAATTGACTATCATATTTGAGCCGCTTTGTTATAACAAATAAACAATACAACTCAGCTTACTGCTTTAGCATACTTTTCAAGTTGTTATCCAGACATGCGCCTTTGTCAATATTAAATTTTACTCTGTTATTAAGAATCAAAGAACCACCCTGTAACACCTCAGCATAAATCAAACTTTTTCTTGATTGAATTTGGTACATTATGCACAAGTGCAGTTGACGGCGTATTGTCAGAATTTTACTATGATCATGATATTGAAATAGAGTTAATAATAGTACTCCACGCACCCAGACATAGTCCCCAACACCAAATATTGTTATTATTTCATCAAGTTCAGACATTATATAAATAATTAACATAAAAATAAAAAGGTACTTTTTAGAAAAACGAGAAAAACTTTCGGGTGGCTTAACCACTTGAGAAATTGAAGATCTATATGAGTATTAAGCGGTTCTATATAAACATATTACTATTTCGTGATCTGCGGTCGAATGTCAATGGTTACTTTGTCATTGTGGTGATATTTTGTTAGGCTATTGATTAAATTTTGAATCTTCTCTCATCCGAAAAGATATAAGTCAAGACTTTATTATTCTCATTCATCCTTAAAGGTCAACATTAACTTTCTTGCTATAACTATTATTATTTTTCTCGTTCCATTTTTTTCTAATTGAAGAAAAATAACTGCAAATTTCTTGTTTGTGAGGTAAATGTTGGAAAATAATTCCTAGACTTGTCATAACTATTATAAAAAAAAGCAATAATGATTTATCATAACCATTATATGATTTAATGATTTTGTAGTTCAAAAATAAACTTGAGTTTTAACTCATAATTATTCTAATTATATAAAATAGATTGATAATACTAGATCCAATTTCTATATTATCATGGATATACCACGTAATAATTGCATAATGATTTCCTGCAACTTTCACCAAGCTTACGCTTATCATATAAAATATAGAACAAATCGTTTAATGGTTACCACTCATACGCTAATAAAAATTAGTAATGATAACTATGATAATGGTAAATAGGCAATATCGTGCCGCCAAGCTTCTGATCTTCGATGTAAATATCGATAAGTTTTTTTCTTCATTGAAACCTTCCAAGACTCATACTTTTATAACTTTATCTCATAAACTTGAAGTGCCCAATTTTGAGTTCACTTAACATCCGAAGATTGGGAACTTTCAAAACCTTTCTTATGAGTATTAAATTTTAGTTAATTTTAATCCCGACCCTGCTCATTCCCCTCGCTCATTGGCTTCTTTAGTCGCTACTAATCCATCAGTTTCTTCCCCTTTTACCATTAAGCAATGGTCCATAGCATAACCGTTTGGATGATTCAATCTGGATCATCCGCTGAAGTTTCGTACTCGGTAATGTAATTTCAACAGCGTTACTGAAAGATATGCGTCATGATGTACGAGAATATAACCAATCGTCTCGTAATGTAAACATTTTAAAGTATTTTTGGATTAGGCTTAGCTATAGCGGAAGGTAAAAAGAATTAGAGATGATATTCTAATGATATATGCCTTATATTAAACACCTCACCTGAGATTTTTAATCTCCATTTTCAGCCGAACGATGATAACATTTCGTCAATTACAAAGAACAAAATATTTTTCTAGTAACAAACATGATTTAAATTAGATGTTCTGCAAAAGCATGTCAACCATGCGTATATCACGAGATCGTGAGTCAAAACTCCTGTTATAATTCTCGGTACACAAATTACACTGGTTTTTTTCCGTTACCATCAGATATGATAATTCTATTTTTGGCCTAAAGAAAATCATCATCGATGTATCTAGCAACGTAAAAGCTAAAATCCTTAGATTATGGAGAGTTAACATTGATGAGAGACGGAGAGTAATTTTCCTGATAATTTATTGAATGATGAAAATGAAATAAAAAAAACGGTTGGCGAAACCTTTAATGACGTCCGAGGGGGAAATATTCGAGTTGTGGTAAGAGCTCCTGATACTGATAAGTGAGTCGTTTAGTAAACGCGTAATAACCTGCTCCTAAAAAACACATTCACACTACTGTCATCTAATTTCTTGTGTCTTGCCAACCATTAGAGCTCTGGAACAAAAGAAAATTTTCGGAAGAGTGTAAGAATGTACAGAATTGTCCTTGCATCTTTCAGTTTTTCGTCAAATATTTTGTTTGATCAGTGAGAAAGACATGGATGGTCAACGGCGCATTACGAGAAAATGATTGGTCCTCTCACTATTTTGTGGATCCACTAAATTGTATAATGAAATTGAGAGACGAGTGTTATATGGAACACAGGCATCGGAAATCAACGCGCGTGATTAGAACAATATCGGAATTGGAAAAAAATAATTATATATGCAACTAGTAAGTTTTACTCCTGTTTGCTAGAATCGCTTTTATACACATTCTAACTTGCCGTCTTCTTTATCTTTTCATGGTTTCTGAATCAGCTTGTCTTTTAAGTATATTTGAATTCACTTGGAATAAATCTCAGTATTGGTAAACGTACAAATAAATATAAAAAGTAGTGATGATTTCCTAGTATAACAGGCTGGGAGGAAGCTGGAAATAAAGGAGATGAACGTATTATTCTTTTTTTTTTTGATGAGTTCGAAAGATTATTTGAAATGAATGAGGATATTCGCTCCAATTTCCTGTGTATTCTTCGCGCCACCAGAAACTCCATTGAAAACTTTGTCATCCAAACTATCGTCGTAATTGGTACATACAGTATCCTGTATACAAATTCGCAGAAAACTTCACCCTTCAATATTAAGGTCCTGGTCCGTAATCCAAATTTCACCCTGGGACAAGTGCGAGCGCTATTTAAAGATTTTGGAGAAGATAATAAGATGGATTTCGAACAGCAAATCATCGAGGATATCTTTATACAAACAAATGGGTACGTGAAAATGTCCAGACCAAATATAAACTATCTTTTATCAACTAATAAATCGTATTATAATAGGCATGCAGCCTTTGTCTGTCTTTGTGGACGAGCAATTGAAGACAATCTCATCAGAATACTCGATAATGAACGAATCTTAAGTTATGAAATTTGGGAACGATACAAAGTCAGATCATTAATGGATACTATTGTTATGTACCCAACATTCCGAAATATGGTTCAGTCTCTCCGGGGTTCAAAAGCTAAGATATGATTGATTTTTTCGGAAAATTTCCTAGCAGATTTTGGACATAAAGTAAAATCTACTGATGCAGAGTATCTTGCTGACGAAGGAGTTCTGGTTCGTGGTGAAGTTGTTGGATCATTCAAACTTTCTTCTCCTTTGGTGCGTTGGTTGATCCTTCAACATGTAATTCCTGCTGTATTTCCATCCTTCCCTCCCTTTCTTAGTTGGTACTAGAAACTTGGATACTTTATATGCCTTAAGGCTTGCTATTAAATATTTTTGATAAGGATGTTATTTTTCAGGCTCGTTATCATCCATTCAAGTTGTTAAACTACCAGTCAATCGTAAGTCAAATCAACCTGTTCCAAGAGAAAGCGTCTATGACGCCAAATTATACCTAATTTTGCAGAATTGACTTAGTCCATCAAATTTTCAAGTTACGGGCCAATGTCAGCATAAATATAGTAACGTCATAGATATGCCCTATGGCCAAAGAATCGTTCTCGAACTCTTAGCGACAGCAAGTAACGTCGATCTCAATGAATACTTTCAATGGGCTCTTCAATATGCGGATCTACTCTCCGCACATGAAACTTGGATCGTTCATATAACATGTGAAGATAGATATATTAATCATCCTCATTGGCCATCTATTTCTCAATTAAAAAGGAATCTTAATGTTGCACATTTTTACCATGATACTTTATTTAGTAGAATTGAATTAATTGCAGGCTGGTGGAATTTTAGTAAACACGAAATGTATACTTATAAAAATTCTATTAATATATAATGCTAAGTGTTTAATCTTGACAAAATCATTGAGAAAAGGAAATTTGTTTTTATACATTGTTATATGTTATTCATATCTTGCGTTACTAAAAATAATGTATCTCGTGATTTTTTCATTACTTAGTGAAATGTTACAAAAAAAATTACAATATACAAAATGAAAAAATCTTTATTTAGGTTTTGTTAGTTGGTATTGCCTAATTATAATCGATTCTTTATAGGCTTCCACTATCTCTTTCTTGAAAGATCTCTTACCTCATCATTGTGTACCCATAACACTCCTTAACCAATTAATTTCATCACGGTATTCTTTAAGCTGATCCTTCAATCAGCCAACCTCTCAATCATCATTTAAAAGCTGTTTTTCTAACGAAGCTATTATTTCATCACGGCTTTTAACGATTTTTAAGTATACTGTATATGTAAATAATAAGTGATTCAATTTGTAAATATAGAGGAAGTGGAGCAAAGTTCCTCTCATTAATTTATTTTTTATGTGAATTTCTCAGATTATAGAATTCTAGGATGCTTAGAAAATATCATTTTCCATTATTACTTAAAGCGAATTGATTAGCTCCTTCGATCTATTAAAACAGATATATGGTGATGCCTTATATCTCAAAAAGTACTTATTATTTCTAGAACAAACAAGTAGCATCTTATTTATTTCAAATTTATAAAAAGAATCAAAATACAGTCAAGCTTATTATAGTGAACCCTCAGTTCTAACATTTTTGTTGAATATTCACAAAATCGCAAGATTTCTTATAGTAAACTTTATATTAATACAAAAAAAAATGGGTCTTTTAACGAAAGTTCTTTGTTAATTTTTGATTTAAAGCATTAAGAACTCTCAATTCTGTGTAATTAGTTGTAATATTATAGCTTTTTATCATCATCATCAATGATAGTATTTTTGATCAGAATCACATTCTTTGCGTCATTGAGGATAAATAACTATGAAGATAAACAACTACCTGGGAAATTCATCAAACTTCAATCTTATCCCACGATCATACAAATTTGTGTATGGCTTAATTAAATAGAAATCTAAATCCATTTTCTTGAGTTTGAATATTTCTCATATGATCGTATCTGTATTTTAAATTTCTAATTATGATTTAAATTCTCTTTTGGTAATGATCATTTAATCGCTCCCTTTGAATGTTGAATTATTATTGATTGGTCAGCATTTATATTTCATAATTTTTAACTATAAAGACTGTCGCCATCAAAAGATTATTTGTTGAAAATAGCATACTTTATTACAATTAGAGTGAACATCACGCAAAAATATAATTAAATGATTCCCATCTTTTTGCATTCCATAAAATAAATTATTAATTGATATATTAATACTATCTCTTTTTTAGTTTTCTTAAGCAACCTTTCTAACGCGAATTAATGCCTTAATTTCGAAAAATAAGTTAGTAGATTATAACCTTCCATAGCTTTAAAGATTACAGCGAATTACTTACCTAATTTTTCTCTTAAGCTTTCAACAAAGTCTGCAAGATCGGAAGCAGGTCCACCCTTCATACCGTAGCTTCTGAGTTTTTCTTCAGTCAGCTTAAGGAAGGAACGACCGGTAATTCTCTCTTTGCGAATAATATCAAAATCTTCCTCTATAAGTTGTTGTAAGTCGTCATGTACCCGCAAATACGAGATAAGTTCTTCTGTATCATAGTGGATTATTTCAGACATGCTTTTATTGTGGAATTAAACCTTGGGCCATTCATTTTTGGGAATAGTTATTTTCGTTACATTACACGAAGTAAAAATCAACTAATTACGTGATCTAAAATATTTCCACATCCTTTTATTTGTCACATGGTTAATATCCTTAATGCCGGCCAATTTTCGTTGATCACTAAAACTCTTACTTTTTCTCAAAAGTATTGTTATATCACATTTACCAAAAGTATTTTTGACATTTTTCATGCATTATTTGAAAACAAATATCTACAATTAACTAGGTATTGGCTAGATCTAAGTTTGCTTTTGATAAAATAAATAAATCTCTTATAATAAATTCCTTCAAATAGATTAATTGATTGATTAAGATCTTTTTTTACCTGTTTCGGTTGAAGTAATAAGGGTCCAAACTTTCCTTACAAAACAATACAAATATAGGAGTGAGAGATTGCATTAGTGATTAATGAACCAGAAAGTAAATTTGCTGTTTATAATTGAAAGTGAATTTGTCAGTGATATTTTGAAATATTTAATTAGGAATTAAAAATAACAATTTCGAATTATGTAAATTGAAAGTACAGTAAGCGAAAGGACTATATTTTAAGTAATAGAATCATCTTTAAGAGAAATTGATTCCATTAAAGATTTGGATGTAATTTCATGTCTAGTTGTCATACGTCTACGAAGATTACGAACATAGGATTGTGGTTTTAATCATAGGACGGGATTGAGTCGAAGTAATAAGTTTATTATTTATAAAAAAAGACTGTTGTATGGCCAGTATTAGTATCTAATTAAGATCATATGATAAACTCCCTTTTGCTTTATACATACTAAAAATGCTTTTTTCCTGCCTGCTAAAATTTGATGCAAGGTTAGCTTTAAGAAAAGTGCAAATATAAACTTGTTTTTATAACGAGTTTATGGTTTTATGCGTGGTAATAATTTACTTGTAATTCTCGCCGAAAAAAAATCTTGGTCTAACTATAGTAGACAAAGATTTATACGACATAAACATGCGAAAACATTTGTCCCGTCACAATTCGAGAAAGTGGACGTTAATGGATTAACTTATACATGAATTTCTAGAAATTTGTCGTCAGATTTCATAAGACCATATTTATCAACTGGTATCCGATCAAAATCTTGAAAGTCACTTGCACGACTAACAAAATCCTGACAAGCCATTATATCGACAATTTTGTAAATCTAATGATGAGTGTTCTAATAAAATAATTTGCTGCAATATGTAATATTTAGTTTATGATAAAATGTGGTAAATTTTATAATTTTGTTCAGAATAATCAACTTTGTAATACACTCTTAACTTATTAACCCTTTATACACTACAGTATAAAAAGTATCATTCATAAATGATTTTAAGACTATTTATATTTTAATTTTTTTATACTTAGATATTTTTATTTATTTATTTATTTTATGTGAAGTTGGCAAGGGCATCAAAGGAGTATAATCTACCCAAAGGGTAGGGAAACTCCACTATAGAACCTGTCATCCGTCAAGGCCTAAACCAGGCCGGAGTGCCGGACCCTTACTTCTAATTAAAGAGAACCCTTACGACCAATTGAGGATAGTATTTATACTTAGATATTTATACAACTTTTATCTTCCTAATATTTAAAAACACTGCAATCACGTGGGCGTTACGTTTAGACTAACCACATAAATAACAATTTACAATTGTGTAACTGCAGTGTGTAATGCAAAGTATAAATCTTGATTTTTTACATGATAGGCACGCGTCATACGCGATTACCGTAATTAAAAAAAAAGCAAAAAAGTAAGAAGCAAAAAAAAAAAAAAGTAGAACAAAGTTAAAGAAAGAAAAAAAGAGAACAAAGGAACGAAAAAAAGAACCCACCTATATGGAACCGAAATACCAAAGCGCCGAAATTGCCGAAGAACAGGACCTATCGAGGAAATGAAGTTAGCACAAAGTTAAAGAACAAAAAAAGAATGGAACCGAAATGTTAAAGCGCCGAAGTTGCCAAAGAGCCAGGACCTAAAAGGAAAGAAGAGTTAGAACGATAGAACAAAGAGCCGAAATGCCGAAGAGCTGGGATCTAAGAGGAAAGAAGAGTTAGAACAATATAACGAACGAAAAAAAAGACAAAAAGAGAAAAAAAAATGAAAAAAAGTACCTTGGAACCTTGAAACCGAAATATCAAGGCCGAAGAGCCGGGACCTATTGAGCAAAACATAAAAAACAAAAATAAAATCCCTTGGTAAACTATATAATTTTGCTTTTCTTACTTTTTTTGAGATGTTAAATGAGTTATATTAATTGGAAATTTTTTACATTATAGTTCCCCGTTATCCTTATGTACTTGCATTTGAACCATCTGTTATTGAAGTGCGTCATGTCTGGGAGGAAAGAATAGTCAGAACGAACAAAAAAAATGAAAAAAAGATGCACCTTAGAACCAAAGAGCCGAAAACTGAAGAGTCAAAATGCCGAAGTGCTTGGACCTAAGAGAAAAAAAAAGTTAAAACGAAGTTAAAGAACGAAAAAAGAGAATAAAGGAGCGCAAAAACAAGAACCACCTGTATGTGAAACTGAAATGGCAAGGCGCAGGTATTATATATAAATAATTAAAATTTTACTTTATATATGTTTTTAAGTTTTAAATATTAACTGTTAACGTAGTTAACAGGTGAATCCTAGTTTTTTTTTAATAAAAGGAGACTTTTTTCCCTTAAAAATATTAAGAATCACGCGTCAATAAATAAATTTAACCAAAAAAATTTTCAGGTATTCAGCAATAATGAACGAATTTTTCATGCGCAAGTCTTCAGAATGAAATATTTTGGACTTTTTTTTGAATGCAGTATAGAAGAATTTATGCAGAAGATAGAAGCTTACATTACGTCACTCAGGGCCATCGCTGATACTCAGGAAGGCAGAAGGAGCGAACGAGCAAAAGAGTTTCTCAATAATTATAAAAAGGCGAGTTTATTTTTTTTTTTGGCTAAAAACATAGATAAGAAATTTGGTGGCGTGGCAGAGGGACTTTGGGTCCTTGTGTCATTCAAGTCTTCGAGATGAGCTACGAAGCTAATGTTAGGGCGCAGAGAATCTTTGAGATTAGCTGACGTTCAAGACTTTGAGTTGACCTGGCATTGGCCCCACCGGGGCGCAGAAAATCTTTGAGATTGGCTGACGTTCAAAACTTTGAGTTGAACTAGTGGGATGCAAAGAACAGATGGGAAATTCAGAAGCATGTTAAGAATAATACTAATGATCCTTCTTTTTAGGACGACCAGCTGGGGCCAGTGAAAGGCTTCAGTGAAATGTGTTTCGGCAAAATCGAAGTGTCCACCCAGGGAAATGGTATATCAGCGAAACGAAATTGCTTCGGTGAAATGGGTTTCGGTGAAAAGGACTTTGGCGAAAAGTCGGATACCCTTTTCTCATATTATCTTCGTTGAAAAAAACATAATATCATAAGTTTTTTCGCGTTTACTCCAATTAATTTATCAAAAGCCCTTATACTTTATAGTTATAATGAGTATATATTCTGTTTCATCTTCTTTCGTTACTTCCTCTCTGTTTTCTTTTGATAGTTGCCTTACGAATTTGTGGCAATTTCCATTAGCCAGGAATTAATAATGGGTTTGATTCATATGACAAACAAGTTATGTTCAGAAACTATGGCTACTAGAAATGGTTTCAAATTGTAGGGTTGTAACGTCTTATTACTGTTCAATAGCTAAATCTATTTTTGCGATTATCTGAAAGAAATTATATTGTGCATAAATAAAATTCCCTCGTGCAGACGGCCATTCTTAAAATATCATTTTATTTTCTATAGTCCGAAGATGTACGAAACACGGTCATGTAATTAATTAATTATGAGCGAAATTTTCTATTACCATCACCAAAATCAATCCTTATTTTAAATCCATTGCTCTTATTCACGTACGCCTAATCCAATATTTGTTTAAGATAATCAAACAATAAGCTTTATTTAATTTAAGAAAAAATAATTAAACTTTATGATACAGTCAGTATATTGCACATTGTACCATATAATAATAAATTATGCTAATAAAAACTCAACACAATCTGGAAAGATCAAATAAATTTTATCACTATTAATATGTTGAGATCATGTGAAATATTTTGTGTGATGAGGCTAACGTAGAAAGTAAAGGAAAAGTAAAAAAAAAGGTGAATAATAATAATGTTGATAATAATTACTTATAAGGCAGATTTTAAATGTAATAATTCATTATCTCTCTTATAATTATCGATATTTTCAGCATGGTCTGCCATTAAATTATTTTTAATTTGATCAATTTCTCGTTGAGTGAATCCAAGATATTCATTTAGATAATTGTCTACAGTTCCATATATATCACTAAATTTATGTAATGTTAATATCATTGATTCGTATCTATGTATTTAAAATGATATTTCATGAAAAATAAAGGTTAGTAATAAATTAATAAATTAAATAGATTTTTATTTATACAGAAATTTTACTTACTTTGCATTCATTATTTTTCTAATTTCATCCATAGTAAAATGACCTTTACATAAGTCGTAATAGGTTTTAATAATATCTTCATTATATTCTGCCAATTATAAATAAATAAATGTTTAAAAAATCAATTCGATAAATTAACAAATAGATCTATTACTGTAATCAAATACTATATAGTTAATTACTTACGAATATTTCTATTAGTTATTTCATATTCTCTAGCAATAATATCATCGCTAACACCACATAATTTTAATACTAACATACATAATACACCAGTTCTATCTTTACCCATTGCACCATGAATGATAAATGGTCTATTGGGATAATTTAATATATGTCGAAATACTACTTTATAAGCTGGTCTACCTTCATCTAATATAATCATGCACACTATATTATAAATAAAAATTATATTAATATATTTGAAATAAAGGAAAAAAAAAAGTATATATGAATTTCTAATAGTATACTACCATTAGATGAACCTTCGTAGTCTTGAATATATGATGACCATTTTTTGAATAACGCTTCTTTTGAGTGGTCAGCATCTTTAAATATTGAAATATGAATTCTACTTATTCCTGGTATATTTCTAAATTTTATAACAATATTAGTTAAAATTTTTCTATGAAATTCTGTATATTTATTTAATACTTACACGAATCCAATGTCTTGAACTTCAGGAGTTGATCGAAAATCAAATACATTTTGTATGTTAAGCAAATTTAAAGTTTTAATCCCATTTTCAGTAATTCCATTTAAACTAGCAAAAAAAAAAAATTAGCAATTTTCAGATGAGAGAATTTCAAAGAATCAACCTTAAAGAAAAATGAAAAAAGATAACTTACTTCCCACTTCTAAAAATAAATCTTTTACGAACATATTTTCTCGTCACATTAGGATAACCACCCAAATCTCTAAAATTTGTAACACCTTCAACATTCAAATATCTTGGTATACTACTCATAAATTTATTTTTCTCAAAAAATCTCGTAGATTGAAATTCATCCGAAAAATATTCTCTTATTGCAGAAACTAATTCATTATGGTGATCACTATAAGAATGGTTTGCGCCAATGATGACTTTTAGTGTATTATTTGGAACTACGTTGGAGAATTCTGCCGCATCATTTGGTGTTGTGTACTACAATTAAGAATTGTAAAGAAAAAAACGTTATAAGTGGAGGCAAGCTACCTCTTTAAGCCGGCATTTAGGTCATTACTTTTTATAAATGAAATTTTACTTTATAAACTTGCCTCATCATTTGTCCCATGAAGTATTAATACTGAAGTAGATTCCGGAAGTTCACGTACTATATAGAGAAAATGAATATTTAAAATTTTTTCTTTATTCGGTTCAAAATTAAAGTATATTAAATTTAAGAAACACTTACCAAAAGACATATCAATTGAAACAAAATTTGAAAAGCTCTCATAAGTAGTCATAACTCTTTTAATTTCTCCATAAAACTTGTATTCATCAACTTTAAAACCTTCACTTTTAAATTTTTTCAAAAATTCTTTTGGATAATTTCGTAATAAATTACTAAAATGATATCTTGCTGAAATTGCAACTAAATGCGGTATATTCCTCCTTATTCTTGTAACATAATGATATGACGGAAGATTCCCTGTTTCAAAAGTCTGAATGAGTTTGATAAAGTAATGAAAAATAAATTTACGTATATTAATGACATACCCATGGAATGACTTATTATGGCATATAATTGATATCCATATTCCCTTTCTAAATATTCCACCACTGTATCAATGTCGTTAATTTCATTCTAGAAATCAAAGAAAGAAAAATGAGGCTGATACTTTGTAAAAAAGATGATCCGTGTTTTATATTTTATATCAACATAATCACGATTACACAAGATTTTACAGAAAAGTTACCTCACAACTACCATAATCTATAGAAATAAAATCACTTTCTCCATAACCTCTAAAATCAAAACGAAATGTATCGAATGGCAGTTCTTTTGCTAATTTTGGTTGAAAACTAAAGTTTTTATGTGCTATTTATGAAAATATATATTTTAATACAAATGATTTTCATTTAAAAGAAATTTTTCTAAAGAGAAATACCTTGAACGCCATGACACATTATTCCAATTTTTGTACCTCTTGTACTTTCTTTTGGTAATTTACGTTCAAGTATGCCAACAATTATTTGTCCTTTATCATTTTTTATTCTTAATAATTCATCACTCATTCTAAGTAATAAAAGCTCTTTTAGCAATAAAAATTAATTTCAGTGTATCTAAAACAAAAGAATTTTATATAATTTTTTTTTTTCGAGTTAGGACGCGTAGTTAATATTGTTCTTTGGTGCACCCCAAAAATGATCAAAACCCTAATTCAAAATATATGGCAATATGATCAACTGGTGTCACCAGAAGTTCTGACGTATGGATTTGGAGTACTTCATGAACCCGGTGCAACAATCCAAGTATTAAAGTTCCCAAGAAAAAGGAGAAATTGTATGAAAAGTTAAATGAGTTGAATGAGTTAAATGAATTTACTTATAAGTTGTTACGAATAATACTTATAATAAAAGAGTTTACTTATGTTACAAATAATAATTAATAAAAAGAGTTTACTTATAACAAAATTTTGTGTGACAAACGCTAACGTATTTTTTAATAAATAAATTTTTGGATTTTCACATAATTTTCCACAATTTTTTAGGTGGGACGCATTACTACAATTTAGGTTAGCCATTCAATATAATTCGATTTATATGGATTATACCCGAAACCTTAAATTACTTTTATCAATAGATGTACAATAGAACAAACAAAATATGAAAGAATAATAATAAAATTTATTGTTATATTATAAAAAATTCCTCTTTCTCTCTTGTAACATATCATCATATATCATTGTTTCGTTAGACTAAAATCTAATTAATTAAAGCACAAATATGCTTTACTCCAGACTAAAAAAATCTTTAGTTTCTAACGCGTACTATTAGAATAGTGAAAATGGATCTTGAGTTCTGGAATAAATGCTATTTAGAAAAAAATTCGGTATCATAGTTTTTAAAAGCACAAGGAAAACTAAGCTAGATTGTGATGCCTTGATAATATACTGTGGCTGATATACTTATCTGCAATCGTCTTTGGTCTATCTGCTATGAGAGGATCAACTACGTTTTTTACTCATAATAATCTCTTTTTGCGAGAGAGAAATGTTAAAGAATGAAGAAACTCAACAAATATAAATTTACTATAAATTTATTGACGATTACGCAAGAAATCCAAGATTACATTATCCTGGCAGGACGTTAACATGTATTATAGTTAAACTCATTTAATAGTTTTGTTAATTGATATTTTTTTGTTCGGTCGGGATGTTGTTATCTGAATATTAAAAACTTAGTCGATATCTTATCAATTATCAATTTATCACATCTCGAACGTGCCATCCGTATAATGGGTGAAAGACTGGGATCAAATTGAATTTGTAAGTCATATATTGAAAAAAACATTGATTAACTCTATGGTCATATGAAATTAATATGAGGCGAAGTCACTGCGAACTTTTTTTGAACTCCCATTGTCCATTCTGAAAAAAATCGACTAAACTGTAAAAAGAAAATTTTTCTGTTAGAATCCAAATGGCTTAGTTCAGTTTACACGTTTAAGTCGTTTAATAGACCTTGTGCGCCTACCTATTACTATTTAGAGAACAAAATGTCGGTTATCCCTTTACAGTAATAAACTTTATGTTACACGTTTTAACATCTAAAGCTCCTAAGCCATTCTATCTTTTTATTCCCCGTATTTACAAAACAAAATGTGTGTTGGATTTTCTTTCGCAACACTTATAAACAATGAATTTCAGAAGCCTGTAGTTCCTTACCACTTATATTTTATTATAATTGAACATTTTATCTGCTTTTTAAGAGCTAGATTGAAAAAAATTCGGGGGTTTTCTTTGTCTAATCTGTTGTACATCTAAAATAAGGACAATTTATTTATTATTTTATTATTATTTTTTCCCCTAACCTACGCTAAATATTTTTCTTTCATTCTTGAATTTTTCTATTACTTAATGCTTTAATAATCAAGTAAGTATCTTAATCTAATTAATTCATATCATCAAAGAGTCAAGAAAATTTTTCAATCAATTTCTCTTAATTTTTTGGCATTCATTGTTTATATAATAATGTTAGATTTGGATTTGAAAGAATCAACATAATCAAATCAATATTAACAGTATATTTACTCATTCTTTGCAGATTTCATCATATTATAATCTCATTAAGTAATGGATCGAATTCAATGCAATACTATATTATTTCTTTTAATAATTCAATTATTATTATTATACGTCAATTTGTCACAATCAAAGGATAATAATAATTTTCCAAATTATGCCATTCGGGTTAATAAACGTGACGCACAGTCGGGAACTCCTAATATAAATAATACTGTTGCAAAAGAGCCATTAAAGTGTAATGGTGATGCAGCTATTTGCGATCTAAGATATGATCAAGTGGTAAAAATAGCGCGTTCATTTTTTTTTTCCAAAGAAAAAGATTTGTTCGAATTTATTAAAGTGAATTCTCTTTTTTTCTTACTTTCACTTTCCCTTTTCGTTATTTTAGACTTATCCCGGAACTCATAATAGTGCATCATACAATTTAGAATTCGATTGCAATCTAACAGTAAGAAATTGTTTAGATTCAGTAAGTGTATGTAGTAAACAATACGCACAATGTTTAATGACATATGGGATGCAATGCGATGCACAAACTTCAGCGTGTAAACAACGGAATCCACAATGGTTACATTGGTTGTGTGAAGGATTCAATAAGACATGTAGGTCTAGTAATGCTTTGTGTACAGCATGGAATGCTGTTTGTACCAACAGTGATAGAGTTTGTAATGTTTGGGGTAATGCGTGTGAAATTGACGTGCCTGATTGGATTATAACTTGTTTTTGGGAAAACAATCCTGGTTATCCTGTTTTAAGACAACTTCAGGATGGTAAGTCTAAATTTTAAAGGAGGAGAAAAGAGATGATTTTGTTTTGAAATTTGTGTTAACTTTTTTTTTAAAAAAAAAAAACTTTTAGGGATTAGATTGTTTGATTTTGATACATGTCTTTTAAATAATGAACATGGAGTTTTTTGCCATGGTCAAAATCCGGCGAGAGCATTGGGAGAAGAATTAGATACAGTATTTCAAGTAATTTTGGATTTCATGAATTCCAACCCCAACGAGGTTATAACAATTGAATTTGGTGATACGGATGGAGACCCACAAATACTTAGTAATTATATACAATCAAAACTAGCACAATATTTTGTAAATCAAACAACAGGGCATTCAATGATGTATTCAATGTCAGATCCTAATAAGCCATGGATAACATTACGTGAGATGATAAATAATAATACTCGTATAGTTGTTTTCTTCGGTAGAATTTATAATAATGTACAGAATAGACAACCATGGATACATTATACATATGAATGGTTTACTGAATCGTACAGATATACTTCTAATGATATGACTCCTGAACAACTTACCAATAGTTTTAATGGTTATTGTGCTACTTCTGATGCCGTTATTAGAAATGACACACAATTGTATGGTAAAGTGAGATGGCAGACAATTGATGATACGTAAGTATTCTTTTTTTAAAAAAAAGTTGTTTATTTGTTTTAAACAAAACTTATTCCTTTTGAAAATTACAAGTGTAGGAATATTACCCACTAATATAGAAGAAGCAATAAAGATGGGAAAAAGTCCAGGTCCAGTATGCATAAAAGATTTAGCATTAGGAATTAATTTTGATGTACTAAAAAATATTGAAGCATTTTGTTATCCTAGATTTCCCTATTATTTTAGAGTAAGAGTTGATCATTATTGGCAAAGTAGCTTATTTGAAGTTGTTAGAAAAATGAATCGACAAAATGTTATAAAGTTCTTAGGTAATGCTACTAGCACTAATAGCGCAAATCCAACTTGATAATTTTTTGAAGAAAAGGTGGAGGGGAAGAATCGAGATGTGCGTGTGATGATCAAGTTAAATGATTTGAATTATTTTGAATTAGTTCTTTTTTTTCCTTTTTTTTTTAAAAAAAAAAAAATGGTTGGTTTTTTTTGTAAAATAGCTAATAAAAACATTAAAATTAAAAATTAAAAAGATTATATAATTGAAGGAAACTTTATTTATTTAATAAAAAATCGCATTTGTATAATTGAAAATCCAACTATATTGTAAATATTAGTCTAATTATATAAATACATTGTCTTTCAAAAAAAGTATTTTTTAAATAAATCATTAAATATTTTTTTTTCCACCAAATAAATAAATGATTCAATTGATATTGATTGATTGTCTATTGAAATGACCTCCAAGGTAATAGATTTCTAGGAATATTAAAATAGAACATCCGGAATGTATTTGTAAATACTATTTCTAATTTAAATTTAAATTTAGCGGCATTTAGTTACCGAAATATCTTGATATATATCATCTAATCTTTGAATTTTTGGTATTCATCAATAAAATATTCTTTCCTATGATCATTTAAAAAGCTATATTCGCGCATAAAAAAAAAATAAATTTAATTTATTAAAATATATAAAATAGTTACTCTATTCCTAATAATTGAGATGAATATAAAAAGTCTTACTTTAGGAAATCTGACAAGTGATATTTCAAGGTGTCTAATGTATCTTCTGCAAGATTCATATTTGAAATCAATTGTGGAAAAGATACTAAATAAATTATATAAATAATTAGAATCATTTAATTTCAGTAACTCAAGTAACCACACAAATAACTTCACTAATTTAGTTTACACACCAAACAATCTTAATAAATGCTCTGCTCCATATATTTGGGAGTTATCCAATTGTTCAAATTTGTTACGTATTCCTCGATATTGTTGTCTTTCTGATGTATACAATAAACGGGATCTCAAACATTTGTTAAAATAAAATTGCACTCCATCGATGACTTCATTTGCAATACCATCGCTATAATAACGAAAAAAAAAATTAAATTTGTAAAATTTTTATAGGAAACACTAATTATGATATTTTTAATATTCTGTATTTACGATTCTTGTCCTCCTTTCTTATTTCGATATGTCCTATATTGACTTATAATGTCCTTCACAGAAGGTTTTCTTGGCAAAGGCACGACCTGAATAAACAAACACATTATAAATACTAAATAGATTATATTAGGATATACATAAATTTAATTACCAATGATGATTTATCAATATTTTCCCAATCTTGAACTAGAATTGCTCGAAGGGGATCAGGGACAGGAATGTTAATCTTTGGTTTTTTGACACTTTCATCCTAAATAAAAGGAAAGAAGAAAACTCAAAATTTTTTTTTCAATCAATATCAACGTAAATAATAAAGCAAACTCTAGTTACTTTGTCCGTTAAAGTATCTCTCCTTCTTTTCTTCCCTTTTTCAGCTGTAGTTTCTTGAGCAGGTTTTTTAACAGTCGACCTTCCTTTTTTACTTAAAGATTCTTCGAGATTTTTTTGTTTAGCCAAATTCGCATCATTAAATTTTAACACTCGACCCTCTGAAACCCATTCATCCCACCTACATAAAAACCAAAAAATATAGTTTTTTTTTTATTTTCGAAAGAAAAAAAAAAATAATGAATTCTTACGTATTTTTCCATCCTTTGTAATGTATTAGATAATGTGGGCCCGGTAAATTGGTTTTTGGATGTTTATTATCCGCTTCTAAAATCTAAAAGAAAATTATTTTTTTTCATTTATCGTAATTGAATAATAATTATTACAATTTTTATTTGTGTATACATTACCTTTGCTTCATAAATCATAGGTCCATGATAGCAAAGAATTCTTTCACCTTGTTGATAATGAAATTCTTTATTCTGTGCCATATTCTTAAAAAGTATTAAGCAAGATGATCAAATAAATAAAATGATTTAGAAAAATGAAAGGTTTAAAATCAAGAAAATCCTGATTTATAAAAATTTTCCGGGTATTAAAATAAATGCATTCCGCATAATTTCCATTTTTGGTTAAATTAAAAATATGAAGAACGTCACAAATTCCTTTATAAATTTCAAGAATCAAAAAGGTTGATCGATCTCGATTATTTTAAAAAGGAATTTTAGTGACATAATTTGATTATTACATCATAAAAAAAAATTGGTCATTTCCGGTAATATAACATTATAAACAAAATGTAGTTTTTGTAAATTTTATTGCGGCTTAAATTCCTTAAATCTAATGGGCTGTGTTGGCTTTTTATATTAAGAAGGAATCTTGCATTAATCAAAAGTTATTTATATTCATGACCAACAGGGACTAACTTAATTTGTAAAATGATGTGCCAGCTAAGCCGCGGCAAAGCCTCAAGCTAACTTTAATTTGGTACGGTTTAGGGCGTAAAGTTCGGATTTCGTATAGCCGAAGTGAGTCCGGCTTATCAAATTTGTATATGGCTGAGACGGCAAATTCACACGTGATGATCAAAAATAATGAATATAAAAGGCTTTTGGGCAAAAAAAAATTTTCGTTTTTTTCTATAAAAATTTTAGCTTTAAATAACTTTATTTTATTATTCTTTTATTTTGTGACAATGAATTTTTTTAAATATAATCCGGCAGTTTCGGACGTTATACCCGGTAATTCATCAACAGGTAAAATATAAAATTATTCCTTAAAAAAAAAAGATAAGATAATCTGATTAATTCCGTGTTTCTTTCAAATAAATAGATAGTATTAATAGTACGAGTGACGTGGATAGTGAGACTTCAGTAGAAAATACTCTTACAGAAGTTACACTAAATTCTCGTAACGAATCGGATTCAGATGAAATAGAACAAGATATGCTTCAACACAGTTCCGCAGAAAACGAAATTGATGATGAATCGTCTCCTCAACATAATGAAATAAATACATCCACTTCTGTTAATTCGAGTAGTCCTGATAGTGAAAAAAGCACAAATGATAAAAATATAAATTTGCCATTGTTCAAGAAATCTCCGTTAGATATCTCATCCATTTGCACTTCTTCAGAATCAAATGACACGAACGTTCAAACTATTCAACGTTCTCATGACGTTAACAATTCAAATCGCAAGCGTAGTTTCATAAACTATGAAAACAATTCGTATGTTTGCTCTGAACCATCTTGTAAGAAAAGATTTACTCAAACGGGAGATTTAAAGAGACATCAACGTATTCATACTGGCCATAAACCATATGCATGCGAAGAATGTGGGCGAGAATTTTCTCGATTAGATACTTTAAAAGAGCACAAACGAACTCATACTGGTGAAAAACCCTATGCATGTGATTTTTTGGGATGCAATAAAAAATTTAGTAAATCGGGTAACTTACGACAACATCAACGTACTCATACAGGAGAACGTCGTTATATTTGCCAAGAACCTGGTTGCAATAAAAAATTTATGTATTCAGGAGATTTGAAAAGACATAAACGCTCTCATACTGGAGATAGTCCTTATGCGTGTAATTATCCCGATTGTAACAAAAAATTCGGAAGGATGGATTCTTTAAAAACACATCAACGAATTCATGTGGCGAAAGAAGCATCCGCTTCTGAAACCGTTGATAATAAGGCATCAAATAATAAACTAGTATCGAATTTGAAAATACATCAATTCATTAATGCAGAAGAAAAACCATTTGCATGTACCGAAGCTGGTTGTGATAAAAAGTTCTTACGTTCTGGAGATTTGAAAAGACATCAACGTGGTCATACTGGGGAAAGACCTTATCAATGTGATAATCCAGGATGTAATATGAAATTTGGACGTTTGGATATATTAAAGTCACATAAGCGTACTCATGCTGATAAAGAAAAAGTTTGCGATGAGCCTGGATGTAATAAGAGGTTTAGTAAAACAAGCAATCTTCGTTCTCACCAACTTGTTCATAATGGAGAAAAACGCTTTGTATGTGGTGAATTGGGTTGTGGCAAGAAATTTATGCGTTCTGGTGATTTAAAGAGACATGCACGTGGACATACTGGCGAGAAACCCTATGCTTGTGAGGATCCTGGTTGTTTAAAAAGATTTGGTCGTTTAGATAGTTTAAAAACGCATCAACGTACTCATCTTACGGATGGTTAAGATAATAAATTGATTTTACAAATTTTAAAACATTATTTGATAGTTGAATAGTTATTAGTAAATAAAATATAGTTATTATAATTTCTTTTAAATTCTTTAATGAACATTTATGAACATTTATTTAGAAAAAAATTAGAAAAGTTTTAATAAAAAATTAATTGATTTTTAATTTGCTATAGCCGTGGTAAAGTATAAAGTGAACTTCATCCATAGAGAGAATATGTTTATATGATAGTAAAGTGGGAACGTGAGAATGTACATGAATAGTGCATATTGGGAGTTCACCAATACAAAGATATACAATGATACCTTAATTACCTTATATGGCTTATTATTGATTAATGTTCTTTTTAAATATTAAACTCACTAATTCATTTGATCTAGATCCTTTCGTCCAATCAATTTGATATTGTTTCAAAAATCGTTAATTTTTACAGTGTTCTCCCATTTCATGTAATAAGTATGAACTTATGCACAGTACTTATTGTATATAAAAATTCCGTGATAAATTTTTTTAATTAATAAATCTTTTAATGCTTCGTGCCCGTTTTATGAATGTAATTAATTATTGGGTAGAAACATCCTTCATAACCAACCAACGCTAAATTTTTGAAATTTCTGATCATAATTACCAAACGAAACTTCCAAAAAATCCTTGAACGTAATTATCGATAATATAATTATCACTTGATTTCATTCAAGAGCTGATATATGCTTTCTTCCGTAGACTTGTTCGAACTTCAAAGAGCAGCTGCTATACATTTTTCATTTTACATAGAAGAAAGGTAACGGTATATTTTATCATTGTTTATGTAAGATGGATTACATGTAACAGTTATATGCTCTTCAAACAATGCTTCAATTTCCAAAATCTAAAATCTCAAGTATGTCATTTTGTCATTTTGCAATCTAAACTGATCCTACACTATAATCAAATAAAAAGATTACCGTCTCTTAATACTTTAGACTTTCCTGCCGAAACAAAAGAGTAAAGTTCTTTATCTGAGAATTTGTATCAGCATTTATAGAAAAATTTTTATTGGAAATTCTATTTTGTATTTGCTGAAATCTTCATTTAATTATAAACCTGTCTCCTGAGTCCTAATCAACGTTAATTACCAATTCGCCTATGAATCGGACCATACTGAGAAATTCTGGATTACTATGGTATCAATTGATTTTATTTATCGTTATTTTCGGAAAGGTGTGGCCAGTTTATCTTTATGTCTATGGGGAACAATCAATCAAATTTTCAAAATTAAGTTTTAATGGTTTTGGAAAAGCAAGAAATCTGGAATCTCGTGATCTCTCAATTGGGTCACAATACGACCATAATGAACAAATGTCAATATAAAAATAAATTTTCTCTATTAACAGTATAACTCACCAATTTCCAAAATTCCTATCTTTCTCTCAATTTTAAATTTTCTATCAATGGATTATCAGAGATAAATTCTCTTTTTTTAAATTAAATTAGCAGAAATTTATTGATATAAACAAGTGATAGAAATATACAACAAATTTGATGACGTAGGAATATTGAATTAAAAGTAATAATGATAGATGTTATCCTTGTTGATTCGAAATAAACTTTGAGCCTAATGGTATAATTGATAACATTAATTAAAATTTAATTATTAAAATTATATTCAATAATTTAAAAAGATTAGAACTTACGTAGATCTTCATATCTTTTCGTTCTGAACTTATCAATCTTAATTAAACGATCACAAATTGTAACAATTTCATCATCAATCTTCTTTGAATCCTCTTTCACGTTTGATTTTAACTCGCTTAAAAGATTTGCTAAGGTTTGTAAACAATCTAATAGAATAAATTAAAAAATAATGTTAAATGTAAAATGTATAATATATAAATATATGCTTTCCAATTTTAAACTTATACAAACATTTGCTATCTGGTTCTAATTCCAATAATTCTCTAACCACGTTAATTTCACGTTGCAAAAGTTCAATTCTTTCTGATGTATTTATCGATAAATTCTGATTTAATGAATTTGATGATTCTTTTGATTCTTCATTCATTTGTGAAGTAGATATAATAGAACCTAAAAATAAATAAAAAGTTTAAAATAAAATTAAAGTAAATATTAATGTCAAATTTTTCATACCTTGAGCAACCAACCACCAATGATATAGCCATGCACTTTGATCATCTGGATCAGTATAAAATGCCGCTTTTACCAATTCAAATTCTATAAAAAAATGTTTGTTTTTTTTAAAAAAAAAAATTGAGTTTTTAAAGAATGTAATCATTATTTTTACCTTTATCAATTAGTTTTTTTTTTTCTTGTTCATCCAAATTTTTCTCTTTTATTAAAAGTGGTAATAATTTACTTCGTTGATGCCAAGCCGAATAATTAGAGAAATTTTGATTAATCTTTGTAGTTGTAAAATCAAACTCAATTTGAGTGAGCGAAGTTTCAGTTGTGCAAGAAAGTTTTGATGTCACATAACGTCGGTAATCCCAAGCGTGAACTTTTAAACCATTTTTGATAAATAAATAGTTAAAAATAATAAAAAGAATATTATTATTATTGTTGTTAAATTGAAATATTACTTACAATTTCTAGCATCCAATTCCAAAAATTTTCCGACAAGTTGCAATTCTTTATCCCAATCTGGATTCTGCATAGTTTCTAAACACCATCTTCTATGATTAAAAATCCAATAAGATTTCGGATTTAACTGAAAAAGTTCTTGAAGAAAAACCAACTCGGTTGATAAAGTTTGTTGTTTATCTTCTTCTGAACTAATTTAAATAAATTAAAAACATTTATTTTGTTAAATTAACATTGAAATAATGAATTTAATAGAAAATACCATTCTTTTAGAAGCCCATTTAATAAAATTAATCTCCTAAAGTTCCATATTGAATAAAAATCAGGGTTTTGTGACAATATTTTTGTAGTTAAAGCAAGTGCATCATTATCAAATTCTTTTTTATCTTTCTAATAATAATTATGATAATAAGTACATTAATAAATTAATTAAATTGATAAAATATATAAGTATATAAAAGAACGTTAAGAAATGACTTACTTTTTGAAAATACGACTCAACTAAATTCCTATATTCTTTTATTTTAGTTACTTCCTTTTCTTTACGAAGTTTTTCTACTTCAGCCGATGGTTTTACTCGCTTACGGCCATGCTAATTGTAAAAAATGTGTATGTATATCATCTAATATATTTTTATCAGTTATTAAAAAATTCTAGATTCATACCATTTTGTAAAAAATTAAAGAATGAAATTTTAACCATATGTAATAAAAATGAATTTAATATAATGTAGTGGCACATGACAATCATCTGAGATCATAACAACGTGAAATAAATGACTATCATCTGTCCAATTTTTTAAAAGAGATTTTTTGGTCATAGATCCCTGGAATAGTGATGTCAAATGATCAAGTCACTTGCCGAATGATTGAGCCTTTGGGGTCAACTGTATTGTCGCTTATATTATAGTTGTGGGGTAGAAATATCGGTCATCCCGTAGGGGTGACCGATATGTTACCTTCTGTATTATTTATTATGCATGCCATGCCTAATTTTATAAAAAGTTTGATTTTTTAAATAATTAGCGTGTTATTTATATACATAACCAATATTTTTTATCCCACCCCTTTTACTGACAAAAATACGGTCTATCAAAAATAAAGTTTGAAGTCGCATAATATTGCGTACGTTAAATAGTCGCCATTTGAAAGTTTAAGAATTTCAATTTGGTTTTTAATTTGTCCATCAATGATTAATTATAATTCTTCATCAAAACATCTGATAATCGGGACAAGTTAATTTCACTGATAAACGTTTTATTGACAGTCATTAACCGACAGTTCATTTTGCCAGTGCAAAGCTACTTTTAAAGAAAATTTAAATTATTTTTTTCTAGTTTTTTGACTCATCACAGCTAAAAATACTAGTGGTAAAATGATTGTCGGGAAAATGTGTATCGGGAACAATAGGAGATCATGACCCCTTATGTTCTTAATTGTCGTTGAATTGAATGCGTCACCGAAAATCGATTACATATTACTAATTCAGAATATTAGAATAATAATTAACTGTCATTTGTTATTTACAGGGTTTCATGATAAGAAATGCACCGTAAATCAGTAACAAATTTTTAAAAAAATTTAGTAAAAAACAAACACAGATTATCATAAAGTAGTGTAATCATGTGTTAATATCAATGTGAAAAAAATTCATTTTCAACTTGAAAGTCTATTTTACTTTATTAAATTCTCTTTTAGAATGGTAAAATTTATATTTAGGATTCTCATACGGAATTAATCTCGCAGATCTTAATCAAATATATTTAATTAACGAAGAATGTCATAATTACACAGATCTTACTAAATCTAATGTATTTTAATTTAAAGAAAAAGATGTGAAGTGAGATAAGATTGGCGTAACTTACATACCGTATATAACTTACGTTCAAAATTCTTCAAGCACAAATTATCTTAAAAAATTCTTTTTTATATAACCGTAACTTATCAATATGGCGTCTGTTTCATTAAACGAATGGATTAGTAAGAAGATAAAAGAAGGTGAAATAAGTTATTTAGATTATAGTGATCTTAGTGACCTGAGAATGATTGATAAAGAATCTGGCGTAAAAAGAGCTAATTGGGTATACGGTAGAGCTAAATTAGCATTAAAGGTTCTTATAAATAATCCTACAATTAATGAAGATAATATGAACAAGTTACTTATTGAGGTATTTTATATAATCACATATTTGTCTTTTATTATTTATTATTCAAGTTAATATGATTAATTTTTAAATTAATTATATCTAGTTAAATAATTTAATGAAAGTCAATTTTCATCCATGTATAAATACATTTTTTGGAATTACAAAAGGTTAATATTAATGATTTTTAATAATGAAATTAATAAATAATATTCATTTAATAAAATTTATTATTTAAAATTATAGAACCATCATCAAATAATTATATGATGGCACTACAATATGCTAACCAGGGAAATTTAAGAGATTATTTAAAAAGGAATTTTAGATTACTTCAATGGGCCGGTAAAATTAAGATGGCTTTGGATATTGCTCGTGGTTTAAAGTGCTTACATGCAAGAAATATTGTTCATAGAGATTTGGTAAGAATAAAATTGTTTTATTATTACTATTCTTTAAAAAAATTTTAATTTTCTACGTATTAATTTGAATTCGTTACTTACATTATTATATATAGCATGCAAAAAACATATTAATTCACAAAAATAGATTAATGATTGCAGATCTCGGTTTATCGAAACAATTAACTGTCGAAATTACATCAACTTCATATGTTGAACCACAATTCTTTACTGTTGCAAATTATGTAAGAAATAAGAAGTCTGATATCTACAGTTTAGGCGTTCTTTTATGGGAGATATCAAGTGGATATCCTCCCTTCTTAAAAATTCCATATTATTCTTTAATTTATAAAGTTTCAAATGGTCTTAGGGAAGAACCAATAAGTGATTCACCTCCTGAATATGTAGATCTTTATCAAAAATGTTGGGATGTTGACCCAAATATAAGACCAACTAGTGATGAAGTTGTTGATACATTGGAATATATTTTGTCAAATATTAAAGAAGATTCAAAGATTAAAGAAGATATGAATATTAGCGAAGATTCAAAGATTATAAAGAATACAGAATATACGAATATTACTGAGGATCCAAATATTACGAATGATTCAAAGATAACAAATGATCCAATGATTAAAAATGATTTAATAGTTACAAATGATTCAAAGATTACACATAATCAAATGATTACAGATGATTCAAAAATTACAAATAATTTAATGATTTCAGATGATTCAAAGGTTGCAAATGATCCAATGATTATAGATGATTCAAATGTTGCAAATGATTCAATTATTACGAATGATCCAAAGATTATTATTTCAAATGACTCAACGAATACAAATGATCCAATTATTACAAATGATTCAAAGATTACTGGAGATTCAAAGAAAGATGAAAAGCATGATCGTTCAGAATCATCACCATTACGTGAATATAAGATCAGTAAGTATATTTTCTTACATTGTCAAAAGTCTATTAAGACATTATTATTAATATTACATTATTTATTATAGGTAAACCATTACCATTAGTTTTTAATAATATTGAAGATGAAAGTAGATTATTAAGTAGTATTTTAGATGAAATTGTTCAAGTTTATTTAGAATATAATAATATTGGATGGACAAATAATTTTGATTTTGATGAAGTTTTAGAAAAATATAAGTCAAAAGCACGAAAAATTTTTGATTATCTTATTGAAAATTCAAATATAAAGCATTATGAAGTGATAATTGGAAAGTTTTATAGAAAAGGGTTTGGAATTGATAGAAATGATATAATAGCATTCCAATGGTTTATGAAAGCGAATCAAAAGAATGATATGTGTGGTCATTATGAAGTTGGACATTGCTATTATAGTGGAAATGGTGTTACAGAAAGTAACGAAAATGCGTTTAGATATTATAAATTTGCTGCTAATAAAGGATTAAATATAGCTGTGGATTTTCTTGCAACTTGTTATGAATATGGTTATGGTACACAACAGGATAGCATTAAGGCATTTGAATTATATAAAATAGCTGCTAAAAATGGATTTATACCATCACAATATGAATTAGGTAGGTGCTTTAATTCTGGTAAAGGTGTTCAAAAAAGTTTGAAAAAAGCCTTAAAATGGTATAAGTTGTATCAAAAAAATAATGGAATTAGTGATGTATCGTCCAAGATTGAGGAAATTGAAAAAGAATTGGTAAGATAAAATATATATAATTATATTTTTAATTTTTTAGATTACATGATACATGATAACATTATTAATGACTATTTAATTTAATAGGAACGAGGTTGGTTTAGAAGAGCTTTAAAAAAACCATCATCTGATTCGATTTTCAATTTATAAAATACATAAAATTATAATTTTCTGAATTTTATCATTAAATACTATATATCTAATATATTAATTTAATTTCTAGTACTAATTTATAATTTGTCAAACATTTTTTTTTTTTTAAAAAAAAATAAAAAAGTATAATTTCAGCGTCATTATAATTTGGACAAGAGTGAAGTACTTTTATTATCTAATAAAGATTACAAACGTATCAAATATATGATTTCGATAGTACATTTCGAGATTCAAAATCCTCAAATTGAAAATCTCGATTTGTACAAAATCTTAACAATTAATTTTTCTCTCACTTCATTCTAATATACCAACTGTATGTTTAAAGCACGTTAACCCATATTAGTATATTTATTTGTTTGAAAGTTGTATATTTCAATTGTATAAATTATAATAAAAACAATGCTTTTAATACTGTGCGTAATTGCATAATTAATTATAAATGTTCATTCCATCCTTAATTACGAAAAATTATTTCTCTATTCCCACTAAATTTAATTGCTAAATCTCACCGCACCAGCATTAGCAAATATTAACGGGCAGAGTTTCATAACATTTTTAATTCTGCCCAAAATTCTACCCTAATTCTGGTAAGGTGACAATCAGTATGTACTCTTTAATATTTTGCGAAAGTGACAAAAATTAAATGAATAAACTAAAAAGTAAAATTTACTTTACTTAAAATGGCACCACTGAATTTGAATATTTTATTATTTATTTTTTGTAGGTTATTTAAGATTTTGATCTATCGGAATATTTAGGGTTGGATCGGGACCGATAGGACCCAGAAATATATATAAAAGGGTCAGGTTTGAGTTTGCGTATTTTGAACTAAAAAAGTCATGAAAATCTTTCCTTTTTTAGATAATTTTTGATAATGCCAGTCAGACTTTTATTTCCTATTATAGTAACCGACTGGCATTATCATAATTCCGGCCCTGAAAAAATGCGTACAGCTCATAGTAAAAAATTTTTTTCATCACCTGACCCTTATATATATATTTCTGGGTCCTGGACCGATTATATAAATTTTCATCTAATATAATTATATATTATTAATGAAGTTTTCATTTTTAATGATTAAAGCGCTAGAACGTTTTATTGATTTAGTGGAAGTGGTGTTTTATAATCGTAAAAACAAAGTTATAGTGGGAGATCATTATGCGGACTTCCCCCAGGGGCTTGTACGGCGATTTCCTAGTTAGTTCCATCCTTGGAGTAGAAGCGAGCGAGTGACCGAAGGAAGCGACCGTATGCAGTAGGATCAAGGAGAAGCATGGTCTCCAATTCTTTGGCGAATTTTCTTTGACCCATTATTATGTAAATTAAAAAAGAGTGAAAATTATACAGCATATAATATGCCCTGTAAAAAAAGTGGTATCCGATCAAAATCTCGACAGTCACAACACAAGATCGACAACAAAATCTCGACAATCCAAAATCTCGGCAATCCAAAATCCCGACAAGTCATTATATCGACAATTTTGTGATGTTGTGTTCTAATAAAATAATTTGTTATATTTAGTTTAAATGTGTTATAATTTTGTCGGGATTTGACTTGTCAGGATTTTGACATAAGATATTGGATTGTCGAGATTTTGTTGTCGGTCTTGTGTCAGTCGCTCAAATGATTTTCGAGATTTCGTACCAAAACCAAAAAAGGTCGATCCATTTTTTTTATATTCCATTTTTTTTCCATAAAAGGCTCATATTTCCGGAATTAATAACCTTATATCACGGAATTTATCGAATTATTTACATTTTTCCGTGAATGGATCCGTGAAAGGCTCATTTTTACGGAGTTTTTACAGAAATAACGGAAAAATTTTTTTATAGGAATGATATTTTCAGGGTGTATGAATAAACTATCAGAGAAAATTAATCCTAATTTAATTGAATTATATGGTATATGCTCTATTTTTTTTAAATTATGTGATATTAAAGCTAATCCGGAAAAATATGAATTATTAGCTATAGGAAGGACAAATAGAGAGAATGAAGAGGAAGAGGATAATAGTATTCGTTAGATGGAGTTAAAATTAAAGTTAATAATAGTATAACAGGAGTGAATTTCTTGGAGTATGGATAAATAATAATGCATCTTTTAAATCTCATAATATTTATATAGAGAATTTAATGAAAAAGGATGATAAATATAATGCGTTGGAAAAAGTCAACGGCAAAAAAATGTATATATTTATGGAATAATGTTGTGATTCCTATGGTTGAATATCAGCCTCAGTAAACAGTTTTAACCATTAAACATATCAGAAACAATAGAAATAATACTTGGTTAGTGGAGGCATTAAAAGTATTAGCGGATGATAATATAAAATATTTTGACCAAAGGGACATACTACTATAGACATAATAGAAGTTTCCGAAAAGCGTTAATAGTATTAAGTCAGTTAATTAATAGATGAAAATAATTGAATGAAAACTTGGAGTAGAGTAACGAATGAAGCGGGAAGAAGCAATAAAGGAAGAATTCCAAGTTGGTTTATGCAGTTAGTGTTTCTAGAGAAGTTTATAGTAGTTATGAGTTATTAAAAGAGGATATAGGAATGGAAAAAAGTTAAAAAATTATTGGGAAGAATTAGAGAATACATTCAAGGTTGATGATTTAGAATTGTTGTTACAAATTGATAATAGACTAAGCGTGATTAAAAGGATATTTAAATTTAGAAATTTTATAAAAGGATTAGAATATAAAGATAATGAGATTCTTCATATTTATACAGATGCAGGTAAGAAGGATAATAATTGTGGTGTAGGATGGGTTATTTTAGACGAAAAAGGTGTAGAAATATATACGGACAATATGGGGTTTATGAGAAGTGGAATCAGTTGTTTTATACAAATAAGTTATCAACGCGACGTATATAATTATTTCGATTAACAAAGTTAAAAGTCATTATAGGAAATAATTAGCTGATCAGTTATGTTGTTAGAAAACAAAGATCTCTTTAAATCAGAAGTTAAAATTAGTGACATATTGGAGAGGTTTATTGATTAATCAAAATCCTCGAGAATTTATGAAAGAAGTGAATCAAATAAAATACAAAGCGGAATGGTCAGTGTTAGATATTAATCGATGTTCATATATTAGAGACGGATATAGATTGGGTATCGTCGATGGAAATTATTATCTAAGATATCATGGTAGAATAATTGGTTGATAGTAATAGATCACTTTATTGAAATGATGTAATTACGTCTACATTATAATTAATTATATTGTATAATACTAATAAAGTTTTTTTTTTAAAAAAAAAAAATTTGGTATTTTGTAAAACAGCAATATCATTTGATTTCTCATTGGCGCTTTAAGAATGTTAAAGTACGAGAAAAAAAATTTTTCGTATATGCAATTATTTTGTGTTACATGATCGGGATTAGGATTTAGGACTATTATGCGTGACTACGCTTATATTTAAGATATCTCTCTTTCAAAATTCCTAATTTTTCTCGCCGCTATAAAGGTACTTCAAATAAGTATCTAATCCAGTTGTACGATCGGATTCTTTATTGAGCAATGTCTGTTTATTATCTATTTTACTATCTACGTTATTAATTTCATAAATGCTGTATTGATACTTCCTTTGGAAAGTATAAAGTATGATCTTGAAGGAACTCGAAAAAATGACCCCAGAAGGGGTTCGAGTCACGCTGCTCGCACTGACTTATGATACTTCAGACATTATTAAGATCTCTGCCATTTGATAACTGAAATTCTGTAAATAATTCTTTTCGAAAATGCAAAAATATTATGGATGTGTTAGCCTTCTTGTCCTGACAGACTTAAGGATCTGGTTTTGCAGGACCAGGACCAAATTGGTCTAGAACAAAGTCCTAAATTGGTTCCGAGTCGATAGTCCAGGATGGGACTTTGCGCCGAAATCCATTTCGGCGAAGTCATTTTACCAAATGGACATTTCGCCGAAATATTATTTATTCCATTTGGTTATTTTATTGTTTTTATACTAAATACATAAAGAAATCTTTATTATTATCTAGAAAATTCTTGAAATATATGATTTTTATTAAACTCATCTCGTTGTTTATAATACAATAATCTTTTTTTTACTTACTTTTTCGTGAATAAGTGTTTTCGGGAAAATAAAGTTATTTATTTATTGCATAAATATTAATACCAGTTACTTGAATGTTAAAGTGATAATATCCTGGAGAAAAAAAAAGATATTTAAAAATAATTTATTTTTTTTATTTTTATTGCGCGTTGAATATTTTTTATAAAAATGTTAATCGTTACCATTTTCCATTCGGCGAAATGGAATTCGCGAAATAGACGATTCGATGAAATGGATTCGATAAAATGCATTTAAAGTGAAACATCCTTTCGACGAAACTTCTCTTCGGCGATATGTAGCCGTCCAGGAGTCCAGGACCAAGTGTTACCAACCAATTATAATACCGTAATAATAATATTAAATCTTTAATTGCATTTGATTGAATAAAAAAAAAATTTTACTAACAAAACGAATCGTTTAATTAAATCGCTTCATATTTTTTTAATTTTTTCATACTTTTTTTCTTTTTTTGTCCGATCAGTTCTTGTGCCATTGATCCATCAAGATTGACCATTTATCAAGACCGGGACCTTTTCGGTTTTCTCTAATTGATCTTACAAATTATTGACAAATTTGATTTAAAAAATATGGTTGAATTCTTATTATTACGCAAGTCGGCTAAAAATTGGAAATCCCACATGACTAAAGAAATTAAGGAAACATTACTTTTATGGATAAATTTAGGTTAAAATTCTTATGAAACCGATCTATCATTATAGTATATATTTTAACTAGATATTCATCCCGACTCCAGGATCTCACCCTTCGGATAAACGGTAATTTCTTTTACAATTGAGTCTACTTGCCTAGCTGCGTGATTTTGGTTTGATTCCGCAAAATTATGGACTGCATAACTCAGTATTTTTTGCTGAATATACATATCAAATTTTCGAATACTCAGATAAATATCACATCATACTATACAGTATAACAAATATTAAAATATCCAAGAATATATCCGAAAATACTGTTCTTGAAATACTTTAAAATTTTAAACAAATTTTGTCGTGTAACACACATCAGCACAATACTGTAATGTTAGTGGTCAAATTTCGGATGATTTAAATTCAATGATGAAGTAACTCTGCGCAAATCATAAATAATTAAAATACTATATTTTGTTACTATACTATAGATTTTTGTAGTATTGCATAAAATTAACATAATTATATAGTATTAACCGGTAAATTATACTCTGCATCCTCTGTAGACTCAATTGTGAAAATATATACTCTCGGATGGATAAATGATGCTACAAAATTTGATTCGAGTTTAAGGTAATTAATTGAAAATATATAGTCACGTGATGAACGTATATCCAACAAAAATTACTTACGCTCCGAACACTCCGTTATGAATTTCAATTTATTACTCTTTATTGTATTTATAAGCGAAGCATTGTATGCACATTCGCGCATAATTTCCTCAGCTTCTTAACCAAATCAGTTGGAATCTATGTATTAAATATATAATAGGATTACAGAAATTCCTTATTCTTTATTTACATTAAAAATTTATAGGGATTGATAAATAAAATTTACGGTCATAATGATTGAAAATTTAAGATCTTATTTTTCCTACTTGGTTTTCCACTAATGCAGGTAATTCACAAGATAAAAGTTCAAGATTCTCATCGTACTTTAGAACTGTTGGAATTTTATAATAACCTGAATATTGTTTCCAATCATTATGTGCCTTTATTTCACTTGGATTTGATTTATATGCAAACCTCTATACAGTATATACAGTATATTAATAAAAAATTACCATTTAATTAAACACTTTAAAATTTGTAGACAACATTAATAATTTGCAGAATAAGTTGTCCCGAAATCTATTAAATTTTTTTAAATTCTTTAAAAAAAAAATTAAAAATTTTATCGTTTATAAAGTAAATATAGCTTCAATAAGAAAAAGCCATCATAATTTTAAAAACAAAGAATTTTGTTATCAAGAAACGAAAAATTAGCTCGCATTCCAGAACGTCACACCATGACCCATTTATATACTAGATCTAATACATAAAAAAAGTGTTATCGTTCTGACGTAAGCTATTTGAAAAATATTATATTTGAATGTGTACACATAAAGGGCATTGTTTAAGGAATGAAAATCGGGTATCAGAAAAAAAATTATTTTTGCAGTTGACGATGATAATCAGGATTAACTTTGCTGATTTGCTTGCTTAATTAATACTTAGCCGGCATATTTATTTTTGATGTATCATACACAAGTAAATTTTTATATCTTCAAAGCATACGCAACCAAGAAAGGTATTATTGTGTATTTTATATCATTAGCAAAAATATGTCCTTTTTGGTACAAATAATGGATGTTGGGTACTCCTTGTTTCCTTTTTTCAGTTTAATAATAGTTTTAATATTGTCCCGAAAGTAATACAATAAAATAATTCAAATTTAAAGAAATAAATTATTTTTTTTTTTGAAAAATTTTCTGAAAATTAAACAATTTGTACCTGCAGAATGCATGTACATTATTATTAAAGTCGCTCCCTTTTTTTACTAAAAAAGATCATATTATTAATAGTCTTTTAATTAAACAATTTGTAAAAAATAGTTATAATTTCAATGGTGTAGAATTACATACTTGCCGTATTTAAAAAACATAATCCCGGCCAACCAACAGGTATTTGGTATAGCTTAGCCATTTTTGGCCAATCCCTTTAAAACATAATTTATTTCAAATTGGCGTACAAATTTCATTTGTATGCGAGTGATCAGTAAATATCACACTGTACAGTACAATATAATTAAATAAGCCTTTGTTTTCATTCATTTTTGAACATGCCAGAGTTATTCCGAGATTCTGAGATTCTGGTAAACTAAAATTAAATAAAAGGAATTTTATTAATCCGGGAAGATCGTGTCCAGAAAAAAAAATGAGATACTGCTTGCTCTTAAAAGGATCAGATGAGATCGGCATGTTTACATTATTTCGGTAATGAATCGGTTGTTAACAAACGTGTGACAGTCGATCATAATGATATATGTTAATGATAAAAATGAAGACGAAACATATGAGTTTATTGTAAAATTACTAAACTTTGTCAATCAGTTAACTTTTCTTCAGGAAACCATTATATTTTGAATCTTTCCGTAATGTACATATAAGTTCGCTTTGTCACACAAATTAATACAAACGCTATTTATAATAAAATATTCAATTTATTATTAACATTCCTTTCTAAGAATTAAATGTTATGATGATTGTCAATGTTTATTAACTGCTTTTCTATGATTGTGTTGAGTGTAATCTCTAGCTACCGGTTTTAATTTATTGTACGAAATGATCTGAATAACCTGATAAATTTTAAAATTTACTTTTACAGGAGATTCTGAATTTAAGATTGATCATTAATTTTATTTATAACAATGAGGCATTCTTTTTTAATAATTACCTATCATGAATCGCCACATAATAATATTTTTTTAAACAATCACCCATAATGAATCGCCACATAAAATTTCTCAGACCTCTAGCTATAAATATAAAAAAAATTAGCCACCAAGAGGCATAACTTCATATGCACATTTAATATGAAATCTACATCTCGTGATCGGTAGATCACAATAAACATTTAATTTTGTCCACAAAAAAAATCAGTAACATGAATTAAGCGAAAACTCGGTTAAATTCGGTAATTTATTCATTAATGATGAGGAATGGAAACTTGAGATAATAATAAATACAGTAATCATTTTTCAAGTTCTGGCTGTATCACAACTCAAAGAAGACAATAATGATAATAAATTATTAATTATGATTTCTCGATTATCAAATTATTCAATAATTTTAATTGGTATCGTACTAGTAATCTGTGTGACAGAGTATTATTACAAATATTTTACTCGTGTCAATGGTCTCTTTCCCATTGAAAAGTTGCCTCAATTAATTTGACATCGTGGAAATTTCAAAAAAATTTCGAATATAATCAAAAGAATTATATGGTGACATATTTGAAATCCAATTGACTTCTATATTTATAAATAGAATTGAATATAACGAAAAGTTTTTAACAGCTTCAGCAAAATATTTATATATTAAGAAAGTTTGCTGATTCTAATACAAACGGATATCAAGATTTAGGAGTTTTGGAAAAGAAATAGTATTAAATCAAGATTATCATGTCATTTTTTACGCAAGCTGTTCTATTATAGCTAATCATAAACATTTCAACGAAAAGTTATTAAAATAAATTATATCTTAGTGAAGAAACTACCAAGGTAAATAAAAAAAATGTGACACTCATGTAAAATATTAGCAATTGCATTAATTATCATTTTATTTGATAATTATATAATACTTTATTCATTTACTAATGAAGTTTTTTTACTTAGATCACAGAAACTGTTATTATTGATATTGAAATGTTTTTCAGATGAATTACTTTTCAATTACTTGAAATACTTCATAATCTTCTACTTCAAAATTTTCTGGAATTCCTATGTTTGGATAGTTATCACCATGGCCACGTTCTATATTAGACCAATTATTATTACAATTGTATAAATTACCCATAGTTGGACCGTAACTATAACTATTCCAAACAGCTCGATCTTGTTTCTTAACATAACTGACTTTTGAAGTAGAAATATCTTTTCTATTTTTAAAATTAAAAATAAAGCTATCTGCTGTAGCATCCCAACGAGAACGACTTCCATTCCAATTAAGTGGATTATACCCTCCAATTAATTGTGTTGAATCTTTAATTTTTGCTATCCAAATAGTAGCTCCTTTATTGTCACAATTTTTATGAAAAGATTTAGTATCAACTCCATCTTGACTTGAGCGATATAATAGCTTAAAATCGTAAGGAACATTTTTTCTATAATGTGATGAATCTTTTTTATCAATCCACGAAGCAAATAGAGGAATATGATTTGACTCAATCAATGTTGAATCAATTTGAAAATTTAATTTTTGTTTTCTTGAAGTTGGTAAACTGGTTTTAGGTTTCACATTAGGAACTATATGATATTCCAAAAGATCATGAATTAAATCTTGTGGTAAGATGTCTTTGTAACAATAAACTTTGTAAAAGAAATCAGTAGGTTCAATATCATAGAATCGAATTAAAGGAATAAATCTATATAATTCACTTTCAACTCTTATAATATCATCTTTATTCCAATTTGTTGGATCATCCTTAATATTTTGTTGGGTAAAACACCATTTTGATAAATACTCCCAAATTTCAATTTCATCTATATTTAAGTCATCTCTTTTTAATAATAATTCCAATAAAGGAGCTTTTAAATTAATAAAATTTTCAGAATTGAATAAAATTTTAGGCTCCTCACAAATTTTTTCAAGGCAAAAATTCCATAAATCCGTAAATGTTTCATATTGATAAACAATTTCAAGAATTCCGGTTGGATTTTGTTGTAAAAATTCGGTTTGATGTTTAATCAAAAATTTTTGAATGTGAGAAACTAATGAATTGATATTTAGTTCATTCACAGCTATCAATAACTTTAATACTTCAGAACCTTGTAAATTCTTCAATTCAATATTTCCACAATAAATGAACCTAACAATATAATTAATAGTTAAATATTTTATAAATTTAGATGATTAAATTTATTAAACAATATATCTTTAGTTACCTAAGAATGATATTAAATAATTGAGGTGAAATATTTGGTTTTCTAAAAATAAATTTTTCATCTCTTTTCTCGGTCCATTCATTAGAAAATGCAGTACGAAAATATTGAGACCTAGCACACAAAACATTTGAATGAGCATGAATTTCTTTAATATTTTGTTCTTCTCCAGCATAAATAATAACGTCATATCCAGTTTCCGTTTCAAAAAGTTTTTCGTAATCGCTAGATAATTCTGCCCAAAATTTTGAAGACATTGTTTATTGTAAATAGTAAGAAAAACAGTAAAATTTAAAGTTCGAAGTCGAATCCTTAATCTATATCTATAAAAAAAAAGCATTGTGCGACCGTGACGTTAAGACTACCCTGCATAAAAAGGTAAATTGGATCGTCCAGCATCATGTGTTGCGTCCTGTGCTACAGATTTTTATATAGGATTCGAAGTGGCGCATTAATTAGCTTAATTGGGTAGCCCTAATCCCAATATAATTTTGAATTAGAACAAATTTATAGCAACTAATCCGATTAGTAATTGTGATGTAAAAAACATAATATAAAAAATTAAACTCGTGACAATGAAATTCTTGTCATTTTAGAAGTCGTCATTTGTTTTTTTTAAAAAAAAAGTTTTTTTGGATTTTCCCATACGACGAATTTTTCTTTTTTTTTTTAAAAAAAAAAAATATTTTTCGGTTTTTTTTGAATTTTCCCACATGACGAAAAAAAAATCCTTTTCTTTTAATAAAATAAACCTTTTCTTTTAAAAAAATTTTACATTTAATTTTTAATTTCTAATGCCTGTAAAACTCTCAAAGTTTTAGGAACCGGGATTTTACCAGGGGGAATCAAAAATTTCTAATAACAGAAATTACAGGTATTTAATAACTGCAAAAAAACCAAAAAAAAAATCCTTCTTTTTTTAGATTTCAGTAGTTTTCTTGGTTTGTCTTCAGACACATGGAAGTTTGGTATTAAGGAAGGATTTAATACATTTCTTTTAATCAAACATTTCTAATGGTTTGATTTTTCATTTTTTTTAGATGACTGAATAAGGTATAATTTACACGAACAGAGTTGTGGTGAGTATTTTTTCTTTTAAAAATTTTTTTAATAATATCACATTTCTTCATTTTTTATACAGTTTATTCATGATTCTGGATGCATGAAATTTTAGTAGGTTCTTTTAAAATGCTTCTTTTAACGTAATGTTAGTTAACAAAATGTTACTAATGTTTATTTTTGCATTCTGTAGGTGGCTTTTTCAGTCTTTCTGGACATGGAATTCGTAAGTGTATTTCATTAATTTTTTTATTTATTAATGAAACGAAATGCTAACTAACATTTCATGTTTTACATTTTGTAGGTTAGACAGTTTTGTGACACCTTGGATGGATGCAAATTTTGGTAAATGAAATTTATCTAACATTATTTCTTTAATGAAACATTATTGATGTTTCATTCTTTTCTTTTTTTTAGTATAGATGGTCAATTTTTGAGAACTTTGGGTAAGTTCTGAAAAATGAATTTTTAACTTTAAAAAATTCTTTTCGTAATTACTAATCATTTTTTCATTTCTTCTTTTAAAGTTTTTTACTAGACACCAGAATTTTGGATTTATGATTTATACTTTATTAGCAGATGCATGTCATCTAAATTGTGATAGGTTGTTCATTAAATATTTATCACAATATTAATAAAGTTTAAAATTAAAAAAAAAAAGATTTATGATTTTTATTTATTTCTTTACATTAGTGATAATAGAAGTGAAGAACAGTTAATGTAAACATACATTCAATTAATAAAATAATTAAAATAATACTGTGTTTGTATAAAATAATAATATGTGTTGTTATACAGTACATGTCAATTTACTGCACTTTTGATCAACATTAGTATTTTGATCAATTTGATGTGTTGTTTTGTATGGTTAACGTGATCAGCAACTATTATAACTATTATAATAAAAAATGTTATTACTTTATTATTCCCTATTTACCACAAACTTTCAAATTAATACCAATAACCATTCTATACTTTATAACTGATTTTCATAATCTTAATTAGCCAGGCCCGCGTGAAACGCGGGCATCCAGCTAGTAACAGTGATAAAAATAGTCAAATTTTATATGGTCAAAACAATCTTAAATTATCATATCTTGAAAATTCATTAGGTAAGTATATTGGTTATATTTATTTTTTTTTAAAAAAAAATATTGAAAATATATTATTAATATTTGTATCATTAGGTGAATCACTACGGCCAAAATTTACAAACATGAGAGAGAAAATATAATTAACGCTACAGACGAAATTATTGATGCTTATTTAAAAAGAAATAATCTTCTCTAAAATAAGACGAGCGCAGTCCACCCGTTTCACGAATTTTTAGGTTTGATAGCTCCAGAAGTGATTCAAGCATTACTGTCAAGAAAAGTAATATTATCTTGTCATTTCGTAGTTCGTACAACGTCTATTAATGCACTTTGGAAATTCTGAAGGAAAAATTAAATTAAGATTCTCTTAGTACGGACAATATTATTAGAAATTTTATATCCCGAGTTTCACTAATAAGTTAGTATGATAAATTGATAATACAGTTTTTATTATTCAATGCGACCTTTAGTTTCATTGACAGTGAAACGACTAAGTTTACTTAATTCGGTTAGAATTATTTACATCGGCGTACACTAATCTCAGTTTCCCAAATTATCAAAATTAAACGTTAAAGTATTTAAACACTCTTTTTTCAATGGTACACGATCCTCACACATATGCTGTAGCGGCTGTGCCCACGCTCTTTTCACGCAGTAAGACTTCCTTCAAGAAAAGCATTATAATTTCGTTATTTCTGTTATATTATTGGTTAAAAGTAAATATTTGAACAAACGATCTCAAAAATTTATTTTATTTTTAATTTTTAATCATTACGTAGAATTAATTACCTTGCGGTAAAAAGATTACTAATATTTGTAAAGCTAACTAGTAAAAGAAATTGTTGTAATTTTCCTTACTAATTTTTACTAAATTATTTTATATTAAATGATCGCAACTAAAGGAAACGATATGGAATTATTTCATTTTTTATCTACTAGTCTTCCTATAAATACCAAGTCTATTAAGTAATTAAATTCTCGTGAATCTTAAACAATTTATATACTTTTATTACAGGAATCGATTTGAGTGAACCATTTAATTTTGGTTTATTCAAGATATTTTCAAGTTGAAATAAGTTCACTAAGGCATCGCTGATTTCATTTAATCTATATTTAAATAAATAAAATGTCTCTTCCGTGAAAATATCAGTCAATTTAAATCCAAGATCAGTAACGATAGCACGTACACCAGGGCAGGTGGTGTTGGAGGGAATAATATTAAAAGAGCACCTTGCATATTAACATCGTTACAAATTCATGACTCTGGCTACAACGTTTAATTGAAGACTGTTTTCGTTGGCGAATACTCCTCATGTGCTCTTGCTTGCATTAATTGAATATAATGTACTGTATCTTCATAAGTAGGACGAGGAGGGAAAGGTATAAACTTTTTATTGATAATTAAATCTTTTTTTATTTCATTGATATTTTGAAATAATTTTTGAGGACCGGAATTAATAGCGAGAGGGCCTGCGGATAAGAAGTGAAATAGTTCCATGTCATTTCCTTTAGTTGCAAGTTCTTGATCATTTAATATACTATAACCTTCAGTAATTAGCTTAGTAAAAATTGGTACTAGCTCATGGTGACAGTAATTTATTTTGAAAAGCTCGAATTCTATCGAAGTTAACTTATTCACGTTATGTTCTATTTTAAGTTCGATAATTTTCCCATCATAGTTTCCGAAGTGCATCAATAGGCGTTTAACGAAATAACGAGATAAAATTTGCTTTTCTTGAGAGTAATGCTTGAATTACTTCTAGCGTTATGAAGCTATTTTCGAGTCTCACCGCATGGAAAAGTGCGTGTGCACGGCCGTATTTATTGATAGGCCACTCAGAATGTGACTTACGTGAGGGTGTTTTGATATAAAATAATTGGTAAAGGAGTATGTACAAACTTAGAAAATTCGATAATTAATTTATAAACTAGAAAATTTTTAAATGAATAATAATAACAATAACTACACGATGAGACATACCGTCAATTTATATGATTTGTACTATACAAATTAACGGTGCTAGCGTCAAAATAAGGTTAAATCCGTTATTATTTTTCGCATTAAAGAAATGTAAAAAATCAATTTGAATAAAAAATTATTCAAAAATTTATTGGAAACTCAACTCCTCAATCCAATCAAATATACATAAAAATAATTTTTTTTTGGTGTAATCTTTTATAAATGAAATAAAATAACAAAACAAACAATGAATTACAAAATACGTTGTTACGAATGCCTTTTTTTTAAAAATTATAGAATAAAGAATATAAAGAATCAAATATTTAGTTTAAGGTATCGGGACATGTATCCATGAAGATTTTATCAGATATATACATATGTACAGTATGTATAAATAATATATTATTATTATTTATTTCGTCACTTAGACTTTTTTTTTACTATTTTTTTCGTTCTTTCACCTTTTTAGGTTTATGTCAATCTTTAGCCATATAACTGCTTAATTTATCTTCCCGGACAGAATTAACTTACTGATATTCCCCTTTCCCACTTTATTCAAAATTCTAAATTAATATATTCTACTTTATATTAAATTTTTAAATTTTTAGCAACAAAAATAAATATATATAACATAAAAAATAAACAAATCACAGTAAAAATACAACATACGAAAATAAAAAAAATCGAATAAGAAATAACAAACTCTATATCTATTTTAATATCTTCTATTTTTATCAAGTGTATATTTATCCCCACACACATGCACACATGATACCCTCACTATAAAACGCCGCACCACAATATCTTAGGTTATGACAAAAATAATTCTTCCCATGTGAGACCCCAAAACTAGCCCTCCATTCTATATCCTTTATGGATGTAGGCGGAAAACTGAAAGAGAAAAAATGGTTAACCTATGTACACTTGGTTAAGCAAGTAAGCATTATTATCAAAATCAGATTCGATCTGATCCGATTCGAATCATCCGAATAGCCAACAATTATTAGGATAAAGCACGTAGAGATAATATCCTCAGCATAGGGGTGTTCGGCGAAATTAATGGTAAAAGGCGTTCGAAAATAATGGTAATCCCTATTTCTCCTCACTAAACGCTGTAGGCCTCACCGGATACTATCATGTTTGTGATTGACCTCAGAGGTACTACCCGTGTATACTAAAATTGAAGGCAACCAGTGAACAGATAAAAATAACAGACACTCACTTGTGAATTTAAGACCTCAGATTCCTTACTTTTGTTCCACTTGACTTTCTATTTGGGTGAAGATTTTATTTCATTACTTCTTTTTTTCGCCAACTAATCCTGTGGGCTTGACCAGAGAAGATAGACCTAAAAAAAAGAGACAAAAAAAATAAGATAAGACACAACCCACAACCCACACTTCCACACTCCCAACCCAAAGGGAAGACGTAAAGAAAAGGGGCTTAAAAGAAGACCTAAAAAAGAGAAGAACTAGACAGAGAGAAGATAGACTTAAAAAAAAGACGACGAAAAAAACAAGATAAAACACCAAACACTCTCAAACCCACACACTTCCGCACTCCCAACCCATACAGTATAGATCGTCCCGTCATCTTTTTTTTTTGTTAGGAGAGTTTAGAACTCGGAGACAACATTAAGGACACTATACTTTGGAGAGTGGGTTTTAAGTTCGTGTATAAGTAAGTCTATACCAGTCATCCAAACATATTATTGTTACGTTTGATAATATCTGATTTCGCAAGAATTTTTAGTATATTTTCTTTGATGGTTTTTGTGTTTATTGTGTTGTAAAATTTTTCTTGAAAAAAAAAGGAAATAAGGTCATTTTATACATTTTATTGTTGTACAATTTTTTATAAATTATGTAATAGCAATACCCCTGGACGCGATTTATTATTTTACTGGTTATTCTGATTATTAATCAAATTAGTAAGGTAAATATAAATAATATCAGACCGTTTATGCAATTTTTAAAATCCGTTACTAATTGTTATTATACCAGCATATCGGAATCTGAATAAAATCCGTTCATAGCGCAGTACGATAATTACTGAGCCATTTTTTAGCCACTTTTGGAAATGAATATCGAACGGCTTTTCCCTTTCATCCGTCCTTGTCAGATTTTTCAGGAGTAGGCGTCCTTCAGATACTGCGAGACATCAGGGTAGAGAGTGACGGACAGAGAAATTTTTTACCGACACATAAAAATTGTCTACACGTCCTGTATAAAGATAACTAATCTGAAACTCTTAAAATGTTACGCGACGTCGCGACGTGACGACAATTATTGACAAATATAGATAAGATTGATCAGTAACATCAGTAACTTATGTTACTATGTTGACATTAAAGGCGCAGTGCTGTAGTGCTGTAATGAGTCATTGTATACAAAATATACACATATACTATCGCATAATCATTTAATTATTTCATATTAGTACTATTGCGATAGTCAGACTATGAAAATTTATTTATTAAATATCAAATTTTTCTATTATATAAATCATTTATATTTTCGTTTATTTTTATAAATAAATGTTTTTATACTAATAAATTAATTATCCTTAAACCTATTACTATAAAATGATACCTATAGAAATGATAATATAATTTTTCTAATTATTATTATTATTGTTAAACTAGCCAGTATTTTATGGGACCCACCGTAGCACAGTTGAATTGTAGTGCGATGGGTTGGTGACGTGATCATCTGATTTTTTATTTTTTTTATTTTTTATTTATTGCGCATAAAAAAATAATAATAAAAATGTTCACATAAAATAAATAAATAATAAAAAAAATGAATATAATGAAATTTTTCATGTAACATTCATGCGGATAAAGTATTTTAATGAATTTATTTGTTATTTTTTTATTTATTGAATTTGTTATAATGCTGTTAAATAATAGGTAGGGACAGTTTTTGTTGAGAACATGTGGAAGTCTCTAGTATTCGTGAATGACATTAGGATAAACCATAAACGCTGATCCATCGAGGTGAGATATGTTGACATTGTCCCATGTGGAGCACCTGCTGAGGGCGGACCAGAAGATATTACTGTCTAATGTGAGTGTGACTTTCGGTAGGGTCAATCCTTGAGTCTTGTGGACAGTGAGCGTGAAGCAATTTTGCAATGGAAACTGGGTGTGTCACGTTGTTATTGAAATAATGGGTATGTTTGTAAACATCAACGTCTATTATTGATCCCCTAACACTCAGATACACTGTTCAGGTAGTTTTACGTTAGTAACTACTCCTATGGTACCGTTACATATACCATACTCGATCAGGGATTATTTAGGTACATCACGCGAGCCCCTGGTTGCAAATAAACGAAATTAGGTTGTTTTTGATTTGAATATGTGGCGTGAATGTAATGTGAGGGGTCCCATTGGTCAGAATTCAGAAAATTGGACACTTGCGATAGTAAGAAATTGTTGGAAGGAACAGTGAGTAAGTTAGTGTTGATTTGTTGGGTAGAATTTGTTCCATGTTTGTGGGGAGATGTTATTTATTCGTACCTCTTCTAAAAGTCGGTAGAAAGTCATATCATGCTTCACCTCAATCCAAAATTCATTTGGTTCTCGGTTTTCCTAAATAATTATGAAAAATTACAGATTATTTACATAGTTAACATTGTGTTATTAGAGAAGTGCAAATAGAGGTCAAACGCGAAAAGTTCTTCATGCGTGCGATGTTCAGAAAATATTATGTATATATCTCATGTGAGAGTGTCATGATTTGATCATAAAATTCCGTTTTTTCCTAATATAAACATCCAAGTGATCTGTGTTATCAAACATTACGTAAAAAAAATCATTTTTCATAAAAAACGTTGGTATATTACGAAATTTTATTTTAATTTCTTACTTCATTAGTTTTAATTAAATTTACTATTTATTAATTAAAAAATTTTTTTAAAAAATATAAATAAGACACTATTAGGAGTAGGAGTAGGATTAGGAGTAGGATTAGGATTATTAAATAGATTAATTAAATAGATTACTAAATAGATTAATAAATTTACAACCATTTTTTTTCCAAATTCGCCTAGTAAAATCAAAAATTATACCTTTTTTATTAAAAACACTACATGATATAACACACACAAACCATACATAATAGGAAAAAAATAGTAGCTGTTCTATACTACAAAATTGTGATACATCACATTATCACATTTACACAGTAACTCGGGAAAATTTTACTCGGAGAAACTCGTGATATGTATATCTAAATAATATCATTTTTATTCCGTCGTATAATTTCTAATAATAGAATTTTTCAATAAATTTATGAATTTAAATAGAATCTTGGTTTAAATTTTTCCATATTTGCAACTTGAACATTTTTTTGAGTTTTTGAATTTTTTATGTCATTTAGACTAAAATGCATATAAAAATTCATATATAAAGCGGATACAAGAGAATTTTTCTTTCTTTTAACAAAATACTTTCTTTCCTTTGGGCTTCTCTTCTCATATAATTTTTTTTTATTTGTGTATTTAAACATTTAACAAACCAATTGGAGGGGTTACTTGACTATTAAGTAAGATTATTCAAAAATTTATGAAAATTTCGTTAAAAAGTTATTTTTATAAAGCTGTTCTCCTTACGATCATTATGATTACTTTCTTCTTCAATATAACGTCAATAATGGATTAATTTATATAATAAAAAAAAATTTCTCGGAAGTCTTAATCCCTCTTTTTATGTACTGTGTTATTAATAACTCTCATAATGGAAAATATTGAAAGTAAAAAGAAGGAATAAAGAAATATTTACACAATGAAATTTATTAAGTGAATTTATTGGTACACCGGAGTCGATCGAGTTGAATTTTATTTCGATATTTCGATGTGTTTTAAAATCAAATATTTTTTGACACGATAATCGTTCGAGGAATACTTATCAATTCGTACAATATTATAATTGACATCCACCACATACATGCATGAATTGTATTTGCGCATCTTTTAACCACTGTTAAGTCAGTTCTATCAGAAAATTCGTTCCACTGGATAAAAATAATTTTGAATAATTTTAATACGAACTATTTGCTAATTTAGTACTGAAAAAATCTTTTGATTTATTATTACACGATCGACAACTGATTATTTTTTTGTAGTACAAAACAATTCACACTATACAATTAAAACGTGATTTACTGTTGGTATATTATTTATTAAATAAAGACATAATTTGACTCAAAAGTATTGAACTAAACCGAACGATGAGGACAAATGTTTTACGCATATAACGTGCTTTTTTTAGTAAAATTATTATTAAATAGCGAAATCTTGGAATTGTTTGTGAAAAAATTTAACAAAAAAAAAAAAGAATTAGTGGAATTAGATCTGGTTGTTAGATGACGTATCAAAGAATTTTCTGTTTTGTAATCAACATCATAGTGAACGTTGCTATAACTCTTTAAGAACAGATTAATATTGAAGAATATGTGAAACACCGGTTTCTTCGATTGTTGTTCTTGATTGAAATGCACGGTTAAATGTGACTGTACAAAACGAGATACACATAGTCATATGGAATAAAAAATTTAATAAACGGGTTCTCATACAATCTATCATATAACCATATTGCTTAGTGGGGAAAATGATCCTTCCGGCCAACTTACCTAAGGCTTTCTAAATTTATCTATTAGTCCTAAGAAATTGGCTTATAGCGTACTGCATGTTATCGATAATTAAATATAATTACGGGTTCTAAGAAGCAGGCACAAACGTAATTTTTCCCCAAAAGAGAATAGTTCTAGGCAATAGATAATTGCCTTGTTTCATAGCAACCAATAATATTCTTGTACGACCAATCTGATATTATGACTAATACATATCACGTAATTCAATAAAATTGGATTTTCACGTACGTCATTGGATGTCGGTAAAATGGATACCCGTGAACCTAGCCAATTTAGGATTTTTTTTTTTTTAAATTGATTAATACGCACAAAGGTTTTCATAGATGTATACCAACTGGTTTTTTATTATCATGATCAAACCGATGGGGTCTTCATTTATCCATATTTTGTAACCGGGAATGCTTTTCACGGGGTCTCCCAAAAATCCGACACCAAAATCCCGATAATTGGTTGACACGGTCCTATTTTAAAGATTTTTGATCATCAAAAAAAAAAAAAAATCATTCCGTTAAAATACTGTTTTTCCAATAGTATTTTTTTAAAAAAATTTATGATCATCAAGTATTTGATAATAACGTAAAATTTATAATATAATTATAAATTACTAATAAATTTGGTAATATGTTTAAACTTTTTATTCAATAATAAATTTAAAAATAATCTATAAACTAAAAAAAAATGTGTCGTGTGTATATATTTTTATGTTTAAAGCGAAACTTTTATGCTTGCTTTGATTTTTTTCTATCAAATAAAGAATTTGAAGTATATTTAATCAATTTGAATGCAATTCCAATAAGTGCAAGAATGATAATAAATAAAACTCCATAAACGTCAAGATTATTTGCTTTAATAAATCCCATTCTAGACTCAGCAGGTATCCATTCTTTTAAAAAGTCGTCATCTAAATATTCATTTAAACCACTACTATATAACATATATTCAATTAAATCGGCTGCTCTATATTTTCTATTACTATTAATTCTGGCTAGATATTTCATTCTCTTTGAATTCTTCTTTATATGCTCATCATTTAATAAGAAATCGATTTTATTTAAAATATCTTTGACATCCAAAGCATTTTTATTTATTGATAATGCTATACCGGCTGATTTTAATTTTTGAGCGTTGCCCATCTGATCACCAGCAAAAGGTAACACTAACATAGGAGTACCAGTATAAAGGGATTCATGAGTACTTCCTGCGCCTCCATGGCTAAAAAATAATTTCGTATTGGTGTGATTAAGTACAGCGAATTGTGGTGCAAATTTTGTAATATGAATATGTGGATGTATATTATTTAAGATTGGTAAAGTTTGAACTTGTGTACCATCAGTAAAGGTTAATGTTGGATTGAATTCATCTTTTGATGTCTCAGATAATGCCCAAATTACACCATCAACTATTTTATTGTTGATTGCTTCAATAAGTGATTGTAAAATTTTGGTGTTATTCTCGATAGTTGCGAAGAAACGTGTACCAAAAGCTACGTATAAAACTCGTTTGTGTCCATTTATAAAATCCGAGAGTTCAGGCGTAAGTGGGGGATATTCTTCTGATAATACTGGTCCAATTTCCTATTAAATTGAAGAATGAAAAAAAATTAATCTTTTATAATTTTTGCTAAACTTCATATAACAATCCGTCCATCATCCGCTATAGAAGTATCCGTCAGTTTAATAATCCGAAGGATAAGTCCTTGAATATCCTCAGATTTCGGACGGATTTAACGTACGGATCATTAATTACCTGAACATTTGGTGCCGTAGATTGTGGTAACTTTAAAATAAAAAGAAAAGACCATTATTTTTATGAGATAATTTTATCTAGTTTGTTGAACTAATTATTAAAATTATTAAAATGTAAATTACCTCAAAACCGAAGAAAGTATCAATCAAAGCTAAGGAAACTTTTGGCACTATTTCCGATACCGATTTTATATTCATTTGGTCTCTTATGTCATTTAATTGACGCACAAAAGGCTTATAAGCATAAGCTATTTCTAAAGGTTGTATTAAAGTACACCTAAACCTTTCAAAAAATGATTCATTTTCTAATGAGATATTACAGCCGAAAATCGGATCAGATTTATATGATTTAGGTTCCATCACTAAACAAAAGAGAAATTTTTTTCGTTAAGTGAGTTTTGCTATTAAAAAAAAAAAAGGAAAATATGATTATTTATAATTACTTTGCATAGATGCAATAAAACCAACAACAGGTTTATTTAGATTATTGCCAACATCTATGCAAGCTTGGCTTGCCAAAACGTCACAAATGAATAAATCAATATTATTTTCTTTAGCAGTATTCTTGAATTTTTCATAAGTTACGTTGTAGGCTTCCGTAGCTAATCTCATAAGATGTATCAATATTTTATAATCGTCGTTGTCTTTATGAAGGTTACTACTATTTTTGGGAGTCAGGGTCTTAGATCCCAATGTGATTTGTTTTAGACCTGGATATTCTGATGACGGTTCATATTTTCCTGTTGTTAATAATATTACCTATGAATCGAGAATATAAATAGGAGAAACTTAGACCGACGACCAAACCATTATCACGTAGAATAAAAGAAAAACCCTTACGTTGTGGCCTCTTTCAATCAATATAGTAGCGACATCTAACACTGGTTTAAGATGGCTTCTTCCTCCAAGAAAAGAACCGACCAAAATATTTTTAGGCGAACGCTCTATATCAATATTTCTAGGAACGTAATCTTGCGCCACGGCATTAACGTGGACTTGATTTAATAATAGGATGAGTATCGGTAATAAGAAAATAAGATTTTTATTAATCATTTTGATGTTTAATTTGATATTGGATATATTGAATCCAATAAAGGTAAAAACATCGCTTTATTTATACGTATTTTTTTTTATACTGATCGATTTTAAAATGCAAAATAATTTATTCGGTCAATCAATATTCCGAATTATTATAATACTTTCCTTTCAAGTGATGATCTTTGCATTTTATGACAAAATATATGCATAAATTCAGATAATAGTGAATATTATAATTGTTTCAAAAAAGGAAAAAGGGGTTTCTTTAAATTTAAATTCTAATGATTAATGAAATGAACCGTAGAACAAATTTCTTTGATTTATCCGATTACGGATCTTTCATGGAAGGTCTTCTGTTTTTTATCTTGGAATGATTTTGGTTGATATGTTTTGTATCTTAAATTTATTTTTTGCAATTTGATGTAAATAAAATATTTAAAAATAAATTCATATATAATTTACTTGAAAAAAAAGAATTCAAACATAATATAAACACATGATTGTTGTTGAAATGGTGAGTCGGATAAATTCATGTCAGGAGTTGGGTAATTTCATGTCAGCCGGTTAATTTTCATGTCTCGGTAAATTGGATATCCGTGTAACCGCTGCAATTTTTATTAGTTACAGCTGATTTCAAAGAAGGTCGAGACACTTCGCAAATTTTAATGAACTCGAAAATATTCGGTAAAGCTTGATATAAATAAAAATTATACGCTAATTTTAGAGTACTATTCCGAGAATGGTGGTATAATTTTATCTTATTTTGAGCTTTACTGAATATTTCCGAGTTCTTTAATTTGCTACATTATGAAATCGGCTGTAATATTACTGCAAAAATTCGAAATATAGTGTACACTTGAAAATTTTTATTGTCGTTGTGTCGTTGTCGGGTACTCGGGTTACTCGGCTAGTCGGGATATTAGAAAGATACATAACACGTGACATATATATGATGGCGTAGTATAAAGTATATTGGAGTATAATTGTATGTAAACATATCAATATATAAATATAAATTAATAAATAAATTGACATTTTCTTTGGAATTTTGTTTGAATACCTGTCCAATTTGTCTTATTTGTTTAGATTGTTCAAAATCCTTTCAATTATTAATAAACGAAATTGTTTATTTAGTATTGATTTTAGCATCATACAAAAAATCAAAAGAAAATAACACGGGTATACTTTAATAAAATTTTAATATAACATAATTACATTATATAGTATATACAATTATACTTTATTATACTTATACTACGCCATCATATATATGCCACGTCTCCTTTGGTATGTAGAAGTTCAGCCAACTTTCCCGCAAAAATCATTCCCGTTAAATAACAAAACAAGGTATGTATTATGCCAGAAGATATGTATGCATGGGAGCGAAACTTTCTCACAATGGCCTTGTATATAGGAAAGCGAGATGTCTGATAAGACTGAGGTACCTGATAAGTCCAAAACGCCTGACAAGCTTGACATTATTCTTAATTGTTTCATCCCCAGTGAAGAAGTGAACGATATTTTTGAAGTAACGATATCTAACGCTAATGTCAATAGAGTCTCTTCTTTTGCGGAGGCAATCAGAAACCATCGTCTAGATCGATTTCAGGATATTGTTTCGACCAGTTTTGCTTTATATAAGGTTGGGTTCGTAGCTGATAGCGTTATAATCCAAACCTTAAGCAACAACAATGTATTCATAGTAGAGGGATCAGTAAGAATGGGACTACAAGACACAATTTTTAGTCATTTACTCACACAGCCCCAGCGTATCTATTCTGGTGAAAAGGGAATCAATGTTATCGTATATCCTCCTACTGAAACAGTGCCACACAAATAATTAGTATTTTTAAATTCATACCAATGTAACGGTGATATATTCACAAATTAATTTTTGTATCAGTTGCTTCGGCAATGTTTTTTTATTTCATAAATAAAGCATATACAGTATTACGCTCTTGTCATAAATCTTGAAAAATGTCACGTGTAATGATGTAATACTGCATCGCCTAATTGCATAAATATCTGTTATTCTACAGCCAAATAGGATCATGCTTTTTTCATCATGCTGATATTTTTTTTATTAATCTACCATTCATAATTATAATTGATATTTTTGACGTTGTTTAATTAATAGTTTATTGGTCAGTCTAATAGGATCATGCAGATTTTGACGGACTGATATTTTTTGATAATTGATATTTTTCTTTTAATGGCTAAATATCAAATATATTTGCAGTTTACTTATACTTTTTATATACTCTTACTATAATAATAGCATGATCTTGCGTGACTGACGCAATAATCTAGTTATTGGTTATGGTGGATAAAATATCGTGTCACCCCTTCAGGGTGACCGATATTTTACCCCCCCCCCTAACCAATAACTATTATAAGATGATCCTATTTGGCTGTACAATAAATATAATACATTAGCTAATACAAAAAAATCTCTTCCGAGCGCTTTACTTTGGAAACCAAAATATTTTTATATCCATAAACCAACTGCAGTCGAGTGCATAAATTTTTCACAAGCACAAACATACATATATAAACTATGTCTTTACAAGCTTTTACACCTTCTTCTCCAAGCTCAATAACAGAAGAAGTTTCTTCTTAAACGATGTTGGACGTTGCTAAGGGTTTTAATACAGAGGAGCTTATCGAATATTTGGGAGGAAAGACTTAAAACTAGATGAGGATGATATTAAAATTCTTTGTAAAGAGAAAATTGCTGGTCTTGCCTTTCTTGAGTCAACATAAGAAGAGTTTCACAGTATACTAGGTTTAGCATTAGGGCCAGCAAAAACACTTACAAAGTTTATTGAAGGTCTTGGTCAAAAATTACGTCATTATTCCTCATATAAAACTCTCGATGACTTGAAGGAAATGTTGCGTAAAAATAAGGTCAATGGGAAGATATAACAAACATCAAACAGTTTACTCCTGGTAGGTAATTAATTAATTTTCGAAACTGACTAGTTAGGTATATTAACCTGCAGTCTTCGAGGATATTGATGATGATGGTAAGGTGTTCGAACACTTTATGGAGGACATTATCTTAAAACTTTCGAATGTAGAGACAATAACCAACGCTAACGAGCCACATTTTCACTTTTTAACATATTAGAAACATTGATGATGGTTTATTTCTTAGATCTGGCGAAACTTGAAAGTGCATTCCAAACAAATAAGAAAAAATGAACTGCGGAACAAGCATTCGGGAATGACTATTTTGACTATATCTATGGTATTGTGACCACAGGTGCAGAGTGGCATTTTATCATATACTCCTGATGATATATACTCTACGAGTGGAAGCAAATACCAAATTAATCTCACGAAGACTGCCGTTAAAGAAAACCTAGAATTGCTTCAAAGCAACGTGAAAAGGGTAATAGGCATTATTGTTAGGTTGTTGAAGGATCGTGTTAATGTAGATAGTTCTCCGGCTAGTAAGAGGGCTAGAATCAAAAATTTATCAATAAATAATATGTATCCTGGGCTACGTCCTGAACTTTTGTATTTATTTTCGCATGTAATAATAAAAAAAATTTCTTGGCAAAAACCCGTTAACAAGTTGACAGGTTGATGAAATAATCTACATATTTTTCCAAGACCACGTGGTCCCGGAAATTTTAAAAATTTAAAACAAGAAATTTAAAAAATAAATTTAAATTAAAAACGTTAGTAGGGTTTACGGGTTTACATACTACATACGCCACAAAATATCATATGATCGTGATTTTTTTGATGGGTTAGTTGATGAAATGGTTACATGCTTTCTTTTATAACAGTTGTTCGTTTGAAAAAGTTTAGCCAATAAATATTATTTTTACTAATAAAAATATTCTTTAAATTAAAAACATGATGAAATTTTGTGAAAAAATACCATGAAATTCTTTATTATTTAATATATTTGTATTTTTCAATGTAAATTATATTAATAGAAAAATGAAATGAGATAGGGAATGGGATTTGGTTTGCCATCCCATTAATATGGGTAGCATGTATATATGTACGAGCCTCAGTATATCAAGAGAAATTGATTAAGTATATTATCTCTAAAAAAAATACTATTTTTTTTAAGCCGCAGCTCCAAAAGCAGCGAAATAACTAGTTACTCTCGCAGTACCGCTAAATGAGAAACATGATCCAAAATCTCCATCTTCATTACTTTTATAACTCCGGAGTATTGTGCTTACATTGTGTAGATTCGAGGTAGCTGCAATTTCTTGATTATTCAGATATATAGCAAATTGATCTACTTGTATCGGATTGCCATCCACATCATATGTTGTCGCTCCGACTGATATATCTAATGCTTCTCCTCTTCCGTATGAAGCAGTACCTGAACAGGAAATTAAATTATTTTTATTGTCCCATTTTATGTACGAGCTAGCACACTGTGCTTGTGCGTTGTTCTCTGTTAAAAAATAATCAACACAAACTTCGGCGCCATTACATTGAATAGTATCTGATGTAAAAGTGCCTGGCAAATCTTTATTTGCGCATATAACCGTCATTGATGACTTCGTAGCGCACCAGGAGTTTACAAGCTCACTGTAGTTATGGTCTTTACAGACGGGAGTTGTTGTTCTTTTGGAAATTAAAGTCCCATTCTTTGTTGATTCCTCTAGAGGTACTCCTACGACCATAGTTGTGATCGCAATCAAAAAGAAAATACACAATTTAGCAAACATATTCTTTTTATTAGAATGCAAAAGAATAAGAAAAGGAAATGGAAAGTTTTAAGTTGTTCTTGTAGAAGGATAACGTTTATGAGAATTTATCTTGAATTTTATAACATAGTCATTCTCTGTATTTATTTATTTTCACGTCCTAATCACTCCCAAATAATTTTAATTTAGTTTATTTTGTCTTACATAGTTGATTGATAATGATAAAAAAGGTGCTACATGTAAAAAAAAACCTGCATTTATTCTATTTATTCTCTGATTGTCGCGACATACGATGGTTCGCAAATCATCTGTGAAACTGTAAATCTTACCATGATGGCGGCGGTCGCGTTGTTTATATTTATCTCTGCGACTTAGAATTTTTTTGTGGTCCGATCTCTATTTGTCACTTGCATAAAATGTCACTCCCTTTATGCAGTGTAACAACATATTAATATTTGTGGGTAAGATAATCCCGAAATAATTTATCGATCCCCGAAAAATATAGGTATATTCCGTCTTTCTTTCTTTTTTTTTTCGTAAAAGGCTCATAATTCCGGAATTAATAAGGAATTTATCGAATCGTTTACATTTTCCGTGAATGGATCCGTGAAAGGCTCATTTTTACAGAGTTTTTACAGAAATAACGGATTAAATTTTTTTATAGGGATTCAGTACTAGTACGAATTTGTAAATCTGTACGGTTGATCATTATATTCTGCAATTAAGAATGAATATGAATAAAATTTGTGACTCCTCGGATGATGAACCGAAGAAAAAGTAGAAAAAGAACACAAAAAGACTGGATAGTCTGCTTTTCCCTCTGTTTCCAATTTGACTTAATTTAATTAATTTATTATTTATTTTATTTTATGGATAGTAAGGAGAATTACAATGAAAACTATTAAAAAAAAAAAGAAAGAATTACAATGAAAACTATTTTTTAAAAAAAAGAAAGAATTACAATGAAAACTATTAAAAAAAAAGAAAGAATTACAATGAAAACTATTAAAAAAAAAAGAAAGAATTACAATGAAAATCACAAAACTATTCTAAAGAATATAACTGGAAAACATTATAGAACTTCAGCGAACCTAAGCACTGGAACGGACCCTTACTGGTAAAGAAAAAAAGAACTATCTAGGACTCCGACCAAGCCTACATAGGAAAGTAAAATATAAACGATCGGTGAAGGACATATAAACCAGTAGTAGGTGACTATACATAAAATGCAACATGACGAGTATTAATATGAGAGGTGTGAACATCTTGAGATAAACTAAAATCCATATGTTGGAAAAATGTACCACTATGAAGAAAATTGGATGATGAAAAGATAATGAACATTAAATCAGCGGAACGGGTTCGAGTAATCGAAAGTAGGGGGTTTCTTCTATTACGTAAAGATGGTGGAGGACGTGTTTTTAAATTGATTCTTTGTAATGCAGTGACTAAGTTTCCAAACTTTCCATTCTGTGGAACGTTGCTTCCAAACGTTGGTCTTGATGAGTGACTGCGACACTTGCATAAATGCCATTAGAGTCTTCTGCGCACAATATTGGTGTTAAAATGAATTATAAACATTCGGAATAAGTTGTGTGTTATATAAGATCGAATAAGAAGTATTGCCTCATCAGAAGGAGGAAGATCTTTGTAGGCCCAGCTGAAAGTTTCAGAATATTTGATGGAATCCGTGATACAAGTGAAATTTTATCAGCGCCTCGTCGAATAATGTTGTCTGCTTCAATTGCAAGTTGTAAAAAGGTCGTTTGTAAATGCGGTAAAAGTGTCGGGCAACGCCAGACTGATATGAAGATTAGTTTCCGTTTCAGAGTTACATAAAAGGCATTCGGTCCTATTTTTGATAATATCAGGGAAATTGCGGTTTAGTATATCTAAAGTGGATAACGTGTTAGTTGATGTTTTAATTTTCCAAGCAATATCTTTTGAGTGAGCAGAGCTTGTAGGAGACCCGTGTGTATTATAATTAAGCCATTTGGCGGTTAAGTCCAATGAATCATGTGATATTTAGTGAAAGTTTTGATGTCAGCCACTTCTCTGTGGTTAAGGTGGTTATCGATCCTCTTGTAGTTGATGATTTTGCCTAAGCACTTCCGCGCATCTTTATCGGGCGGGATTTTATTGTCCGTTTGCGTAAGTATATGATTGTGTGTTATTGATGTTGAAATTGGATAGAAGCGACCAGTTTTAGCTAAAGCATCCGCTATATCGTTAAAGGTGTCTCCGGAGTGAGCCTTACTTTGTTAAATGCTATCGTTAAATTAAGAGTCTTAATAATAAAATGTATAGCTGCTCATAGAGAAGTGTAATTAATTTTGTTGAAGCGTCGAGGAGAAATATATTGTAACCTCGAAGATTTGTTAAAACTATCAATTGCTGATTGTGAATCGGTATTAATGATTACTGTAGCCTTATAAGGAGACACGATTAAAGCAGTCAAAATGGCCTTTAGTAGACGACGGCATATATTCAACGGCTCCTTTATGGGTCCAATTAAATTCTTGTAAATTAGAAGTGGTCCATCCATAACCCATTTGAAATTCTGGTGAAGAAGGCTCTGCATTAAATGAACCATCTGTGAAGTATTCTAGATGTGCAAAGTTGTTAAGGTGTCTGGCTGCGAACCATAATTGATTTCTAATCACTTGTTCATTAATTAACGCATTGATAATTCTATAATTATGTGTGATTTGTTGGTTATTCGATGAGGAGAGATCGGAATAGGCGTAAGGTTACGTTGGATTAAGTAATCATTATAAGACAAGAGCCGACAGTGGAAGTGATTGTGTTTAATATGGTGATGGCAGCTTGATACGTAACTTTCAATATACATTTAGGAGTAAAATGTCCAATGTAATATGGGAAGTGCAGGAGTTGATCTAGGCGTATGTTGACGGCCATTACTATTATTGGTGCCGGGTACTGGGATCCAATGTTCTATATACATGGTAGAACGCTATTAATATATATTAATATAATGTGTTGAAGTTAATAATCTTCCATAAACGGTATCTAATACTGAGTTCACCCAAACAGTAAATCGTCCTTTATACGAAATAGGTTCATTGGTGACAGGTGGAGGACGGAGGCGTTGCACTTTCGGATTTTGGATCAAATTGGTTCCTAAGTCAATATTAAGTCGACCGGTATTCGATTGTCGGGTAATTTTGTCCTTCAAGAAAGTGTACCATCTAGGTATTCGGCCTTGTTGTTCATTAGGCTTTGCTTGATATCGGAGTATTCAAGGAGGTAAGCTGAATCTATCGTGATGTTCTGACTCAAGAACATAATTCCTTTAGTTCGAATGCTCATAATGTGACTGAATAAGTATTTGGGATCGATAATAAAATGTGAAATAGGAAAATTTCCTCCTTTGGTGTTAAATTGAAAGTTAGTGGATAATGATATATTATAGTAAAACGAAAAAAAACAAATAAATTTTCTAATCTAGTAATAGTTTAAGGAATTATCAAATAAAGAAAAAAATTGTTCGGTACCAAAAACGTTGTTGAGATAATAACATTAAAAATTTGATGTAGTTCGAAGTGTGGGAGAATTACTTTGGGCTATAAAAAGAGAAGCTTGCGCTTTTATCTGATCATCGAAAACGTTAATAATGTGAGGATATATAGTACTATGAATGACCGAGTTATAAATATTTTCGGTAATTGTAGTGATCCTTTAAAAATATTCCTCAAAATTGTGTTGATTTTCAAACATTGCGCTAGTGACAAAAATACATGATCGTGTGTAAGTTTCTTAATACGAATTAAATAAGAGAAATAGTTAACCATATTATGAATTTTAGATAACGTAGTGTTGTTGCTATTGTTGGCGCTCAGATAGACTCCTAATATTCTAGTGCCTTTTCCTAACGGGAGCACTTCAACGTTAATGGTATTCTCTCCAAAATTGAAAGTATGTTGTGTGGAAGCAGCAAATGTCTTGTTATTTGTTAGTAATACCGTTTTGTCTTTGTTTATCTTAATATTGGCTTGGTAGAAGTCATCCGCTATTTCAAGTTTTGTTCCAAATTGTTAAGGTTGTCTGTTAACCAGGTTGTATCGTCTAGGTAACCTTGAATTTTCATAGATAGTTTTTGTTGGAAAGTATCGTCCTCGTGTTCATGAGGAATTTTAGTAGGAAGGTGTGCTGTATATTCAATTCCTGGGAATTTAGAATTGTTGATCGCTTCGAACATAGGGTCGTAGTAAATTACCCAAAGTGGAGACAAATAGATTCACCTTGGTCGATACCATTAATGATGTCGTAAGGATCTCCTAATCAATCTTAGAAGATAATTTGGTTTTTCCAACTGTGAAAAGATTAATAATAAATGTAATAATTTTGGAGGAGAGGCAAATTCTTTTGAGGGCTTTGGTGTAAGCTTTCGAGAGATCTTGTATCATTATATATGTAAAGGTCTTTTTTTAAATGGGTAGCCACGGTAATGGCAGTTTGTAGAGTGAAGATAATCTCCATACAGGATGAGCCTTGCTTGAGTGCCTGCTAGATTATTTGATTGTAATATGCTATTTTCGCTTAAATATTTATTTAAGCGGGCATTAATGATTTTGACAAAAACCTTTTGAAAGGTGTCTAAAAGGACGATAGGACGAGTATGTTGTATATTATTGTCCCACCAAGCTGGTTTAGGAATTGGATAGAGAAGCGCATCTTGCCATGATGATGGGATGATACCATTATCTAAAATATAATTGTAAAAGACTGTCAACTTCTTGTGAAAGGATGATGGTAGTTTTCGGATTAATTCGTATACTATGCCAGAAGGTTCCGGGGCTTTGTTGTTAGGAAGGGTTTTTAGAGTAGCGTTTAGTTCTTCTATTGTAATTTGAGCTGTTAAATAAATTGATAGCACTATGAGAAATATTAGTTTTTGGTTGATAAATAGTGAACCATGGTTCTCGTAATGATGAAATTCATTGTATTTGTTAGTGGAAGACTGGAAGTATATGATGAACCAATATTTTGGTAATGGTCGTTAGCTAATTGATTAATGCGAGTCGGATCAATGGTATACATTTGTTCAAGGATTGAATCAAGAGCTCGTTTTTGATTTGTAACTATGTCAACGTTTCGTCTATTGACAAAATGTTCGATCTGTTTTAAGTCCCATTGACTTTTTCTTTTTTAAGCAAATTATTAATATGAAGAAGTAATGTTTTGATCGCTAAGACAATAGTATCAATATGGTATTTCGCTTCAAATTTAGAAGATTCTAGTGAGATTAACGTTATGCCTTCTTTCAAGATAGATAATAAAGAATTTAAATGATAAATGTGATTATATTTTGTCTTATATTCAATGGCAAGTTGTTGCGTTTAGGCGTCATTTTGATTTTTTTGACGTTCATTTCCTTTCCAATTTGACTTAATTTCCTTGGATTTAATTCACGTGACTTGTTTTTTACCTCTAATGAAATTATGTAATTTGTAATTAATTGTGGGTTTTTATTTTAAGTTTTAATTATTTTAAGCCTTATCATTCACAATAGATTTTTTGATGTTTCTATATTTTGGGTTGGATTTTCTTTTTTTGTTATTTTAGTGATTTTGTTAGCAGGAGTGTATATAGATTTTTTTTCCATAGAATACTCAAGGGAAGTTTTATGAAGAAGCGGTTTGTTTGTAGGTTTTATACCTTGAATAGCGTTAGTTTATGATCTATGTAATTCTTATAATTCATTCTAATAAAACTCGTATAGATTGTAGATTAGACTGAAATAACAAGCATATGGAAAAACAATAAATTTCATAAAACCATATTTCTGTTGTACAAATTATTAATAAATTTCAGGTAAATATAGCCAGAATGATAATATGTACGTACTAGTAATTTAATACACAATAAAAAAGTGTTTTTTAATTATACACAGTTATTTCTAATTAAGGAATAATGTCTTTTTGCATTATCTGTTATATAATAATAACTGTTACTATTTTGAAATTGTATTTAATAATTCAATTTTTTGATTGATATTAAGACAAGAATGGTAAAAAAATATTTTATACATTTCTTAAATAATTCTTTTTTTTTTTATAATTATCCAATTATTTAAACGAGTAGCAAAATATTTTACACATTCCTTAGTTTGTAATTTTAAAAAATTTTGATTTTGATCGATCGGCTTAAAATTATTCCGGATAAACAATACACAATTTCTGTACTATCGTAAACTTTGATCAACATTAAATTGATTTACAGCTTGCTTAATTATTTTTTACCTTCTCTTCCAAAATATAGTAAAAAAAAATGTTATCGCAGTTTTTACTAGATTAAGTGAAAATTATATTGAAATTTTAAATGATGATGAATATTATGATATAACAATTGAAGTTGGTAAGGATCCAAATGTAAAAATATTCCGTGCACACATGATTATCCTGTGTTACCGCTCTCCATTTTTACGACGAACTTTAATTTCAAATAAAAAGAATAACGATGGTATTTTGGCTCATATTAAGTTATCAGATATCTCACCAGAAATCTTTCAAATTATTCTAAAGTAAGTAAGTAAGTCAAATTTATACTAACTTTTATTAGCAATTAAATATTTTATATTTAATAAAATTTTTTATATTATTAGATATATTTATGGTGGTATAATTTTTTTTAATGAACAAGAAACTTTAGAAATTTTGAAAGTATTGATTGCTGCTGACAAACTTCACCTTCAAGAATTAGTTGACTATTTACAGAAATATTTAATTGAAAATAAAGTTGAATTAATGAAACAAAATTTTGGACTTGTTTATCAAACAAGTTTTAAATCTGATTCTTTATTAGATCTTCAACAATTTTGTATAGATTGTATGACTAAACATCCTCAAAAAATGTTCAAGTCACTTGATTTTACTTCACTTTCTGAAAAATCTTTGGTTTCACTTATTAAAAGGGATGATTTACAAATGAAAGAAGTTGAAATTTGGGATCATGTTTTAAAATGAGGACTTACGCAAAATTCTTCTCTTATTTCAGATCCTGATACTTGGACAGATGATGATTATGAAATGATGAAAAATACTTTACAACCCTGTTTACCGTTAATTAGATTTTTTAGTTTATCATCTGAAGAATTTGCACAAAAAGTTCGTCCATACAAAAAACTCTTAGGACGCCAACTTTATGAGAATTTGTTAAATTCATATTTGGATCCTAACATTGAACCAAGTGATAATATTTTACTTCCCAGATACAAGAATGTTGATGGAGTTATTGATTCAAAAATTGTTAATTTAAATATTGTTTCTTTGGTTTCAAGATGGGTAGATAAAATAGATATTAAAAGTAAATTTGCTTATACGAGAGAATTATATTTATCATATAAATTTAATTTATTATTAAGAGGAAGTCAAGATGGATTTACTCCTAAGAGGTTTCATGAATTATGTGATAATATATCTCATACTATTACATTCATTAAAGTAAGAGGAACAGAAGAAATTATTGGAGGATATAATCCTTTGATTTGGAAAAGTTTGAATAATGAATATGGTGAAACAAAAGATAGTTTTATATTTTCTTTTAAAAGTAAGGATAACTTCAAAGTTCCAATTTTGAGCCATGTAAATCCAAAGGATATAAATGGAGCGTTATTTTATCATACTAGAAGTGGTCCTACGTTTGGTCGTGATCTTTATATAGGCGTAAAAGGAGTTGATTCAGATGAATATCATCGTAATTATTGTAGAAAATATAGGTATGAAAAAGAGATAAGGAATACAGAAGATCTATTCTCAATAGAAGACTATGAAGTATTTCAAATTGTAAAAAGTTAAGCTATATAATTTGTATTTAATTTTGTTCTTAAAGCTAGTTGTACTTTGTAATTACAGATAGAATTATATAAGATTTTTGTAAACGTACATTATAATAAATTCTGGGCCTGGGTATAATGACTCAAGTTCCAATTTAATCAACTTAAACTTATAAATAATTAATTATTACTTATTTGGTAAATATTTTTTTTTTGTTTTTTATTGATTAATTGATTTAGAAAGTGATAAATACATATATACTGTATATATATATATATTAATTATCAATAGTAAAAAAAAATATAATAGTTGAAAAAACTTCAAAAGTAAAATTTCATGATTGTTAATACTAGTAGATGTCAACAAAATGGCTTGTCAGCAAAATAGGGATTCGTTGAAATGGTTTCAGAAAAATGTGATGTCGGCGAAATGGCAAGTCGGCAAAATTACATCAAACAGTTGTCGGTAAAATGGGTGAATATGTAAGTTCATCTACCACTATCAATAATTTTAATAAGTCAGGACCTTGTAAAATATTCAATTCAATATTTTCACAGTAAATAAACCTAATAATATAATTTACACAATAAATTTGATATTTCAATTTCGAAAAATATTTCTATTACATTGTCATTATAATTACATAAGAATGATATTAAATAATTAAAGATTTGATTCTTCTAAAAATAAATTTCCATCTCTTTTCTCAGCCCATTCGTTATAAGATGCAGTACGAAAATCTTTAATACTTTGTTCTTCTCCAGCAGTCCAGCATAAATAATAACGTCATATCCAATTTCTGTTCAAAAAAATTTTCATAGTCTCTATATACTAACTCTGCCCAAAATTTCTAAGTCATTGTTTACTTTTAAGAAAAGCAAAGTTTTATGTTGATTGTTTAACTTTAAATTTCTACAATTACTGCCAAAATTTTGAAGTGTCATGAATATTGATCAAAAATTGGGTTTGGATTTTATTATTTGGTGGATGACAAAGTCTTAGAATGTTGTACCTCAAGTGTCGATTCACGCCAGGTGATAACTGACGTGCGTCTAGGAATAGAGAAGTTCAAATTGAGTCGGTTCGTTCCATACGTCAGTTCCAAACCGGGTTTGATATGTACTGACTTGGTTCTTAACCAAAGTGACAAAAACCGATTATGGAACCGAACTGGTTTTTTGGCCCAACTTGGTTTTTCAATAGTATCAGTACCGAACCGAGTGAGCCGTCCGTGCGTGAAAATTTGTGACCTTAGAATAACAGATTGATTAGAATAACTCACGAAACTACTTCATTCAAAATTACTTATAAATTACGAGTTTTTTTAATATATGATTTCATAAATCAATTAAGTATAAAATTTCACAATATATATAATTTATTGTACTATACGAATTTATTTATAGAATAAAAGCAATGTCATTAATAAAAAACGTGTTTGTTATGGAAGTGCGATATGCGTCATGTATTTGACTCACGTTCAGTTATCATCTGACACAAATTAATCGACACCTGGAGGTACAACATATATATTAAAAAAAATTGTTTTTAAAAAAATATATGCATTCAATATCTATATAATAATAATAAATTCTTTATTTATGGAAAAATTTTTTTTAATAGAATTTATTTTTTAATTACTTGAAATACTTCATAATCTTCTACTTCAAAATTTTCTGGAATTCCTATCTTTGGATAGTCATCACCATAACCACGATCTTTATTAGACCAATTATTATTATCACAGTATATATTACCCATAGTTGGACCGTAATTATAATTACAAAAAACAGCACGATTTTGTTTCTTAACATAACTGACTTTTGAAGTAGAAATATTTTTTCCATTCGTAGAATTAAAAATAAAGCTATCTGCTGTAGTCTCCCATTGATAACGACTTCCATTCCAATCAAGTGGATTATAACCTCCAATTAATTGTGTTGAATTTTTAATTTTTGCTATCCAAATAGTAGCTCCTTTATTATCACAATTTTTATGAAAAGATTTAGTATCAACTCCATCTTGACTTGAGCGATATAATAGCTTAAAATCGTAAGGAACATTTTTTCTATAATGTGATGAATCTTTTTTATCAATCCACGAAGCAAATAGAGGAATATGATTTGACTCAATCAATGTTGAATCAATTTGAAAATTTAATTTTTGTTTTCTTGAAGTTGGTAAACTGGTTTTAGGTTTCACATTAGGAACTATATGATATTCCAAAAGATCATGAATTAAATCTTGTGGTAAGATGTCTTTGTAACAATAAACTTTGTAAAAGAAATCAGTAGGTTCAATATCATAGAATCGAATTAAAGGAATAAATCTGTATAATTCTCTTTCAATTCTTATAATATCATCTTTATTCCATTTTGTTGGATCATTCTGCATATTTTGTTGGGCAAAACACCATTTTAATAAATACTCCCAAATTTCAATATCATACATAATTAAGTCATCCCTTTTTAATAATAATTCCAATAAAGGAGCTTTTAAATTAATAAAATTTTCAGAACTGAATAAAATTTTAGGTTCTTCACAAATTTTTTCAAGGCAAAAATTCCATAAATCCGTAAATGTTTCATGTTGATAAATAATTTCAAGAATTCCGGTTGGATTTTGTTGTAAAAATTCAGTTTGATGTTCAATCAAAAATTCTTGAATGTGGGAAACTAATGAATTGATATTTAGCTCATCCACAGCTACCAATAACTCCAATACATCAGGACCTTGTAAAGTCTTCAATTCAATATTTCCACAATAAATGAACCTAACAATATGATTAATAGTTAAATATTTTATAAATTTAGATGATTAATAAATTTATTAAATAACATATCTTACCTAAGAATGATATTAAATAATTTTGGTGAAATATTTGATTTTTTAAAAATAAATTTTCCATCTCTTTTCTCAGCCCATTCATTAGAAAATGCAGTACGAAAATATTGAGACCTAGCACATAAAACATTTGAATGAGCATGAATTTCTTTAATATTTTGTTCTTCTCCAACATAAATAATAACGTCATATCCAGTTTCTGTTTCAAAAAGTTTTTCATAATCGCTAGATAACTCTGCCCAAAATTTCGAAGACATTGTTTATTGTAAATAGTAAGAAAAGCAGTAAATTTAAAGTTTATAGTCGAAGCCTTAATTATATTATATTATGACGATCGTGTAACCTAAATTCCTAATAAAAATAATTTCCTGCGTATTTGTCAACTTTATAACATTGATCAAAGATCATGATTATCATATTTAATCAATTTTTTAAAAGATTAAAACTGAAATAACAAGCATATGGAAAAACATAAATTTCATAAAAACCATTTTCTGTTGTACCTAAGCAAAACAATTTGTCAATTTTTAACCTTATTATTAATTAAAAATTTTATCCCTCTAACTGTAATTTTTCTAAAATTATTAATAAATTTCAGGCAAATACAGTATAGCCAGAATGATAAATGAATATTTTATGTACGTACTAGTGATTTAATACACAATTTAATTAACAAAAGAAATGGGTGAATTTTTTCCGCATGTTTTTTAGTATATACACAGTTATTTCTACTTAAGGAATAAAGTTAAAAATTCTATAATATCCATTAACATACCTCTGATAATTTCTTAAATAAAATTAAAATGTGATTGTGAAATGTAAACTACAATTTTAATTTACCGTTCTCTTTTTGCGTTATATAATAATAATTTTATGATAAAAAAATATATTGTTCATAAAATTTGTACTATTCTGAAATTGTATTTTACAATTCAATTTTTTGATTGATATTAAGACTAGAATGGTAAAAAAAAAATATTTTATACATTTCTTGATTTATATTTAAATAATTCCAATTATTTAAACGAGTAGCAAAATATTTTACACATTCCTTAGTTGGTAATTTAAATCTAATTATTAAATATAAATTATCAAATTTTGATTTTGCTTGCAATATCATTAAAAGCTATGATCGATCGCTTACTGGCTGAATCAAACGATGATTAACCATAAAAGAATTTGTACAAATTGCAATAATAGTCGGCTTAAAATTATTTCAGCCAAACCGGATAAACAATACACAATTTCCATTTATATCTGTACTATCGTAACATTAAATTGATTTACAGCTTACTTAATTATTTTTTACCTTCTCTTCCAAAATATAGTAAAAAAAAAAATGTTAACGCAGTTTTTTACTAGATTAAGTGAAAATTATATTGAAATTTTAAATGATGATGAATATTATGATATAACAATTGAAGTTGGTAAGGATCCAAATGTAAAAATATTCCGTGCGCACATGATTATCCTGTGTTACCGCTCTCCATTTTTACGACGAACTTTAATTTCAAATAAAAAGAATAACGATAGTATTTTGACTCATATTAATTTATCAGATATTTCACCTGAAATCTTTCAAATTATTTTAGAGTAAGTCAAATTTATAACTTTTATTAATAATTTAATATTTTATATTTAATACAATTTTTTTATAACGTAGATATATTTACGGTGGTATAATTTCTTTTAATGAGCAAGAAACTTTAAAAATTTTAAATGTATTGGTTGCTGCTGACCAACTTCAACTTCAAGAACTAGTTGATTATTTACAGAAATATTTAATTGAAAATAAAGTTGAATTAATGAAACAAAATTTTGGACTTGTTTATCAAACAAGTTTTCAATCTGATTCTTTATTAGATCTTCAACAATTTTGTATAGATTGTATGACTAAACATCCTCAAAAAATGTTCAAGTCACTTGATTTTACTTCACTTTCTGAAAAATCTTTGGTTTCACTTATTAAAAGGGATGATTTACAAATGAAAGAAGTTGAAATTTGGGATCATGTTTTAAAATGGGGACTTACGCAAAATTCTTCTCTTATTTCAGATCCTGATACTTGGACGGATGATGATTATGAAATGATGAAAAATACTTTACAACTTTGTTTACCTTTAATTAGATTTTTTAGTTTATCATCTGAAGAATTTTTACAAAAAGTTCATCCATATAAAAAACTTTTGAAACCTCAACTTTATGATGAATTATTTAAATCTTATTTGAACCCTAATATTGAACCAAGCAAAGATATACTACTTCCTAGATACAGGAATGTTGATGGAATTATTGATTCAAAAATTGTTAATTTAAATATTGTTTCTCTAATTTCAAGGTGGATAGATAAATTGGATATTAAAAGTAAATTTGCTTATGTGAGAGAATTATACTTACCATATAAATTTAAATTATTATTAAGAGGAAGTCAAGATGGTTTCACTCCTAAAAAATTTCATGAATTATGTGATAATTTACCTTGTACTGTTATATTTATCAAAGTAAAAGGAACGGATGAAATTATTGGAGGATATAATCCTTTGATTTGGAAATGTTTGAATGATGAATATGGTGAAACAAAGGATAGTTTTATATTTTCTTTTAAAAGTAAGAATAATTTTAAAGATCCAATTTTGAGTCATGTAAATCATGAGAATATAAATAGAGCTATATTTTATCATACTCAATGTGGTCCTACATTTGGTCGTGATCTTTATATAGGCGTAAAAGGAGTTGATTCAGATGAATATCATCGTAATTATTGTGGAAAATATAGGTATGAAAAAGAGATAAGGAATACAGAAGATGTATTCTCAATAGAAGACTATGAAGTATTTCAAATTGTAAAAAGTTAAGCTGTATTTAATCTTGTTCTTAAAGTTGTTATGAGATTAATTGTAAACGTACATGAATTTTGATGGTACGTATAAAATAAATTCTTATGGAGTTTTATAATAACTCAGTTTTCAATTTAAAAATTAAAGCATAGGCGTTACTGTATGTAATTTTATGAGGTATACTGGCCAAAATTAATTCTTTGATTGAATAATTCTCGTAAAAATAGATTTATTTGGTCTTATTTTTTAAAGAAAAAGTAGCTGATTACTAAAAGATAACTGGCAGGTAAATAAAAAATTTTCTGATTCATCAATTATTCTGTAGGTTATAATTCGCCATAAATGTAAAATACAAATATAAAATAACCAAATTTATTAGCCCGATAATGAGAAATGAATGATTGTAATTTGTCTAATTTATAAATATACTGATGTTGATAAAGTTAGACAAAAAATTAAAGAAATGATTAACAAAGAAGAATGGAATACAGATGAATGTTTAGAATTGAAGGAGTAGTTTACTCTACATATTTTTTTTATTTTTGAACAGGTTATTAAGTGAAACTGAGCTACTAAAGCTCAAAAATATCAATAGTGAAGAATACAAAATAATTTACGACTGCAGTGTTTCATCATCTTCCCAACGTTTAAGATCCTTCTTGGTTATAAGCTCGCAAGTGTCCTCCATAACCTCATATATCTTATCTGGGTTGAAAAAAATAGTTCGTGAGACCTTCAATCAAACTAGATCCCATGTACTTCATATTATGTCCCATATCGTCCCAACAAAACATGTGACTATGATTATCCAATATCCAGATTGAAAATCCAGCAGAATGATCAATACATACAGCATGAGGATCAATAATACCGAATGTTTTAGCAAAATACTTAATATTATCTTCATTCAATAAGTTTGTCAGACCTGACAGATCTTTTTTACTCGTATGAAATGAAATCCAAAGTGATCATTCTTCAAGAGGGAAAGTAGCGCTGGCAATTTCAACAAGGAGGTACTACATCTCTCGTTCTCACATGAATTAAGTGAACTCTCATTCGGATATCGGACCTCACCAGAATTAGATACTGTACATCCACGGGTTCACTTCCACACAATTCCCAATGTCCCATTTTTCCAGCTTCTCCTACATACGTAAATCTTGAGAGAAAAGAGATCGATTGGTTTTCCACCAATTCTCAATCATCTTTTTTCTGTCTTGATCCTTGGGAACCATGATTGATGCTTCAAACAATGCTTTAATGATCCTGTAATAACTTTGGTTCCAGACAAGTTTATCACTGATGGAGATTCTCTGCACTCAAGATGGTCGTCCATAATGTAATTAAATATTTGTATAAAGATTTTCAAAAATATTATAAATAAATCTTGTTATAAAAAATCTGGACTAGATGCTTGAAGAGAAAGGTCTGGTCTATTTCCAGAAGAATGCCAAAAATGGGGAAATACCCAAAAAGAAAGAACTTAATTTTGCTGATAGATTTGGAAAAACTGAAAAATGGTTTGATGCTCAGAATTTTAGAACTTTTTTGATATAATGTGATAAATACAGTATGTACTATAAATATTTGGGAGCAATAATAAAAATTGATGAAAAATATTGAAATAATATTTATTTGCGTGATTATTTAGTCATGAAAAATTTATTAAGGAGGAAAAATTGATTTCATAAATATTTGAGAGCAAAAATTGATGAAAAAAAATTGAAATAATATTTATTTTACGAGAGAAAAATATTTTATTCATGAAAAAATTTTTAAGGAGAAAAAATATTATTTAATCATGAAAAAATTTTTAAGGAGGAAAAAATTTTTTAAGGAGGAATGAGAGAGGAGTATGGTATCGTAATTTATATTGTATTTATTCACTTGTCACCTAAATTTGTACTAGTTTTTTACTATGAGTTTCATATATACACAATATATATACAGTGATTACATTTATTCTTCTGAAACATATAAGTGACCTTCTTATATGTATATGAAATAATTGACGTAATTATTTGGTAATAATTGTTTATTAAACAATAAACGGCTGCGCCATTTTATCAGTACTTTTCCCAGTACATAGGACACGGAGGAGGTGACACAGCAGAATAATTAGATAAATATGTAACAGCTTAATTTCTCGATTTTACAATTTTTTAAATACTTTAATTGTCTCTAGCAGGAAAAAGAAGATTTTTCTTAATGATTGACAGTTAAAACTAAAATTTTAGTTAGCAAAAAAGGTAAAAAAATATATAGTTATAATATTATATGGAGAATTAAAAAATTAACTAACGAAGTAGACAAAAAAGAAGATAATGCTTCTAGCGAAACACGAATGTACTAACGAAAATGAATTCAAAATTTTATTGAGAAGTATTATAATTGGTTTACTAATTTTTTGTGAAAATAGTGAAATAATTCTAGGTATAAACGAAAATATTAAAAAATTATTATTTGATTTTAGCAATAATTTTAGTAATAGAAAAAAGATAGATAGCGATTTTTACTTAGAATTATTATTTATAGAAAATTTTTTAGACTACAACGAGATTAGGATAATAGATAGTGATGAAAAAGAATATAGAATATTAAATACTTTAAGAAAAGAAACGAGGGAAATTTTAAAGGATAAAACTGTGGTACATACGATTAAATATAATTTCAAAATAGTGGATGAAGGGCTTTTAACGAACGAATATAATTTATTCTGGAACAATAGAATAATAACAGGAGGCTTTAGGGGCTGGAGGAAAAAGTCACGAACGCTATTTGGAAAAATGAAATACTTAATAGCGAAAATTTAAATGATCTATTTATGTACAATTACAAAAAAGAATTCGATTGGAAGACAACTTTAGAATTTGTTAGTAATAGAATTAATTTTACACAAAGACAATGCAGTAACAAAGATACGAAAGAAAGATCTTATAGGATTAAGAATTTGTTGAAAGAACAACCGACTTACAAAATATTATATAAAAGAAATACTAACAAAATAGAAAATGAAATATGTATAAGATGTGGGAAAAATGAAGAAGAAGATTGGAACATATTTGGATCTGCGAAGATAACGAATTCTCGATTGATGAAATTGTACAAGAATCAATATATCGTTTTGAACAAAATTTAAAGAAATGTAATCAAAATGAAGAAGTAGATATTTTGAGGAATTATAATTTTGACTTTATTAGAATTTTAGAAAGCCCATCGATAATTTTGAGAGGTAAAAATAAGAAGTGGAATTAATTAGAGGAGTCTACAACGAAAATTTCAATAGTTTATCGAACAAAAAAGAGGAGAAATCATTGATAAAAAGACTTTGGATGTTTACGTATGACGAAATTAAAAATCGGTTATGGATACCACTGTGCGAAGAAATTAAAAGATTAGAAGAAAAAGCAAATATACAAAAATTAGACCTTAGAAAAAAGAGAGAAAGACAGGAAGATAAAACGGAAGATCAAATTAAACGAGATAAAAAAACAAAAACAGAAGAAAATTTAGAAAAATTAAACAAAAAAAGATTCAATAAAAAAATTAGTTTAGTAACGTTAGGAAAGTTAACGGGATCTATAGTGGATGGTAATAGTATAGCAAATGCATGGGAGTGATGATGGGACACAATACATTTTAGTATAGTTCTAGTTATAGTATTTTGTTTCGAAAATTACTTAGTTATAGGGTTTTGAGAATTTTTTTTCGAAAAGCTTTAAGTGTTTTAATAATTTAATTATGTAATTTGTATCAATTAATAAAACGCGTTACTATTTAAAAAAAAAAAAAAAAAATACTTTAATTGTCTACTTGTGAATCTAAATTATTATTGATCACTGATCTAAAAACTATTTTATAAATTTGTTGAATTTTACTAATATTTTCATCTGTTTTTGTATTATTTTTATCTTTAAAATTAAATTTTCATTATTTAGATAGATCAGTTAATTATAGGGTTATTCTTAATTTATTATCGGTAACTCTAAGTATTTTATAAAATTATGTAATATTAGGATTCTAAATAATTAATAAAATGCGTTACTAATTGTTTTTTTAAAAAAATTAATTTATAAGAAATAAAGTAAATTTTGTTGGTAATAAATAAATAGATGAAGTGATCAGTTAAAATAAAAGAACATTTTATTTTTAAAGTCGGGATAACATCTTATAATAATCACGAAAAGAGGTGAGGATTTGTATTAGAAATGTCCGTCAACCTTTGATACTCCAAGATAACATCCTGATCAACCATGAAAGCTGATTTATCAAGGTGAGATATTTCTAAATTATCCCAGGAAGAATATCTACTAAGAGCAACATAAGCTTGACCGGGTGAAAAGATGTTCCCATCCAATGCTAAGCATACCCTTGCTAAGGTCAAACCCTGGGCTTTGTGAACGGTAAGGGCGAAACAATTTTTGCATACGATTGCAATTGTTTCCATTTATCTTAAAATAATGGGTTTGCTTATAAATGTCAATGTTGAGATGAAGTCCAACAACTCAGCAGAAACCATGAACGTGATAATCGTGATTTATGAGTGTACAGAGTCTCATTTTGCAAGGTGAGCAAGAAATCCGGAAAGAGATGTAAAAATTTTCATGACATGATGCATCAGGTGTTGACTTGAAATCCGATCACTCCTTGCTGGAACATTCAACAGGAGCTGCTGGTAGAAGTACAATTCACCATCTTCAACCCTAAGAAAACGATGCCTGGTTATTATTTCTTTTGATCGTTTAAAAACATAATTATTCAGATCATCACGGAATGCTTGACGAGTGGTAGCAGGTGGCGAAGGTGTGATTAAATACCTCTGAAAGTATTGAAAGTACGTGAGGTTCTCAAACTCCTGGAGGTGAGGACGAGCCATGTACTTCATGATTGTATAAGGGTTGTCATCATCATCATCTATCATGTAGACAGGAAGTATCGTACGAGTCCTTGTGGCAGGAGGATCAGTCATGAGAAACTTTACGGTAACAGAAGAGCTGCAAATATCGTGACCTAGGAGCAAACACATGAGTTCTATTGATCCAAGGCGACGCGCTATGACATGCTCCCTCAAGAGATCATTCTCATAGATATTGAATACATGTGATGGTTCTCTTTTCGTAATGTACTTTCCCTATAAAAAAATTGGATACGTTTTTTATAAAGTTTTCATACGATTTTTTTCCTTAGAAATAACGTATCATAATAAGATACGGAAAAATGCAAAATTCCGTATCACTAAAAATATGGTTTGAATACGGAATTTGCACGGGATTCATATGGAATTTACATGATTTGATCACTGATTTTATCACGAAATTTATACGATTTGGTCACTGAATTTACTATTTGTATTACAGTTTACTATAATTGTATTTTCATAAATCTAATTTTACTTTATTAAATTAAATAAAAAATAAAAAATAAACAAAATACAAATATATTATGAAAATTCCCTCCTTATTAAAACCACCTATTGCAACCAAAATTATCTATAAGTTCCTAAAAAAACAACAAAAAAAAGAAACATAAGAACGTCTAACTTAATTGGAAACAAAACCCCTCATATAGTATCTGCAATCATCCAAGTCACCAAAGGTTAGCATTCCTACAAAAAAAGAAAGAGAACTCCAGAATGTCTGACCTACATAAAAGAAAAGAATTATGAAGTGTCTGATGAAAAAGAAACCAAAACAACAAAATAAATCCAAAACTGACCTACAAAAAAAGAAGACTCCGAAGCAACAAAACTGTAATAACCTATAAAAGAAAAGAATCTGAACCCAACTTACAAAAAAAAAGAAAATTTGAACTGACCTAAAAAAAGAAAAAATCCTGAACCATCCTACAAAAAGGAAAGGACTCCCAAACTGATCTACAAAAAAGAAAAAAGAAAACTGAATCTTCTCACAAAAAAAATCTGCTGGCCTATGAAATAAAAAAAGGGATAAATATAAATATAAATAAAAAAAGAAAAGGGAATAAAGAATAAATCAAAAAAAAATATTTTTTTAAAAAGAGGGGTAACGAAGTTAGGAAAGTTAAAAAAAATTTTTTTTTTAAAGGGAGGACGTCAAAGTTAGAATTTATAAAGAGGAAATAGAAATAGAAAGAAGAAAATTTTAGAAAAAATAACAAAAATAAGACGAGAAAAGAGAGGAAGATCAAACTCATCAAAGTAAGGGTTTATATAAAAAAACAAAAAACGTATCATAACAAATCAATAAACAATCACGTGATCTCGTGTTATGATACGGGATTTTTGTAAAATTATCTTCTAATAATATTGGATACGGAATCTATAGAAACGTACATAGAATGTATATAAAACGTATCCTTTCCGTTTACATATTTCTTATAGGGTTTGTCATGTATCTGGCGAATCCCTTATCGGTTATGTATTGGACGTTGATATGCGCATCCCAAAGCAAAATGTATCGCAGGGTGGTAAGGTACGACCCAAGAATCAGCTTCGGTCAAACACTTATATACGTATCGGGATTCACCTGTAACATAATGGGTTTTTTCGCTATAGGGACGTGGAAAGCCTTTCTTGCATGTTTGCCCTGGAGGTGCGGGTCCCTGACATTTTGAGCTGCAGGTGTGTATTTGATTCGCCAAAACAGCAGCGTAAAGTTCCAGTTCATAAAGAGAATCGAGCATAGTTGATCGTATGACATCATTCGCAATCATTTCATCAATTACCGGAGGTTCATATTTAATCAGACTCACGATAATGGCCGTCGTGGATCTCATGCTTTGATTGATGGAATTGGTTTTATTAGAAAGATTTCTAATATTTGGATCGTGATTAACTTCAACCCAAAACTCCTGCTGGGGTTCTCGGTCTCCAAGGTTTTCCTCGACATAAAACTCCAATGCATAGCTTCCATTAACATTTCTGACAGTTTTGGTAGTGATGCCTGCCAAGATAACACTCAAACCCAATGGAGGCATCGTATCAAAGTCTATCCCATCGATCACCTTAATAGAGGTCGCATTGATCTTATTATTTTATCAATCAAATAATAAAGATAATGTTTAGCAATTCAGTAAAAGAAAAATAACATTAATTATTATAAAAACTTACCGTATACCATCCTGCACAGGCTACAAATTTCCCCCCTTAAACATATCACATCCCTCTTTTCAAAATCTTCAGGAAATAAAATAAAGTCATTGGTAGAAATAAAATTCTTGAGGAACTACAAATACCAATAGAAATATCATTGGAAAGCGCGTAGCAGGATTGATAGCTCCTGCTAAATATCCATATTGAAAGGATTCTGCCGTGTTCGTAGAACTAGACTCATTCAATGTATGTCAATCTGAGGCTCGATATTCTTGTCAGAAGGAATAAATGCTTTTATCTTCAAATAAATTATTTTCGTCGCATCATTCGTGTCCAACCTCGACACAGCCGTAATCTCTTTAACCGTATATTCTTGCGTAAGTTTTTCGTTGGAATCATGTATGTAGCAAATGGTAGAAATCTTAGATGGCATTTCTTTTTGTAAAAGAAAAAATTTTTTTTTTTGTATAATATTTTCGTTAATAAACACTGAAAATAAAAAAAAAATTAAATGGAAGAAGGGAGTTTTTTATACCTATTTTACAATGTTAACTATATTATTTTTTTTCAAATTAATTCTAATTAAAAAAATTCTTTCAATCCACATTCTCAAAAAAAATTTTCGTGAGGCTTCAATCAATATTATCAAAAAAAAAAAATTTCACGAGGCTTCAACAATTTTTTTTTTTCACTTCGCCATAATTTATACTTCTTTATCCGGACATAAAATACAATTTTTTTTCGCAAGAATCATCAATTAACTATCATTCTTTGCTATAGCTCATATATTTCGCAAGTTAAAAAGCCGGTCTAAAAAAAATTTTTTTTGACACGTAATATTGTTTCAGATCTCAAGTGTTTGATTATGCAAAAAAAATTCTTAATATTTCTTAATATGGAAACGAAATGATAAAAATTTACAAGATAAAAGCTAGTTTTTGAAAAAAAAAGCCATAATCGTATGGGACAATAGGTTAATATAATAATTCATTCAATAAATCATATATAAGCCACTTAATTTCACATTCACAAGGGCAAAACAAATTAAATCTACTATGTAACATATTTTATCTATTATTACAAAAAAAATGGAAAAAAAGTAGTATATAATGATTCATTAGGCACCAGACAGTCCAGACACGTTAAAAAAAAGTGATCAAACAATTTGAAAGTTCGGATCGTTGACCAGGTCACACAATTTCATCAGCCAATAATTATCAATTCAAACCCGATCAAAATCCCGAACGATCAGTAATCATTTATCATTTGGTCATTTCCAATCATTTGATTTTGATTGGCTAATATTTATCACATAAATAATCATGTGACAAATAATGAATGTAGTGTAGGCAAAAATCATAATGCTGGCCAAAATTACATTCAAATGACCAAGGTCATTTGTCATTTGTCATTTGAATCATTTGGTCATTTCAAGTCATTTGCCCTATGGAGGGAGGGTAGGGCGAAATAATATATAATCTAAACAGAACTTATAATAAATCAATACCTTAAACAAATGTGTAGAACACTAATTACCTCCTATTATTTATCCTACGATAATTATGTACTAAATTTGTGTTAATCACTTGTCACATGCTAAATTTGTATCAGTTTTATACGGACGACAACAATGATATGTAAAAGAGAAAGGTATAAGAAGATAAATTTTTAAAAGACTATGAAGTAATTATTTCAAATCATAAAGAATATTTATTTATGATAGTAAATGAATGTATTTTTATTACAAAAGAATTTTTATTTTAATAAATGAATTACGATAAATGATAAATTTTGCAAAATCACTATAGCATTATAGAATTTTTTAATTTTCGGATATTTCAATTTTTTTTTTAGAAATATAGCTTTTTATATAAACAAAATGATTACAATAATTACAATAAGTAAAATATTAAAAGAAGCGAAGATGATACTGCGAAAAAAAATAAATGAATTCAATGTTTATATGTATACTTTACCCGAAAATAGTATTTTCTTATGAAAATTTGTTAAATTTCAATATCATTATGTTAAAAGAAAATATCATAATTATGGTCATTAACTTGAAAAACCTAATGTTTTAATTTTGAAAGTTTAACTAAATTAAAGCTCTTTTATTGGAATTATTATTAGTAAGTAGTGACTCAATTTCTATAAGTAAATTTATATGTTAAAATGTCTTTTACCAATAATTATTTAATTGTATGTGTGTGAACCACTAATAATAAAAATTATTACTGGGAAGTGTATATAAAATGGTGACCTGGGTGCGCATGAAATCAATTTTATAATTTTAAATATATTACTTTTGTCAACGGATAGGAACAAGGATAGGAAGGGATATCACGGATATAAAGAGGTAGAATATTTATAATTCAGGTTATTATTGTTCTCGAATATTTGGAATTAGCAAAGATATTTAGAATTAGCAAAGAATAAAATCTACCGATCGGCAAAGACGCAAATCATAGCGAGCACTTTTTCACGTCATATCTTAGTCCTAGAATATACTTTATAAGTTCTTTACCATTTGGTGACAATGATATAATCAATTAAGCAGCCAATCGCCAAGCCCCTTGGTGCAATAATCTTGACTCATCTTTTCTCTTTATGAGTATTACATTGGTTGAGTCAAGATTCATATATCAGACAGCGAACTAACTAAAAACTTTCAGGTATGTCTTTTCCCCCAATAAGAAAAGTAGTATGTCTTTCCCCCCAATAAGAAAATCGTGGACTGAAGACTCGGTAACCTTAGTTTTGTTCGTAAAGGAAGAAAGTTCATTAATAATTTAATTTTTCTCTTTAGATATGGAAATGTATCGAGAAACTAGCGAATCTCGACAACACGACGCTACAAATTTACAACAAGGTTCTCTTACCGTACAAGTATGTCTCAACAAAGTTTATTTTCTTTTTTAGCCAGGTCACGCATAGATATTGATCCTTGATGTTCTTCTACATTAGAAACAATCAAACACTTTTTCCAAGAAAATCCAAGAACAACAAGCCACTACCAATAATAGTAAAAATCGATGGGACCACAATAGTGATAGGCACAATATGGGACTATTTATATACAGCAAACTTCCAGCCAAAATATTTATTCTTATCGCGATTCTCACTTTGTGTGTTCCTTTTTATGGGATTGACTTTTCTCAAAAAAACTTTAAAATTCCGAGCATCAAACAACCAATTTTCAATTTTTTCAAATATATCAGCAAAATTAAGTTCTTTCCTTTTGGGTATTTCCTCATTTTTAGTGTTGTTCTTTTTGAAAAAAGACCGGACCTTTCTCCTCAAGCATCAGAACCAAATTGCATTATGGATGACGATCTTGAGTGCGGGGAAACGATGTCCATCGGTGATAAACGTGTCCTGGAAACAAAGTTATTACAAGATCATCAAAGCATCGTTTGGAGCATCAATCACGGCTCCCAAGGATCGGGACAGAAAAGAGATGATCAAGAATCGATGGAGAAACAATCGATCTCTTTTCTCCCGAGATTTATGTACGGAGAAGAAGCTGGAAACATGGGACATTGGGAATTGCGCGGAAGTGAACCCGTGGACGCACCTAATTCTGGTGAGGCCCGATATCCGATTGAGAGCCCACTCAATTTATGTGAAATCGAGAAAAGTAGCACTTCCCTGTCAAAATTGCCAGCTCTACTTTCCCTCTTGAAGAATGACCGCTTTGGATTTCATATAATTACGAGTAAAAAAGATCTGTCAGATTTGTCAGACTTATTGTACGAAGACAATATTAAGTATTTCGCTAAAACATTTGGTATTATTGATCCTCGTGCTGTATGTATTGACCATTCTGGACTTTCCATCTGGATATTGGATAATCATGGTCACATGTTTTGTTGGGACGAGATGGGACATAATATGGATTACATGGGATCTAGTTTGATTGAAGGTCTCACGAACAATTTTTTCAACCCAGATAAGATATATAGGGTTACGGAGGATACTTGCGAGCTTAATCGTTGGGTAGATGATGAGACACTGTGGCCATAAATTATTTTATATTCTTTACTATTGATAGCATGTATGACTTTGGGCTTTACTGAATTCTTGAACGTGAGAAATTAACGAATTAATATTTAGTTCTAACAATATGATTAATAGTTAAATATTTTTTACAAATTATATGATAAAATTTATTAAACATTAATATTTTACCTAAGAATGATATTAAATGATTTTGGTAAAATATTTGATTTCATTTTCCATCTCTTTTCTCATTAGGAAATGCAGTACGAAAAAATTGAGACCTAGCACATAAATATTTGAATGAGCACGAATTTCTTTGACATTTTGATCATTAGTATCTGCATAAATAAAACGTCATAATCGTCATATCCTATAGTAAGTCCTGATTCTCTTTTAAGCTAGCTGGTCAACTCCGCCAAAGTTTTAATTAAAGATAAAGGAAAGGAAATGGTTAATTCTTTGGACATTTTTGTATAAATAGACCATTATTTGTACTGAATCTTTTTTACATTGTAGTTTTATTATTGTAAAAAATGGTTGAATTTTTAAAACAGTTACTATTGTTAATTTCTATAACGATAAAACATTATCCTAATGGATCCACTTATCTGTTGCTTCTATTTCTTTTTTTTTTTCTTTGGAATAGTGTAATTCTTATCAATTACCTTTTTTCGGATTTAATTTCTTTTTTTTTTCTGATACGTCATAAATTCTTTATTTTTTTTTTTTCTCACATTTTTGAATTACAAATTTTTTTTAACTATATTATGTTGAAACAGAGGGAAATGATGCAATTCTTGAATCGATATGGAGGCATGAAAATATAGCATTGTATGACGGGCGCAACAAATTAGGAAACTGTTGGAGAATGAAGGTTTTATTTACATTTTCATAATCGTTGGATAATTATATTTTGAAATCATTTTTTGTTGTAAATGAGAATAGGAAAAAAAAAGAGCAAAAATTTTAGTTGCAGCCGAAACCTTATTTATATTGTTTTACGTTGATCGTGTTTCCATAAATTTCTATAATGATATTTTCTTCACGCCAATTAAAATTTAAATGATCCAGATTATCTAATTCTACCTAAAACCTCAAAGAAACTAACCAAAGTCATTGGAAGTAACTTCAATAAATTAAGTCAAAACTACGCATGTACGGTGCACGTTTAGGTCAAAAGCGAATAAATTTTCATTTGTTGATAAAATTTGTCATATTAATGGTTTCATCAACCTTCTAACTCTAGATGTTTGTCAAGCTGCAATAATTTTATTGAGTTCGAAATTCCCATAATTCCAGCGTTTTTGATACTTACCTCCTGGTTGGCTGTTTTTAAGACGTTTCTCATTCACATTCTTTTCATTCACTTCTCTATTTTCGTCATTTATTCGATTTGTGAAATAATCGTTGAAGCGTTGTGAATTTCATAATCACTTTACTTTTTTCCGCTAAACGAACAATTTCATTTTCCGATCGCGAAATATTCTGTCTCTTTCCTACTAATAACTGATTTTGCTGTTTCTTTCAATTAAACAGCATATTTCTTATACTGAAATGATGTATTTTTCTATTAAAAGAAACGCATTTTTTTATTAAAGAACGATGAAATTTACACCAAACTTACATGGCACAATTGACATAAGTTTATACCTATCCTTTAATAATATCATCATGCTAACTATTTTATTACTTGAAAAATAAATATTTTAAGATATTTATTTACTTTATTAACAAATTAAATATGTTTATATACAGTTTCTTAAAATTTAATAAACTGAAGTTGTTTTACTTATTAGGTTCGCAGAAAACTTATTATTGATAGTGAAATATTTTTTTCAGAAGACATATAATGAAAAAAAAACAATTTCAATTTCATCTTAAATTTACTTTTTAATTACTTGAAATACTTCATAATCTTCTACTTCAAAATTTTTTGGAATTCCTATGCTTGGATAGACTTCTCCATAACCACGATCTTCATTAGACCAATTAATATTATTAAGACAGTATATATTACCCATAGTTGGACCGAAATTATACTGACATAAAACAGCACGATCTTGTTTCTTAACATAACTTACTTTTGAAGTAGAAATATTTCCTCCATTGATAAAATTAAAAATAAAGCTATCTGCTGTAGCCACCCAACGAGGTTGTCTAGTATCCCAATTAAGTGGATTATACCCTCCTATTAATTGTGTTGAATTTTTAATTTTTGCTATCCAAATAGTAGCTCCTTTATCATCACAATTTTTATGAAAAGAATTAGTATCAACTCCATCTTGACTTGAGCGATATAATAACTTAAAATCATAGGGATTATTTTTTCTATTATAATGTGAAGTATCTTTTTTATCAATCCACGAAGCAAAAAGAGGAAGATGATTCGATTTAATTAAAGTTGAATCGAGTGGATATTTTAAATTTGGCTTTCTTGAAGGTGGTAAATTAACTTTTGATTTTATGTCAGGAACTATATGATATTCCAAAAGATCATGAATTAAATCTTGTGGTAAGATGTCTTTGTAACAATAAACTTTGTAAAAGAAATCAGTAGGTTCAATATCATAGAATCGAATTAAAGGAATAAATCTGTATAATTCTCTTTCAATTCTTATAATATCATCTTTATTCCATTTTGTTGGATCATTCTGCATATTTTGTTGGGCAAAACACCATTTTAATAAATACTCCCAAATTTCAATTTCATCCATAATTAAGTCATCCCTTTTTAATAATAATTCCAATAAAGGAGCTTTTAAATTAATAAAATTTTCAGAACTGAATAAAATTTTAGGTTCTTCACAAATTTTTTCAAGGCAAAAATTCCATAAATCCGTAAATGTTTCATGTTGATAAATAATTTCAAGAATTCCGGTTGGATTTTGTTGTAAAAATTCGGTTTGATGTTCAATCAAAAATTCTTGAACATGAGAAATTAACGGATTGATATTTAGTTCATCCACAGCTATCAATAATTTTAATACTTCAGAGCCTTGTAAATTCTTCAATTCAATATTTCCACAATAAATGAACCTAACAATATGATTAATAGTTAAATATTTTTTACAAATTTATATGATAAAATTTATAAAACAATAATATCTTACCTAAGAATGATATTAAATAATTGTGGTGAAATGTTTGATTTTCTAAAAATAAATTTTCCGTCTCTTTTCTCAGCCCATTCGTTAGAAAATGCAGTACGAAAATATTGAGACCTAGCACATAAAATATTTGAATGAGCATGAATTTCTTTTACATTTTGATCATCTCCTGCATAAATAATAACGTCATATCCTATTTCTGTTTCAAAAAGTTTTTCATAATCGTTGGATAATTCTGCCCAAAATTTTGAAATCATTTTTTTTGTTGTAAATGAAAAAAAGGAAAAAAAAAAAAATGGCAAAAATTTGAGTTGCAACCGAAACCTTATTTATATTGTTTTACGTTGATCGTGTTTCCATAAATTTCTATAATTGGAAGCAATGATATTTTCTTCACGGCCAATTAAGATTTAAATGATCCAGATTATCTAATTCTACCCCAAACCTCAAGAAACTAACCAAAGTCATTGTGAGTACTGCCAATTAATTAAGTCAAAACTACACATGTACGGTGTACATTTGGGTCAAAAGCGAATAAATTTTTATTTGCTGATCGTCATATTAAAAATTAGACGTATTAACGGTTTCCTTGACCTTCTAACTCTAGATGCTTGAAATTTTCTCTAAATAAAATATGTGTATATCGGTATTAACGTCGACATAATTTTTTTAAGCCACAATAATTAAATTTATTTTAAATTTATATTAAAAACAAATATTATTACTAACACTTACCTAAAATTAAATAGGATAATATACTGGATAATTATAAAAGAATTCAGTTAACAAAAAATATTATATAAAATATATAACAATAGGAAATAATGATGCTATATATGATATTAATCATTTTTTTTAAATAAAAAATTTAGAATTATATTAATACTACATAAATATGCAATAATAAAATTTAATAAATAATTTTTAACTATTAAAAATAAAATATCACCAAATAATTTTTAAAAGTTAGATAGTTTAAAAATATATTAATATTATATAACATATATGCATGTAATATTAAAGTTTAAATTATATGTAGAAATTATATTGAGTATGTAACTATTTAATTACTAATTAAATAGCTTATAACCCACTCGGCTAAAAAAGATTACAAAATATTTTATTATTTTTTAAATAAAGTTATGTAAATATTGTATAAATATGTAATAATAAAATTTTTATTAAATAAATAACTTGCAAATATTTAATAATAGAATTAAATGAATAACTTACTTCCTATATTATTAAATAATTTTTTAATAAAGAATTTAGCTAGTTTAATTGTATGTAAATATTATGTAAATATGTAATAATAGAATTAAACAACCCATACTATAAAAATAATTTTCTTAAATAATTTAGTTAGTTTAAATTATATATAAATATTATACTGTATAAATATGAATAATAGAATTAAATAGATAAAGTGAAAAAGAACGTGAGAGTTTATATTTAAAAAGATTCATTGAACATAATACAAGATTTCCCACATCTCATAATTAATTGCATGAATTTTTTGGATTATAGTAATTAGAAAATTTAGTATGTTTAAAGTTTGTTAAATATAATTTACACTCTTGGTCATTCAAATACATAAAATTGATTAAAATGTTTAAAATTTATAGAAATATAGAAATCATAATTATGAACGAGCACCAACATTATATAGTATTTAGGACTTACCTTTCTTATAACAAATATCAACAATAACTTTCCAAATATGAAACGTCATTAATGGTAATAAACTAAGGAACCCAATAATTTTCTTTATTTCACATTCACCAAAAATATTTAGACATTCGCTATAATAAAATTTATTATAGTGATTTCTCTACCCTTAAATTGTAAGTGAATATTACATAAGTTATTTACAAATGATTTTATTTAACAAATTATCTCGTTTAATATATTTACTTTCATATTCCTTGGAGCTACTTGAAACTCATTACAAATTTTTTAGAATAATTTTAATCTATTAAATATTCATACTATATACTTTTTTACCTTTACATTACTGTGAGCTATTATTAAATAATAAGTATCGCATTTCTTTATTAATCATCTTATTATAAAACATAGATTACATTAATTTAGAAATACTTAGAGGTAAACAATTATAAAAATTGAATAACCCTATAACTAACAAGTCTATTCTAAAAAACGAATACTATGCTAAATAAATAATCTACTTACTAAACGCAACCTGTAATAAATACAATAAAATATATAAAAATTATTTGTAAAAGTTAACAAAGTTTTGCCTACTTATAAAAATTTTACTAACGTTTTATGTATATACTCTATGCATAATATTGATATTATTCTGAATCCGATACTATATCACCCCTTGTAATCGCTTTCTTCTTTTTACGTTTTTTCTTATTACTATCTTTCGTCTCATCTGAATCATCCGAACTTAAATTATCATCTTTTGGTTTTATTGAAATTAGTGGCCTTAAAGGTAGTCTTTTACTAAAATCTTCATTTAAATTTGTAAATTCTTTAACCACCTCCTTATTACTTCCAATATGTGATGCCGGTTTACTCGACGATGTAGGCACTGGCGTTGATGTTGATTCAATTTCTAATTGGTCCATCGCATCGAAATATAACTCTTTATTCACTTGAAAGTCGTCCGACTGTTGTGTAGATGAATTATTTCTTGATGCAAAATGCACTTTTTTTGAACTTATATTTTTTGTTCTTGCCAAATAATTCTTATTGACTTTCCCATTTAAAAACTGATTTGCAATTAAGTATGATTTACATACATAGTACTATGCTAAAATTTACCCTTCGTACTACATAAACTTTCTATTGAACGTCATACAGAAGATCATTATTCATTGCGCCACTTTGTTGAATAAATCAAGTTAAACAAAAAAGGTATAACTATACTTTAAAAGTTAATTCATTGACGCTATCGTTACGACGTTACGTAAACAAACTTTACGTTAATTATAAAATAAAAAAAAAATTTTTTTTTTTATTTATTTTTTTTTTTTTTTCGACTTAAATGACTATATAATCATGACTATACAACCTGAAAATTTACTTGTTTGTTCTACAGCGGGAAAAATATATGCTATCAGTAAGATAGATGGCTCTCAAATATGGAAGACCGAACTTAGTGGAGTACATGACGGTGTTGGTTCATTATTTGTATCCGGTGATAAAGTTTATGTTGGAATGAATGGTTGTTTAATCGCTTTAAACTTGATTAAAGGAACGGAAATTTGGAGAAACTCACTGTCAGGGATGGGATATAATGAAATATCATTACTTGTTGTTAACATAAACTCTGAAGGAGAAGTAACATCTCATGAAGCTCAATCTTCTATCGTTATAGTTGCTTCTCACGGAAAAGTATATGGAATAAATTCAGAATCAGGAGATATACTTTGGAAAAATAAATTGAAAAATGGTGGTTATGAATTGCCTTCTTTAATAATAGATTCACCTGATAAAGTTCTTGTTGGATGTGGAAAGTTGGTTTATAAAATTAATATTTATGATGGAAAAACTATCTGGCAAAAGAAAGTTTCTACTTGTTTACTTGGTTGTTCTCATGTTACTATGGCCACTCATCAAAGTAGTTTACAAAATGCATTTACATACACTGGATTTTGTAATAATCCTATCGCTCAACATTCTAGAAAGGAAAAAGAAAATAATAAATACGAAATTGCTTACGGTACAAATATTATATAATGTATTGTTAATTAGTGGGGATTATTTTATAAACGTAAATTGTGTTAGTAGAAAATATTTGATGTATATTAAATGAGAATTTCAAATTTTATATTTTATGTAAAATATCAAATTATATTTATTATATTGATTTAAAGTTCCCTTTAGTATTATTTTTTATTAAAAAAAAATAAAGGATAATTTTTTTTTAAAAAAAAAATTCAATATTTTATATATTGCGAATAATACGCTGATGCAATTATTACCATATTTGAGAGATTGACTTTTCGCCAGTATATGAACGGGATCTTGTAAAATTTTAAATATATTACTATGAAGTATTCTTACGTCATCATGTTGATTTGTTATACAATCTCGTATGAAAAAGTTATGCTGTAAAGGAAAATCCGAAAATGTTTAAAATCAGATTATTAAATTTTTTTTTTTTTACAAAATTCTTTCCTACCTGCCTGATTGCTGGTTTTTTTTAACATTAATAAAGTTAAATTGTTTACAACATAAGTTTGTGTGGTAATAAAGGAAACAAATTCAAACTTAATAAAATAATTTAACTAGGAAACGTAAGTCCAGTAAAATGCGATTTCATTAGGTGGCGATCACGTGGTGGACAGAGAATTCACGTGATCGATTTTTTTTTCATAGTGCGTAGACATATATTGTCCTTCGCTTCGCTCCAGACAATTATTGTAGCTTAAAAAAATTATGTTGATGTTAATACGATATATACATATTTTATTTGGAAAGAAAATGACAAACATCTAGGACTAGAAGGTCGAAGAAACCGTTAATACGAATTTAATCGACAAATAAAAATTTATTCTCTCTTGACCCAAGCGTACACCGTACATGCGTAATTTTGACTTAATTTTTTGACAGTACTTCCATGACTTTGGTTAGTTTCTTTGAGGTTTGGTAGACGTAAAGAAAATATCATTGCTTCCAATTATAGAAATTTATGGAAATACGATCAACGTAAAACAATATAAATAAGGTTTGACTGCAACTCAAAAATTTTTGCCGTTTTTTTTTCCTTTTTCTCATTTACAACAAAAAAAATGATTTCAAAATTTTGGGCAGAATTATCCAACGATTATGAGAAATTTTTTGAAACAGAAATAGGATATGACGTTATTATTTATGCAGGAGATGATCAAAATGTCAAAGAAATTCATGCTCATTCAAATATTTTATGTGCTAGGTCTCAATATTTTCGTACTGAATTTTCTAACGAATTGGCTGAGAAAAGAGACGGAAAATTTATTTTTAGAAAATCAAACATTTCACCACAATTATTTAATATCATTCTTAGGTAAGATATTATTGTTTTATAAATTTTATCATATAAATTTGTAAAAAATATTTAACTATTAATCATATTGTTAGGTTCATTTATTGTGGAAATATTGAATTGAAGAATTTACAAGGCTCTGAAGTATTAAAATTATTGATAGCTGTGGATGAACTAAATATCAATACGTTAATTTCTCATATTCAAGAATTTTTGATTGAACATCAAACCGAATTTTTACAACAAAATCCAACCGGAATTCTTGAAATTATTTATCAACATGAAGCATTTACGGATTTATGGAATTTTTGCCTTGAAAAAATTTGTGAAGAACCTAAAATTTTATTCAGTTCTGAAAATTTTATTAATTTAAAAGCTCCTTTATTGGAATTATTATTAAAAAAGGATGACTTAATTATGGATGAAATTGAAATTTGGGAGTATTTATTAAAATGGTGTTTTGCTCAACAAAATATGCAGAATGATCCAACAAAATGGAATAAAGATGATATTATAAGAGTTGAAAGAGAATTATATAGATTTATTCCTTTAATTCGATTCTATGATATTGAACCTACTGATTTTTTTTACAAAGTTTATTGTTACAAAGACATCTTACCACAAGATTTAATTCATGATCTTTTGGAATATCATATAGTTCCTGACATAAAATCAAAAGTTAATTTACCACCTTCAAGAAAGCCAAATTTAAAATATCCACTTGATTCAACTTTAATTAAATCGAACCATCTTCCTCTTTTTGCTTCGTGGATTGATAAAAAAGATACTTCACATTATAATAGAAAAAATAATCCCTATGATTTCAAGTTATTATATCGCTCAAGTCAAGATGGATTTGATACTAAATCATTTCACAAAAATTGTGACAATAAAGGAGCTACTATTTGGATAGCAAAAATTAAAAATTTAAAACAATTAATTGGAGGGTATAATCCACTTAATTGGAATGAAAGTCGTTCTTGGTATGCTACAGCAGACAGTTTTATTTTTAATTTTATCAATGGAGGAAATATTTCTACTTCAAAAGTAAGTTATGTTAAGAAACAAGATCATGCTGTTTTATGTCAGTCTAATTACGGTCCATCTATGGGTAATATATACTGTCATAATAATAATTGGTCTAATGAAGATCATGGCTATGGCGATAATATCTATCCAAACATAGGAATTCCAAAAAATTTTGAAGTAGAAGATTATGAAGTATTTCAAGTAATTAAAAAGTAAATTTAAGATGAAATTGAAATTATTTTTTTAATTATATCTTCTGAAAAAATATTTCACTACCAATAATCACAGTTTTCTGCGAACCTAATAAGTAAACAACTTTATTAAATTAAGTTCAAGATGCATAAACATATTTAAATTTGTTAATAAAGTAAATAAATTTTATCTTTAATAATATCATTATGCTAACTATTTTGTTATTTGAAAAAAATATAATATTTTAAGGATAGGCAGGGTATAAACTTATGCCAACTTTACCATGTAGGTTTGATGTAAATTTCATCACTTTTTAATATAAAAAATGCGTCTCTTTTAATAAAAAAAATACATCATTTCAGTATAAGAAATATGCTGTTTAATTGAAAGATACATCAAAATCAGTTATTAGTAGGAAAAAGGACAGAATATTTCGCGATCGGAATGAAATTGTTCGTTTAGCAGAAAAAAGTAAAGTGATTATGGAATTCACAACGCTCAATGATAATTTCATAAATCAAATGAACGACAAAAATAGAGAAGTAAATGAAAAGAATATGAATGAGAAACGTCTCGAAAACAGGCCACCAGGAGATAAGTACCCAAAACGTGAAGCAGACAAACAATTTAAAGAAAAGTTAATTAACTTATGTTGAGGTCACGTGATTTAACGTAAAAAATTTTCCAACGAAAAGAAGGAGTCATATTGTTATTTTAGTTGTTTCTATAATGATTTTGTTGGATCAAGAAAGTACTACATTGGAAATTTTAGGGATACGTTCATGATATCAAAATCCAAGTTTTCACTCGGAATCGACATTCTTTCTTTTTTAGAAGAATGCTATTGGTGCAACGTATTATCGCGTAGTGGATTGGACCAAGACTTCATGGACGTTATTACTAATTTTTGTTTTTTAGGATGGTGAATTAAGCCTAAATGGAAATCTTTAAGAGCTGGGTTTCTGATAGAATTTGGTTAACGAATACATAATTACAATGGCTCTCAAACTATACGGATAAGTAACATGAAATTGAAAGTGGAAGCTTGGACAAAGTCTTTTTATTATTTTGTTAATTTTCATTTTGGTTATCCTTTTAGCAGAGTTTTTCTAGTGACGAGAATTAGTTTTTATTTAATATGTTGATTTTTTATTTTTGGATTTTGAGTGCATCTATGTATTTTGATAAATTAATATATGTAATCTATATTATGGTTTACAGGTATTAATAAAGAAATGCGTTGCTAATTTTTTTTTTAAAAAAAATATTAAAATCAGTTATTACATTAAAAAGTGCATTTGCACGTTATAGAAAACAAAAAAAAAGTTACTGACTATATTTATGTGTACTTATTATAATATTTCTTTGTTAAATATGATACTAATTATCATTCTTTATAAAAAAAGTTAATAGTAAAAATAGTAAATAAATGTACAACTGAACGTTTGACGAATTGATTTAATTTGTAAAGTTATAAAAAAATAGATTGGATAGTTAATTTGATGTATTACTTATGGGGATGAGAACCAGCTCGCTCGGTCTGCTCTGGTTTTGAACCGATACTATTGAGTTGATCTGGCTCAAATTGGATGAACGTTCCATAATCCGATTTGATCAGCTCGACAAAAATTTATCAGAACTGATCAGAACCAAAAGTACCAAACCGAACAGGAACACTAACTCGAATTGTTCAACCACGAACTTTTCCCGAGTAAATCTATCTATTAAAGATTTTTAGCATTTAAAGAACGAAAAAATCATTATTTAATTAGCTGGATAAGCATTAATTTTTTTCTATACCCTTTTTTACTGATTTTTTTTAGTAATTAAATAATAGCATTATTAGTTTTTGTTTGGGTTCAGAAATTTCCTTGACAATAATATTGGTAAAATTTTTACAAAAATAATTTTTTGTTTTTTATTTAATAAACAAATAAAAATAAAATAATAGCAAATATAACTCATAAAATAAAACCTATAAAATATGAATATAAAATAAAAATAATTGGTAAACTCAATAAAATATATATATATATATAACAAAATACTAGCCATAATATGACTAATTCAACTTTCTACTGCTGCTGTGATAATTTACTACGCAAATCACGTATTTCTTCTAATATATTTTTTAAAGTAGTTTCATCAACAGGATTATGTTGAATATTGAGTCGGTTTAATAAATCCTGCTTTAATTCCAAAAATTCACCTGTATTCCATTCTCCTTCATTAATCATTTCTTTGATTTTTCGCCGAACTTTATCAACATCAGCATAATAGTATCTTAAAAATAAATTTATATAAAAAATTAATAAAAAATTAATTTTGCATAAAAACATAATAAAATAATCAAATTTACATACATTACTTCAGGAAACCATTCATGCCAACGCCTTTGATGTGGTAATAAATAAAGTAATTCTATTTCAGCTAGAATCTTTGAAAAAGTCAAAAAATTTTAGTAATTTACAATGATTTAACTAAATAATGATGATAATATACAGTACCTCTGCTTTCTGTACTAAATATGAGGCTTTATTATTATCTTTTTCAATTGCATTATTAAGTAATCCAATAAGCAAATTCATAAGATATACAACAACCAATAATGAAAATAGAACAATTAGTATTACAAGTGATGGGTTGTCTTTATATGTCCAATTTGATAATGCACTTGAATCTCCTATAATAAAATATATATTTTATTAAATTACTAATTAACAAATATAATAATTAGAAAGAATTCCTATTTACCTATTAAGAATAAATACATTGCAAAAATAGCAGTCCCAAAATCTACAAACATGTTTGTATTTCCATCGGGTGGTTGAATGAAATATTGATTTTGATTAACAGTTCCATCAGCAAATAATTGATAATAAGCGGGGGCTATATTCCAAGGGTTATTTGGATCATCATTATTTGTATTTTTTTTTTCAAAAGAAAAATTAGATGTGGGTGATAATAAAATGTAAAATGTATGCGCAAAACTAATTATAATAATAAATAAAACTACTAAAAAAGAAGCAATTTGTTTTCCAACACTAATCATAATTGCAAAATATACACCAAAAGATTCAAATACTCTAAAAAATAACAAAAACTTTATATCTAAAAATAAGCATGAAAAAGAAATTAAGTGAATATTTCTATTATTTGTTTGAATCCAATAAATAGAAGTACCAATTGGAAAAAAGAATGCAATTATATCTATAATATTAGATAATAATTAATAATTTTTATAATAATAATGTTAGGTACTAATTACAATACATTCATATTACCAAATATATTCCAAAAATTACGGAACCATCTAATAGGATTATAAATAAACTGACGTATTTCAAAACTAAGATGAATAAATCCAAGTATAATAGAGGCAATTAAAAGTTGGTTTTGAGTATCTTCATCAATATATTGTTGAGGAATTGTTGCAGCAGCAGTAAAGCATCCAAGAAAAGCCATATATACAATCCAAATTAATGCATAGTAGTATTTTCCATAGTTATTCCATTTAAAATCAATTAATGTCTCTCCATTCCAAGTCTTATATATATCTTTATTTATTGTTTCGACAAATGGACTATACTGAGGTTTAATTAACTCTTTAAACCAATTATATTTTTGTGGATAGTTAACAAATTTAATATATGGATTCATAAATATAATTGTTGGTGTTGTTGTATGTTTAAAAAGTTCTGAAGAAATGTGATAAAAAATGTCATTAAGATGTCATTAACATTCAATAACAAAAAATAAATAGAAAACATATTACCTTCTTTAGCTTTAACAAAAAAATGGTATATATAAAATATAGGTAAAAGGGGCAAAATTATTAAGATTTGAATAGAAATTAGCATCAAGTACATAATTATATGTTTATCACCAATTTCACTCATTAATAGGTTATATTTACACCACCGAATAGATTTAGTTAAATTAATTATTTGAGGATATTCAGAAGAGGAATAGAGATGTAAATTGATATTCTTATATTCTATACTGTAAAAAGAAGAATCTGTGATCATTGTTGTTTCTGATGAATATCTTGAAATATAATCTGGATAGCTTTTATTCAATAATGCCATTGTAGAAGTAATAATACTTAAATACATCCTATTATTTCCTAAATCTTCTATAAAATAATTAATACACTTTTTATAAATATCTTCTATTAAATCTAATTTATGTTCTTCAATTGCAAATGTTAATAATTCAACACCATACTTCAAAAGTCTCTCCTTATTATCTTTTATATATGTTTCCCATTTATCATAATGTTTTAAACTATCATAATTTGATAAAGGTAAAGTAGGTTTTGAAAATATTTCTTTATAATTTTTCAATTGTTCTATAATATTATCTTTGTTTTCGATTTTTAAATAATAATATTTGTCTGTAGAAATGAATTCTTTGTTGATCTTCATATAATAATAATAGTTTAAAGAAATAGATTTGTTATTTTCATTAAAATTATAAATAAAAAGACCTATTGTTGTCAATATAATGATATCACTGTCATTAAATAACTTAAATCCAAGTACATATTGACCTGCATTAATATTTTCTTCTCTTGTACAAATTGGATCCTGACTATTAACTGTATTATTTCCAAAAACTTCTAGTCTAATTATTCCCTTATCTAATTTAAGCTTCCATTCAATTAAATTTTGAGTCAATGTCACTTCGTTATACTTAATATGATCTATTTCTTGGAATAAAGCATGTATAGTATCCATATATCTATTATTGAAGATAATATTTAAGAGATCAACTGTTTTATATGTTTCTTTCTTGTTCTTAAAATCATCATCAACATACCAGTTTTCAATAATTTCATTAGGAATTTCGAATTTTGAACTGTTTTTTGCTAAAATTTCTTCATGTTTGATCTTTATAATATGTCCATCTCGAATTCCAAATACATATTTGGTCGTAGTTCGAATTTTATTTAGTAAACTTCTGGCCTGACATTTTTTCGATAATTGTCCTTTCTCTTTTAACCGGTCTAAACATTTATCCCAATAAAGTTCTTTAATGATACTGCCACTCAATAAAGGAATCAATGAAGGGATTAAACAAGTACGATTCATAAAATTATGTAGTTGAATAACTAATTGAAATTAATTTAATATGAATAATGGTATTGCATAAATTTTTATAATTTTTAACTCTAAATACTGTACTTACCATCATTAATATTATTAATATCCAAAGAAACAAAAGGAATTTTAAAGTCAATCGAATAAACAATAATTTTATTATTTATTCTTATATAAATAAAGTTCTCATCATTTCCAATGATGATATTCTGTAAAAGACAAATGATAAATTAATTGTACGATCCTATTTGAAAATATTTTGTAATTAACTATCATATTTTATTACCTTGTCGTATGAAATATAATTTTTCAACTCGTAACTTATAAGTTCTATCTTGTCTTTTTTAAATATTCTTATACTTTTTCGAGTAATAAGATTATATTCATAAATAGAATTATTTGAAAATAAATAAAGCTTATCATATTTTGATATGCTAATAAAGTCAAAACCCTCCGGTATTTTGTAAATTCTTTTACAATTTAATTTGTTATTTTTAGTTTGCGTGGAATAAATAAAAATAAAATTATCTTTTACTTCACGTAAAATAAATTCACCTTTTAAGGTAAAGGTATAATAATTATAATTATAGTTAACGCCACAATCCAAAATAATTTTCTGTTTACTATTCATGTCGCATATTTCTAATAAAATAAAATTAAACCGTAATTAAATATATGCAAATATTAATCGTTTGAATTGATAAAATAATTATGATTTACCCAAATATTCATTATAGTCGATATACGCAAGTTTCTTATCATTGGAAACAAATATTTGGTATAAAATTTTATCGGAATCTAATTTGATAAACAATTCCGGTTTAAATGGACACTCATTAATATTCCAACCGGCAATTGAATGATCATAATTACTATATGTAACGAGGTATTCTTCATTTGGCGATATTTCTATTTTAGTAATAGGTTCACTGTTATGTGGCTTATCAATATCGTTACCAATATCAATTTCTACCGCAATGTTACTCATTTTTTTTTAAAAAAATAAAATAGCAAACTTTATTATAAAAGAAAGTAGTGTTTTACAAACTGGCTATCATTAGTTACGGCAAAATATGAAATACGTATGTACAGTATAAATACCTATTATAATGGAAAAATAATTAGCCGCAACGTGATCCGGACCCGGCTCAGGCGTAAATCGTCGTGGAATTCCAGGAGATTTTCTGCGATTAAACCGGGTCCGGATGATCGGCAATCAGGAATTCGGCTCTAATTACACCATTATAAAAAAATAATAAGAGAAATGATCATCGATTTATAAGCATAATCTGACATCATAAGTCCAAGCGTTGGCGTTAAAAAAAAAAGTTAGCCTTATATGACAAGGTTTAATGTAGTGATGTAAATTTAAGGAATTTATTATCTTAATTTGTTTACATTGAATAAAATAATTGGTTCTCTCTTTGTTAACCAAATATGAAATATGCATAATTCAATAGTTCATGTATTTTTTAAAAAATATTATTTTTAATGTGTTCGCGCCTGATCTACGCTTAATAGTTAAGACCACTTGATCGGCAAATTCATTCTAATTACTAACGTATGGGAGAATTAATTTTGATCACCCTTTCACTAATACTTATAAATGATAGGTAATTAACTTTATAGGAATAACAATAGATCAGTATAATCTATATCTATATAATAAATAAATAAATTTTAATATAGAAAAATAAATTTTTTATAATAGTGGATCGGTAACTGACATTTTTCAATAAGTAATTAACTATCTTTAGCAATAATGATAGATACCTATAACGGATGTTTTTTTTTGAGATGTATTTTTCAATTATATAGATTAATATAGATTTTTTTAACAATAGAAAATTATGATGGTATTTTTTTTTTATATCTTTTATATCAATAAATTATTTAAAAAGTTTTTACTTCAAATCACCGGGGGTAATCATCACCGTTGGCCAGAATTATCAATTTTTACCGGCACTATATTTTTTTAATCCTGGTCGATCGTCATAATTTCAGTCACCGGTGATCATCACCCCAGTGATAACTAGTAAAATTCTATTTAAAATTAATAATGTATTTGTAAACACATAAATAAATAATAAATTCTACAATACTACAACGTGTAATAATAAATTTCCATATATAACACATCTACAGATCTACTTATCTAAAAAATTTGGTTGACGTTTGGATTAGTCTCCGTATAAATAATTTGAATTGTGTAACTTGAAATCCCATGCCATATAATTAAAACCCGTGACAGGCGTGACATGCCTCCGCCTGATCTATTTATGATCAAAAACTATTCGATTCCAATAAAATAATCCAATTTTTTTTTTGATTATTAATTTTTTTTGTCCGATTTTTTTTTTTCAAATATTTTTAACTCCTTTTTTTTAAAAAAAATTTTTCAAACCGAAAAAATTTTTTCTCCCTTTCTTTCAGTTTAGTTTTTTTTCAACCTGAGAAATTTTTTTTTCTCATTCTTTTCCCGTTTAGGTTTGATTTTTTTTCCCAAACTGAAAAAATTATATTTTTTTTTATTAAATAATCCCCATTCTTTTGGTCTTTTAAGACCAAATTTTTTTTTCACTCTTTTGGATCGGATTATTGTCCTTTTTTTCAGAATTTTTTTCGTACTTATTTTTTTCGGAAGTTTCCCTTTTTTAAACTGATTTCTTTCTTTACCCTTTTTCTTCCCCCAAATTTTTTTTAAAATTTTTTTCTTTTTCTTTCAATTTTTTATTATTATTAAATAAAAAATAAAATATTATATTAAATATATTTACAAAATTATTGTTTTTTTTAAAAAATCACCATAACATATCAGATATAGGAAAATTGACTAGTGTTCCGAATGATACGAGTCAACCCGGGTTAATTTGACCCGACTCGACTTTTAAATCAGATCGATACTAATGATTTTTAATGACCCGTGACCCGCATGACCCGCATGACCCGACCCGCCGGGTCGGGTTATAAATTTCCTTGACCCGGGTTTGACCCGGATCGACCCGGATGTTTTTAATTCTGGGAAAATTATAATTTTGGCCAAAATTAAGCCAAGAATTAGTTTTAACAAATATTAACATAGCTTAATCAGAAAAATAAAAAAATTAACCTTTGTCTTTTGAGAATAATATTTTTCTGATAGCTTTAGAATTCCAATTTATCTTTGATTTGAATATCTGCTAATTATTTTGCCTAATTCTTTGACTTTTATTATATTAAACCAGGTTCAAAATTCGTATTTTTAATTTTATTTTATTTAATTAGTCTAGGAGAAAATAAGAGCTAGTGTTACATGTTTTGTATAACCATTCATGATACAAATTTCAGGTGGCTACTAGTGGTTAATCACTAAGTTGCCTTTTTTTCAAATAAAAAAAATTAATTTTGTTATTATTATAAGAAAATCTCACATAATATAAGTTAGTACCCATTTTACTTAAATGTTCGGGTCTAACCCGGGTTACACGAGTTAAATTATACTCGGTCGAGTCAAGGGTCGGGTTACAAAAATATGAGACCCGAATAAATACGAGTCTTATATTTTTTTATTCAGATCGGGTCGAATATTTCCTCAAAACCCGACCCGACTTGACCCGGTAGGAGCACTAAAATTGACCAACGTTGATAGAAAGATGAGTAAGGTTTTTTCAATTAAATTGAACACTGGATAAATAGTTTGATTTTTCAAATTCATAAAAATCAATCAATTAATTTAATTAATTATAAAATATGTAAAATATCGATTTTTTTTTGAAGAAATTGTTGATTTAATAATAGATTGTTATAACCAAATCCATATCCGAAATTCTCTAAATAACTACCAGATTTTTTGAATAAAGATTTTAATTCTGGTTTAGTACCAAAAGAATAATAATAAATGAAATGAATAGATTCTATAAATACATTTAATTATTCAAATATTCTTTTTAAGTTGGTTATAAGTTTAAGATTCATGTAATATAATATAATAAGAAATAATTATAAAGTTTATAAATAATAAAAAATTAATCAAAAAAATGAGGGTGAATGAAAAAAATGAAAAGAATGGAGGGGGACGAAATGGCGCAAAGGGAATAAAAAAATGAAAGGAACGAAGGGTAGTGTAAAGAGAAGTGGGAATGGAAAAAAAATGAAAATGACAAAGGATAGTGTAAAGGAACGAAAAAGATGAAGTGGGAATGGAATAAAAATGAAAGATACGAAGGGTATTGTAAAGGAATGAAAAAGACGAAGGAACGAAGAGGAAATGAAAAACAATGGAAAAAATGAAGGAAGGGAAGAATAAAAAGAGCAAAAGAGATGAAGAGGCAAAAAGAAAACAAAAAAATGGAGAAGGGACGAAATGAGATAAACAGGGGACCAAGTAAAAACAAAACTCATAAAACTAAAAGAAGAAGTAAAGTTAGTAGGAAACGGAAATTACATGTAATAAATAAACAAAAACAAAAAAATAAAAAACATACCTTAGTGAAGAACCGAAAGACCTAAAAAGAATGAATTCAAAATATAAAATGATCAGCTCATTAATTAGCCAATAAAATTTAATGTACAAATTTAATAATGAAGTGATATCACCGGGTAAATTATACAGGTTCAATCACCCTAGGTGAAAAATTATTAAATTGCAAACGTCAAATCATTATTAATATAAGCTATATAATAGTAAATATAATTTATATCATTCTAATATTATAAATATAATTTAATAATAAAAAACTACTGTAACCATCTTTAATTTACTTAGTATTACATTATAATACTAATTTTTTTATTTAAACAAACTCTGGTCCCGGTGCGAAGCAACGGGTGACTGCTAGTAAAATATATAAAAAATTTTATAATCATTTATACTTTATTAAGCTATAATAAATGTTCAAACAAAATATACTATTATTTAATTTAATTATACTCCTGTTACCGCTTAAATTACTGTTTATTATTTACGGCTAACTACACTTTTTTAAAATAAAAATGTAGTTAGCCGTAAATATCTAGCCGTAAATAGAACAAATTATTCAAGATCGATGGCTGGTGTTGTTAGCCGAAAATTTACTGCGCCTTCGGCTGAATCTTTCGGCTAATTACACCATTATGACTAAAAAACGACTCTCGCGAATTAAAGATTTTGTTTGTCACACATAAAATATTAAGTGCTTGTGATCAAACATAATTGCACATAATGCATATAATGCATCCTACCTGCGTTTTGTATAATTTTTAAATAACTATATATACCCACATTAATAAGGCGTTTAACAGAGAAAATATATAAGGAATTTCGATATAATTACATAGTGTAATGGCTCATAGTAATGATAAAGGTAAAAATATATATCAAGAATATTTAATGCAACTTAGAATTCAATCCTAAACAAATTTGCAATATAATGAAAATAGTTTCAAGTAGTACCAAGGAATCTGGAGGTAAATATAATATGTTAAACAAATTGATAGTTTCTTAATTTTATTTTACAGTGATATTCACATATTATTTAATCTAACTATATTCTTGTTTACTTAAAAATTATTTTAATAATTTAGCTTGTAAGTCAATAGGTTATCTTATAATTTAAATATTTATTGAATTACTTGATAAATTATTTATTTTTTCTTAATGTCTATATAACTAAATAATTCATTTAATGATTAATAAATGCTATAGTTAGTAAGTTATTGTTTATATATTTTTTAATGTAAAATTACATTGTAGTATCCAAATAATTAAATTTTATTAACAACTATTTAATAATCTAGGGAGTAAGTTATAAATCATTTAGCCAAAACTATTATAGTTATTAAAATTAACATATAATTCAAAATTATTATATTATTTATTTAAATAATTAGAGTGTAAGTGATATGATATATTTAAACAGTTTAAATTGTTCATATTTCAGATTTATACATCTAATAATTAATAATAATATTTACAGGGTGTAAGTTACTATATATCATATCATATATGTTCTGTTATTTATATATAATATAAATTAACCAAATACTTAAAAATATTTGGTAGATTGTAAGTTATTAGTCATTTATTTAATTCTACTATTATTTATAACATTTACATCATATAATTTAAACTAACTAAACTTTTTATTTAAAATAATTTATTAATAATATAGGGGGTGGGTTATTTAATTTAATTATTCTAAATTTATGTAATATTTACATATAATTTATACTACTAATTAAATTCTTTATTTAATAATATAGTTTGTAAGTGATTTATTTAATTTATTTATATAATGTTTACTTATGTTTAAACTAAACTTTTATTTAATAATGATGATAATCATATAGTTCGTAAGTGATTTATTTAACTTTATTATTATATACTTATATGATATTTGCATGCATTTTATATATTTTATACTAAATTAAATTCTTTATTTAAAAATTATTTAATACAGGAAGTAAGTTATTATTTAATTCAATTACTACATACTTAGATATTATAATACAAACTAATCAAATTCTTTATTTAAATTTATTTAATAATATAGAGGGTACGTTGTTTATTTAATTTTATTATTTTTGTTTTGTGCAATATTTATGATAATTTAGCTAAGATTTTTTTATTTAAAAATTACCTAATAATTTATTTAAGCTCGTGAGTTATAAATATTTCAATTATTTATTTAGATACTTAGTTTAATTTTAATTAACTGAATTCTTTATTTAAATAAATATTTGGTAATTTAGTTATTTTTATTAATGGTGACAAAAGTAGTGGATTATTTAAACCCGCAGTAAAATCATTAGATGATCGTGATGATGGCAGTAAGTTATAAATAATGATTATTATATATTATAATATAAAAACTAAGTTTTACATTCAATTATATTTCTATTTAAATTTAGAGTAAGTGTGAATATTATTTTTTGTTTTTAATTTTAATATAACTTTTTAAAATACAACTTAATTATTTAATTATAAGATTTGAAGGAAGTAGAAATGCAGATACATTTATTCTTGAAAGCAATTTAAAATGGATTCCTTATGATAAATTTAAAAATGTTGAACGTATTGGTGATGGAGGATTTGGAATTATATACAAAGCTATTTGGTCATTAAAAAGCGGAGATAAAGAAGTGATTCTTAAAAGTTCAAAATCAAATTTGGACAAATCTTTAATAAATGAAGTATGATAATACAATATTTATTTTTTAAATTTAATTATAATTTATTTCTAACTAATATATTTAATTTGTATTTTTTAGTTGATATATCTTGCAAATTGTTTGGAATCAACGGAAATTATTAATTTATACGGATACACAAAAAATCCAGATACTTTGAATTATATGGCAGTAATGAAATATGCAAATAAAGGTAAATTAAGAAGGAATTTAGCAAAAGTAATTGAAATGAATTGGAAACAAAGATTATGTATATTATATAAAATTATTTCTGGGCTTCATGAAATCCATAATCAAAATCTTATTCATTGTGTTTTAAGTGATGCTAATATTTTAGTTCATAAAGGTGAAGAGGATAAAGAGAATACTTTTTTTATTGGTGGGTTTGGATTATGTCAACCAGTATCTTTTAAAAAAGGGGATATTTTTGGTGTTATGCCATTTGTGGCACCTGAATTATTTAAAGGTAAACCTTATTCTCAAGCTAGTGATATATATAGTTTTTCTATGATTATGTGGGAATTTACATCTGGAGTACCACCATTTGATAGAGAATTTGAACTTGATTTTATTTTAAGTATTTGTGGAGGTAAACTTCCTGAAATTATTGAAAATACTCCACAATGTTATGTAGATTTAATGAAAAGATGTTGGAATACTGATCCATTAAAAAGGCCATCTGCATCAGAAGTTAGGGGTATTATTGGAAGCTGGATTTTCCATTATTCTGATAATACTAATGATGAGTTAATAAGCAATGATATTATGGAATTTATAAATGCACCAGTTGGATATGCAACTGAATCTCTTCCACAATTTCTTAGTAAAAAAGAATTGGAAGAAATTCTTGAAAATAAATATTTAGAACCAAGTGTAAGTATAGATCTGAATGAAATGCTAGATTTGGATGATTTGGATGATTATACAATTAAAGATACGAAGTCACTAGGTAGGTAGTATAGTGTTCAAAAAAAGCAAATTATTTATGTGAAATTAATTTTATTCTTTTATAAATCATTTAATTATTAAAACAGATGAGGATTAACTTATCATTTGCGTTTTGTTTAAAATGGTTTAGTTATATCATGCATTAAACAGAACATGCATTTTATTTTATTCTTTTGAATTATTTAAACACTAAGGCTAGAGTAGTAAAATATTTTACGAGTTTCTTAGTTTGTAATTTAAATAGTTTCTTTTCTATAACTTATCGATTATTAATTATGTATCCCTTTTTTTACTCGGAATTATTTAAACACTATAGCTAGAGTACTAAATATTTTACAAATTTCTTAGTTTGTAATTTAAATAATCTCAATTATTAAATATATTATCAAATTTGAACCTTTATTTGAAATGGAAATTTGATTTTATTTATAATATTATTAATGTTAAAAGATACAAAGTATGTATTAGAACCAAAATTTTTTAATATTATGAATTTAACAAAATAATGTAACATATAAAGCCATTATTTTAACATTCCTTTAACAAAAATCATCTCATGGTAATTTCAATAATTTCTAGTGTGGTAAAAACAAAGATAGAGTTTTCAAGAATCATGACACAATCATATTCTGCTTTCAGTTGTAAAAATAAAACATAAATTATTGAAAAAAAATTATACATAATCATTAAATATATATTATAGTAGAAGCTTTAATTTTTACAAGAATATAGGTATAAACTATCCAATTTTATTTCTAAATTTTAAGAGTTTTTCGTATAAACTTAAAGGGCATAGGATTATAAATTAGTGCAGTATTATCAATAGTACTTTTTTTAATATCATACTTTGAACTTTATAAAGCATTAAATAAAACAATACTAAAGAAAAGAAGAAAAAATCTAAAATGAAAAAAAAAATTAGAACAGACTTTTTCTTTTTTTAGCTACATCACTTATTAAGATTATATAAATTATAATAATTGATATTTTTTTTTTAACGGTTAAATATGACTATAAATTAATCCTTTAGTAAGTTTTACAGTTTAGTTATACTTTTTAATACTCTTACCATAATAATGGCATGATCTTGCGTGACTGACGCAATAACTATTATTTATAAATTTCTGTGAGCATCTGCAGTGACGTTATTGACGTAGCTTTGTTACGGCAGTTACGTCGGTAAAGTATGCACCTCTATCTGCAGTCTTTAGCATTAGTTCCTATCCCACAATTTTAACAAAAAAAAGATATAAATATAATTACTATTAATTTACCTAATATGAAAATTAAATCAATTTTTTGAAAATATTATAAATTGAATTTTGCGCCCGTTTATTTGCGGCAAGATTTCTTTATAACAATAAAGACCTTTAGCTAAATAGAATTGAATTAAAGGAATAAACCTGTGTAATTCTATCTTGATTCTTGTAATATTTTCTTTATTTCATCTTTGTTGCATCACTCATTATATTTCCGAATAAAATACTATTTAATGATGATTTTAATAAAGGAGATTTTATATTAATAAATTTTAGAGTTGAATAAGTTGAATAGAATTTTAGGCTTTTTATGACAAAATGTCCATAAATTCATATATAATTCATGTTCCCTATAAAAAATTTACTGGGAAAAACTCCGATAAACGATCATTTTTCTAATTTGTATTCCAAGAAAACTCCGACATGTGATCAATTTTATTTTTTGAAAATTTTAGTTTTTAACCATCTATCTATTTTCTCAATATATTAAAAAAATGGAGATGAAAATAGTGAGGCTTAGCACATAAAATATTTGATCGAATATGAAATTCTTTAACGTCATACTCATCGGGAAATTTTTTTAGGAGATATATCGCCGATCAACGGATTCTTCGATTAGAATCGATATGGTTAAATTAACAATAATTATCAATATTGTTAAATAACGATAATTAACTTTATACAGTTCTTATAATTTAAATAGAGTATTTTTTATGGTTAAATAACGTCAAATTATTTTATTATTTACAGATTGCTTTATTCATTAATAATAAATAATTACACTATTAATAAATAATTACACTATTAATAAAATATACTGTATGATTCGATATATACTAAAATTTACACTAAAGTCTACTATACTAAAAATCTAAAATCTATACTAATCTAATTACGTTCAAAACTGATTGTATCCATTATCCCTAACTCAGTATCTAAAAACTACAAAAAGAGATGAAAATTAACACATTTTTGTAAATTATGAAACTTACCGAATCCATATCACAAGTCTGAAACTTTGAAAATTTAAAATAAGTTTCGAAAACTTCAAAACTACCAGTATCTAACGCAGCTGGAAGCAAAAGCCTTATATTATTTTATGAAGATCGCATTACTGTAACTTTCTATTATTTACTGCGGATTTGCGTTTACATATGTTGTAGTATGTATATTTTGTGGATAAAATAATATTGATGGTTTTATGATTTAGATAAAATCTTTTATAATTTACTGCATTTGACAATAATTTAGTAAGTAATGCGCTTCATTAAGTAATGGTATTAACTTTTGCTAACAATTGTATTAAGACGTTAGGATTGTAGATATTTATCACGTTTTTACGAATTTTTTTTTTCATTGTACCACTATTATCTATCATAATGCCAAGTAAAATGACTCTTTTACAAAAAGTTACTTTTGTTTTTTACTTATTTGAAATATTTATAGTCTGTCGCCAAGTTTTGCTAGGAAACCTATTTTAGGAAACCTTTTACGTTGATTTAAGATTTTATAAAAGTATTAATTATAATCTTTGATCATATACATTATTAAACTTTTAAAAAATAATGTTCGAGCCCGTGATACGGTTGCGTGATTTGGAATAAATGATCTGCAACAATAGTTATTTCATCGCTTTAATTTTTGAATTTTTGGTTAATGGAACAAAAGTTTGGAGAAGCTATCTGTCGTGAATGATGTACATACAATGGACGTCATTATTCGCTACTAACTCAATTCTGAAGGAGAAAGCGGGGACTAAAATCTCTATTGTTGCCTTTACGGAAAAATATAGAGTAGAATCAGGAGATATATCGAATCACATTTTTTAAATGTTGGATATGAAATTCTCTCCAGTATTGTGATTTATAGTTTATATGATAATATTGAAAAAACAACTGTACAAAATTATTATTTATAATTCTGGAAAAGAAATTCCTGGATAAGTACAATAAGTACTTGAGGTGAATTAATGTAAAAAAGAGAGAATATTATACACTTTAGCAATAGATAACAAAAATTTAAACAAATTTACCTGTACATACTGCGGCACTATGATCGTACCACAATTGTTAGTTGTTTCCTTGTATAGGTTTGTAACGATTGTAACGTGATACTAAACAACAATAATGAAAATTGTGCAACTTGTGCGATGTTGATCCTTGAATAAATTATATAATGAGACTTTTGTAGAGCGCACAACTTTTTCGAAAAAAAAAAAAAATATTTATATATATGAACAAATAAAAAAAAATTTTGTTCTGGTGATAAATATGGCCTCATTAAATGAATGGATTGACCTGAAAATAAAGGATGGTGACATAAATTATTTTGAGTATGATGAATTTACTAATATAGAAAAAGTTGGTGAAGGAGCATTTGGAATTGTGAATAGAGCTGATTGGAAAAGTGGTGAGATCAAGGTAGCATTAAAAGTTCTTACAAGACATTCTACAGTTGGTGAAAATAATATGAAAAAGTTTCTTAAAGAGGTAACGGAAGTTTTTAAATTTAACTATTATATGGGATAAGTACTAATTTAATGATCTTGCTTTAGTTAAATAATTTAAGAAAAGTTTGTTTTCATCCAAACATAAATCAATTTTTTGGAATTACAAAAGGTCAGTATTTCATTAATTTATAAAATAATAACATTTTTAATTAATTATCTTTATTTTCTTAGAACCGATATCAAATAATTATATGATGGTATTACAATATGCTAATCAGGGGAATTTAAGAGAGTATTTAAAGAATAAATTTAATTCATTAGAGTGGAATGATAAAATTCAATTATCTTTAGATATTACACGTGGGTTAAAATGCTTACATTCAAGAAAAATAATTCATAGAGATCTGGTAAATTTATATTAATTCTGTTTAAATTCAATTTTTGATTAAATATTAATACATTTTAATAATTTACGTATATAGCATGCAAAAAACATATTAGTTCACAAAGATAAACCAATGATTGCGGACCTTGGATTATCTAAACAGTTGAGTGCTGATACTACATCAAGTTCAACAGTTTATGGAATGCCAGCATATATTGATCCACAATGCTATAAAAATGAAAATTATATAAGAGATAAAAAATCAGATATTTACAGTTTAGGAGTTCTTTTATGGGAAATAACAAGTGGATGTCCACCTTTTTCAAAAAGCCCAGTTCACATTGTAAACATTAAGGTTGCTAGTGGTATTAGGGAACAACCGATAATTAATACTCCTTTAGCCTATGTGAATCTTTATAAAAAATGTTGGGATGATAACCCAGATTTAAGACCAACTGTTGATGAAGTCTTTGATATATTGGAAAGGATTTCTCTACAGGATTTACAGGATAACACTATTACTAATAATGAAATTAATCCTAATATTATAAAAGATTTAAATAAATTAATTTTAAATTCTAATAATTCGGATTTGACTAATCAAGATGATTCACAATCATCACAATTAATAGTATCAACTAATATCGATTTATCACAACAAATAAGTAAGTAAAAATTATAACTATTATCACAATTTTATTTTAGAAACTTATTTGACGTTTATATTATTAGGTACACCATTATCATCCGTTTTACCTAGCATTAATGAAGATGAAATTGGATTAAATAATACTTTAAACGAAATTATAATTGCTTATATAAATTATAATAACAAGGGAGAGACAAGAAATTTTAATTTTGATAAGGTATTAAGAAAATATGAGTCAAAATCAAAAGAAATTTTTAATTATCTTTTGAGTAATCCGAATATACAGCATCATAAAGTGATGGTTGGTAAATTTTACAATGAAGGATTTGGATGTAGTAAAGATGATTATAACAAAGCTCTTGAATGGTACATTGAAGCAAGTCAGCAAAATGACATAAATGGTCATTATGAAGTCGGTCATTTCTATTTCAGTGAGGGTAATTATGTAAAAACATTTGAATATATTAATCTTGCTATTAATAATGGATTAAATATAGCTTTACGTTTTCTCGCATATTGTTATAAATTTGGTTATGCGGGATTGGAAACTGATTATATTAAAGCATTTGAATTATATAAAACATTATCTGAGAAAGGATTTATACCTTCTCAATACGAATTAGCTAAATGTTATAATAATAGTATTGGTACTCAAGAAGATAAAAATGAGGCTTTAAAATGGTATAAATTATATCAAAAAAATGATGGAGAATGTGATGTAACGTCCACAATCGTGGATATTGAAAATGAACTGGTAAATATAATTTTACATTTTTCTTTTATTTTGAGATTTATAATAGAAAAAAATCTATATTAACTTAATTTAATTTTATAGGAACAAAATAAATAAATTTGAATATGTAATTTAATTTACTCAACATATTTATTGTCTAATCGTTAATATATTATATGAAGTTAAATATTGTTATTGTAGTAATTAAAAGAAATCTTGATTGTTTATAAATTAAGAGATATTTTATAATTAGTTAATCAAAAATTATATCATTATTTTTTGTAAAATTTGTATATCTACAAGTCTTTTAATTAAAAAAAAAAAGTCTCATAAAAATAAATATTCAGTATTTGTTTATAAATTCTTTTTAATTTTTAATTTTTTAAAGAAATTGATTATAAGTAAATATGTATATTACTTTTATAGTAAGAGAATATCTTTGAAATTAAAACGATTAAATCGCTAAAGTTGAATATTTATCGACATATATACCGTATCACTAACGTAAACCTAAAATTGAATAATTTAGCGATAACAATTTGATGGTATTGAATATCATGTCGTGTGGTTGACTGTCTTCGTCCAAGTGTGGGGGAACGAAAATGAGGCTTTGTGGTAATAATTGATTTATACACCTAAATTTTCTCCGGAAACTCACATAAAAGAAGCCGAAGTGTTGTCTAAGAAGTAATTATCCGGACGAAGCGATTAAAGACAATATTTATAACAACGTCTATTCACCGTTCAGATATTTCCATCAATCATGTACTAAATTATGGTAGGTTATGTACGGGTAAAATTATTACTCGCAATTTAGTTCCAAATTTACGAATCTTATAGAGGCCATTGGTCGTTAGCCCTACTTATGGACCAGGATGACCTTTACTAGGTGTTTAAAAAACCCTTTATTTGTTTAATTTCCACATAATCATACTTATTTGATTCTCATATAATCATACTGAATTATAAAGTCATATATAACTAATGCTTTAGTATATTTTTGTCTTTCAAAAGCTCTATCTAAACAACGTATGGAATAACGCTATAATTGATACATGTCATTAGTGTATGACGAAACTTTGATCATTTACAACCAATTCAAGTGGCTTTATACAACCTTCGAAAATAAATTTTAAATAAATAAGAAATCATTTTAATATTCTTAATATTCTTCTACTATTAGTATGTACCTGATATATAGTCATCAAAACTTTAATTTTCATTTAATATGTATTAATGATCCTTTAATATAAATTTAATGATGTGATTATTTTATCTTTTATTTAAAAATTGTTATTAACAAAAATGTCTTACTTTACAATCACAATTGCCGTTATTATAATTACTGATGCTAACGTTGATTTAAAGAATACCGTAATTTTATTGAAAAATATATACATATTCAAATCCTTTCCAAATTTATTATACTGCATGTATAATTACTTTTTCCCAACAATAGGAGAATCTTCTTTACTAGCATATTCAGTCCAACTACCATCATAAACTGCCAATTTTTCTGCTCCAATTTTTTCTAAGGCTAAATATAACATCGTAGCTGTAACACCACTACCACAACTTAATACAATAGGTTTATTTAAATCAATATGTTTTGATTCAAATAATTTTTTTAATTCATCATCTTTTAATAATGTTGTTTTTGTATTTGGATCAATTATTGAATTAAATGGTACTGAAAATGAATGTGGCATGTGACCACTTGATAATCCTATAAGTAATATTAAAAATTAAGTAAATGATCATATAAATAAATATTATTCTTAATAAAAATAAATTTACGTACCTGCTCTTGGTTCCGGAGCTGTTCCTTCAAATCTAATAATGTAAAACAATTTTTTTTTTAAAAAAAAAAAAAATTACTCCACTTAAATAGAATGTTTTATACATTTTACCTTGCTTCAGGCCTTGCATCGAGAACTTGTTCAAAATCTGGTGAATCAGGTCCTTTATTTATATTGTTCCTAATATCTTCATAATTTCTAACAAGTTCTTCATTTAATGTTGGAGTTTTATATACTTTTGGCTAAAGTAAAATAAAATAGAAAAAAAATTTATTAATATAAAAATATATATACATATATATATATAATATATTAATCGAAATAAAATTTGTTTTATATTTACCGTAAATGAAACTGGACCACTTTCTATTTCCCTTTTTTCAGCTATCCATTTAGGTAATCCCCCGTCAATAACGGATATTTTTTCGTGGCCAAAGACCTTCAAGACAAAAAAAATTTTTTTTAACCTCTAATTATATTTTAACGGTAAAAAGAAATTGTAAAACATACCCTGAAAGTCCAATATACCCTTGTAGAAGAAAATAATCCGATAGAATCATAGACAACAATATGATCTTTTTCAGAAATTCCCAACTCACCTACAATATTTATATATATATACAAAATATTTGGTTTTAAAAAATTATAAATTATTAAGTAATAAAAATTAAAATTCGCCAACAAAAAAAAAAAAAATGATTACAAACCTATTGCCTTGGCGAAATTTTCAGAACTTGGTAACATATGAGGTAAATCTGTATTTTTATCCTTAATTTCATCGATTCCAAAAAATCTTGCATTCTAAATAAAAATCATTTATTAATAATATCCGAAATTCCTAATCATAAAAATATATACTGTATATATATATATATATATTTTTGCATGTATAATAATAATTTTAACTTTTGTTTTATTTGTTACCTTTATTCTTTTTTCCAAATATTCTTTGTAAGGATCTCTATTAGCATTTGGCATATGCCAAGAACCATCAAGAGGTATGATTGATTCATGATTTTGTGCAACCCATTCGGTTGAAACGATATTCGGAACAGTAGAAAAAGAAGACATCGCTATATATATATATATATATGTGAAAAAATAAGAGTTAATTTTACAAAAAAAAAATATAAAAAAATAGGATTTTACCTTTCCTAAAACCAAAAACTAATGGTTTGTGAGAATTAATCAACTTATTAAAATGGTTAGATAAAGAATAAGTATTTTTTATAATAAACCGATGAGAACGAAGGACGTTCATTTTCTTTATTTACAGGAAAAAAAAAAATGATAGACTAAAAAAAAAAATGTTTAAATTAAGGATCGACTGATCAACTTTAATTTAATATATCCTAATGGGTCAATTTCAATTCCGACAAAAAAAACTGCGCCAATGCATATATCTCATAAAAATTTCGCAATTTTAGGCAGAATTATAAATGATCGGCGCTACTGGTTCCCATATTAAGTAATGCCAGCCATACTGGTAGTTGATTTGACATGTATTAGGCCGTTTTGACGAGATCCATTAAGGCGTCGAATTTTAAAAGGCTTATCATAATATTTTAAATTTTGAACTATAAACTAATAAAACAATTAATGCCAGTAAGATAATAGCTTTATTGTTGAGGTTAAAATAATAATATACTTTATTACTTATCCGTACTTTCGTCTAAACATTAAATGTCTGGGAAGAATTCCTTCAGAATGTATGATGTGTAATGATAATGAAGCGAGAGGCAGTTGTAAAGTAATGAATTGGATTAAATTCGATGAAATAAATAGTGGTGATAAAATTAATAAATGTTAAATGAGAATTATAATAGAAAGTTTATAAAAAATCGTATGTAAAAGAGTCAAGAGCTTTCTAGTATAATGAAAGCAATGTTCTTAATACGTAAAAATTAGATCTACTCATTTCTAGTTGATCGGTTCGTAATCAACCCATTTCTATGTAAGAGTCTGATTCGTTTAATCAACATTTACTACCGACAAACGTTTTACCGACAAGTTTATTTTGTCGACAAACATTCACCGATAGTCATTTCGCCGACAGCCATTTCACCTGAGTTTATTTTGACAGCAGTGTAAAACTATTTTAAAAAGATTTAAATTATTTATTTTTGCTCATCACAAGCTAAAATGACTGATAGTATGTGATAATAATTAATAAAAATTTAAAAAATTTGAGGTTACGGCGAAATGATCTGTCGATACAATATCTGCCTTATGTATTTTATTATACGATCTATTGTTATTATTAGAAAAAAAATTTAGAAAAAATTTCTGAAAGATTTTGTTATATCTATAAAGATCTATTGGCATTATTAGAAAATTTTATTTATACTATATCTGTCTTATGTACTATACCTATTATTAGAAAAAAAAAAAAATTTTAAAAAAAAAATTTCTAATTTGTAATTTTCATTCCGTAATATTTTTGTTGGCTGGATTATATAATAGTTGTTGCTTATGGCGAAGGTAATTGGCCATGTGTTGTTTGTGTAGCAAGCGGGGAATTTTTTTTTTTTTGATTAAGTAATTTATACAAAAAAATTTTGATTTTCTTTGAAATATTAATTATATCTATTGGCGTTATTAAAAAAAAATGTTTCAAAATGTTTTTCTATAAGATTTTATATAAAAAAATGTCTTGCAACATTTCTTATATTATTGTTGATAAATAAACATAGCGAACCATTTTTTTTATGTGTTTTAATATAAAAAATGGTTTGCAATATTTCATAAAATTTTGCTAGAGTTATCCTATAATAATAATTAGAATTAATAATTAATATGATATCATAAAATTTGAATCCTTATTGGCTGAGATATGTCAATTTGAAGTTCTAATGGCAGTGTTCAATAACTTTCATTTAAAAAATCTTTAAAAGCATGTTAAGCTCCCCCATGAAAATGACCTCTTGTTCCTTATAATTATTAAAGATTTCACTAATAAAATAGTTTTTCTCTTATAATATATTTAAAAAGAATAATAGTACTTTAATATATTTTTCATATAAATTTAAAATATAGAAACCAAATAAAATAAATATAATTCCAAGCTTTCTATAACCTAATTTGAATAAATTTTTATAAAGATATTTTTGAGCGTAGAATTAACTAAATCATGAAATTAGTTGAGTTATTATAATATTTTAATCGAGTGCGATCAAAATTTCTTATCCAATAAAAAAATTAAGCACAGGGAATGACATCAATTTTATTCTAAATAAAGAAAAAAATTTACTTATAAAAGAACATAACTATGTTCATTCTCTTCCTATTTATCACCCAGTAAAAAAAGTTGATCCGTTTTTTATATTCCATCTTTTTTTCCGTAAAATACTCATATTTCTAAACTTACATCACGGAATTTATCGAATTATTTTCATTCTCCGTGAATGAATCCGTGAAAGGCTGGAGTTTTTACAAAAATGACGGATAAAATTTTTTTAGGGTCATATTTGCAAAAAATAGAGTCATATTTTTGGATACAAAATGAGAAATATTAAACCAAAAGTATAATAACAAGAATAAGGTTGAAAATGCGATTAACGATATAATTGATATAATTGATCAATTTATCCATCTTTATTCGCTTTATCTGGTAATTTTATTAATTGTCTCAAAACGCTTGCGTATTGATCGGGACCCGAGCAGATCGGCAACATTCAGGGCCAGCAATGCATAATTCTGGTCAGAATTATTCAAAAAAAAGAAAATTTACATGATAATTCTGGCGAACCTCCCAATTATTTAATAATGAGTAACTTTAAATCTTTAATAATGTATAGTATACTTTTGTAATACTACAGCTTGCAGCTCTCACAAGAACTTTTCTTTGTACTTTTGTTCAAAAATAATAATAGCTTCTTGATTAGCTCGGAACCAAATATTCTGAGAACAAAATTAATCATTAGAAGCTCAAGAGTTATAAAAGAAAATCTGTTTTTTACAATAAAAAAAAAAATTTTTTTTTTTTTTTAATAATTCTAATTAATATGCAAACTACTATTTTCAACATCAACTTTTCGATCTTCGATAAAAAATTTATCCCTGAATTTATTACACAAAATGAACATTCTCATACTGTTGACATTGGCCAGAAACTAGATGGTAACGAATTATGGCCTAAACAATATAAATCACCTAATAAGGTCAAAAAGGTCTTCTCCAAGTCTCTTAAAATTTTGAAACGTAAATTCACTTGTAAAATTTGCGAAAGTAAAAATACAGTTATAGCCGAAGAATCAATGATTTCAAAAATTGCTTATCGTAAGAAAACTTCAACCGACAAGAGTATAGCAGAAATTATTGATTTTTGATAATTACTTGTTGATAGAGAAATTCCAGAATGTTTACGGCTTTATTCTGTTTATGGCGGGATGAAAGTGATTCTTTTATAACGAACTCCTAATATTTCAATGTTTCTGAAGTTGTTAAATGAAAATTTTTTAAAATTCTATGATTTTAGTGTTTCTAAATCAAAACTAATGTATCATTGTTAATAATTATATATACTTGTATACTTTTGTAAAAAAAAAAAATATGTAAAATATAAAATTATTCAAATTTCAGCTATATAGTGTGATTAATAAATATTGTATGATTGATAATTTAACTTTATTGTTTTAATACGTGAATGGAGTAGTTTACAATATCTATTTGCAATATCCTTGCTTACAAAGAAATTTTTGATGTTTTGTCTAATTTTTTTTTGATCTCGCGCTTAAATATAACTAAAGCCATTTATAATCTCATATAAATCCGCTTCGCTGTGATACAACAGTATAAGCAAGTACTGTATACCAAGATTTTATACATAATAAGTTGCTCATGCCCAAGCTTGTGAAAAGTAAAAATAGTAAATATGTTAAAAATAGCAAACTTCGCAAATTATCATGATATTGCCTATAAAATTAATAATTTTGGAGAAATTTATGTTCAATACTAAAGTTTTCCAATGCTGAATCTATATAATATAATAAAAAAATTCATGTCGATCTTCTAACGTTTAGATTAGCCTGTATAAATCATCTTTGAATTGTGTAATGCATGATTCATCTGCGCCTAACAGTACTACTAATTATATACTAGCAGTTACCCGTTGCTTCGCACTGGGACTAATGAGTTTGTTTAAATAGGCCAAGAACAATTTGGTATTACAGTCAAACCTTTATATAATGATATGTCGGGACATATATGAAATTTTTAGAAAATATCGTTATATCAATGGTATACCGATATTTATATGTCCTCACATATAGTGGGAAAATAAAATTTTATCGGTATATCAAGTTTTTAATAGTATATCGATATATCGAATATCGGTATATCGAGGTTAGACTGTATAATGTAATACTAAGTAAATTAAAAATGGTTACAGTTTTTTGATTAGTAGAATGATATAAATTATATTTAGAATGATATAATTATAGTGCATTAGAGTAATTAGTAAATATCTGACATGAATACTTATGAAAAGAGTACATAGTTATAATAAGTATTTGTAATCAATAAATGGGCTAATTAATTTTTTTAATTTCAGTAATAAAATAGCAATGATTAGCAATTTGTATTAATGCTATAATTTACTGATTAATGAATTTTAACCATAATAATATAGATCAAATATTTCAGGAGCAGACAGACCACCCATTACACAATTCAAATTATTTATACAAGATAATCTAAATGTTACAGAATTTTTTTAATTATATAGATGAACAGTATTTATGTATTTATGATATTAATTTAACTTACTTTAATATGTGCTATATAATGAAAAAATTATATGATATATCATATGAAACAGAGATCAAAAATATATTTTATTATGTGTGTCTACTAATTTTATTACAGATTACAAATAAAATTGTAAAATCATACGAAATTATAATATTATAGATAATTTTAATTTTATAATAGCTTTTTTAAAATATATTTTTTTTGGTAATTTGATAATAAAGTTACGATAATTTCAAATGATTAACATTCATAGTACGATTTAATGATTTATTATATAATAAAATGATCGGCATTCATAGTACTAATGATAAAATGATGATATAAATAAATGGTAATGATCGGTATTCATGATATTGGTTTACCGATCCAAAAATTTAAACAGATAATAAATCAATAATACAGATAAATAAACATTATATCATTATACAATTTTAAAATTTTTTATATGACTAATCTAAATATGACCCATTTTTTTTAAATAATAGATAAAAGGGTTTAAAATTTGAATGCACCTGCACCCACTCACGTGACATGATTTTAAAATTTTATTGGTGATAATCAATCTATTTTTTATTTTTTACTTTGTTTAGGAACGTTTTTTAATTACTCTTTTTTTGTAGGAATACCCTGAAGATGAAATGGACCCCTAAAAATAAAAGGTGTGTTTTTTTCAATTTTTTTTCCCATTCATTTCGTTCAAGAACAACGTTCCTAACATTCTTTCGTAATTTTTTTTTTATAGGAACACTCCCTGGAGACTCTTAAAGACAAAAGGTAAAATTCTTTTTCATTTATATTTGTTAATTTCGTTTAAGAACATTCCTAACATTCTTCAATAATTTTTTTTATAGGAACACCTCCTGGTGACTCTTGGAGATGAAAGGTAAGTTTTCTTTTTTTGTTTCTTTTATTAATTTCATTTAAGAACATTTCCTAACATTCTTTGAATAATTTTTTTTATAGGAACGCCCCTGGTGACTCTTGGAGGCGAAAAGTAAGTTTCTTTTTGTTTCTTTTGTTAATTTCATTCAACTAAGGATGTTCCTAACATTCTTTCAATAATTTTTTTTGTAGGAACGTCCCCTAGATAAAAGATAAGTTTTCTTTTTTCGTCTCTTTTGTTAATTCCATTTAAGAATGTTTCTAATGTTCTTTCAATAATTTTTTTTTATAGGAACGCCCCTGGTGACTCTTGGAGACGAAAAGTAAGTTTCTTTTGTTTCTTTTGTTAATTTCATTCAAGGACGTTCCTAACGTTCTTTCAATAATTTTTTTTGTAGGAACATCCCCTAGATGAAAGATAAGTTTTATTTTTTCGTCTCTTTTGTTAATTCCGTTTAAGAATGTTTCCAATATTCTTTCAATAATTTTTTTTTTATAGAAATGTCTCCTGGAAACTCTTGGAGACGAAAAGTAAATTTCTTTTCATTTCTTTTGTTAATTTCATTCAAGAATGTTCTATTAATGTTCTTTTAATAATTTTTTTATAGGAATGCCTCCCAGAGACTCTTGGAGACAAAAGATTTTTTGTTTTCTTTTGCTAATTTTGTTTAAGAATGTTTCCTAACATTCTTTTGATGGTTTTATAGGAACACCACCTGGAGATGAAATGGACTCCTGGAAACAATTAATAAATTTTAACAACAGAAAAAGGTAATAGAAAACAATAAGACTTATATAGTTATATCAGTTTATTAACTGTTTCAAAAAAAAACTTTAAAAAAGCCTTTTCATTTAAAAAAATTAAATAATGAATAAGATTATTTGATGAATAAATAAACGATAACACTGATCAGCCAATCAAATTTAAAATATTATAAATCACGTGATAGGGTGCAGTGTGCGTTCAAGGTATTATTTTTATTTTTATTTTAAGATGATTTGATCAGCAAATGCTAATTACTAAAGTATAAAAAAAATAATTTTAGTTCCCTATTACTGGCGTTTTGCTAATACTAATTAGTATTAATCTCACTTTTTTAATCAATTAATATTTATCTCATTTGTTATTTTTTCAGTACAATTATTATTATTTGGTTAAATTGAAGTTTACAGATTTTTGCGAGATTATATATTTTTTTTTAGTTGATTTAAAATTTTTCTTATACTTTTTTTCATTATAACATATAGAAAAAATTTTTGTAAATATATTTATTCAAAATAATCTTATTTAATGAAGCAAATATTAAAATTTAAGCCTCACATTTTCGATTTTAAAGAAAAAATCACTGTATTTATTTTTAATGAAGTGATACAAATAAAAAAACAATAACAATAAATAAAAAAGTTAAGTAAATTACAATGATCAAGAAGAAAGATGCTAATAAAAAATGAAGTAACAATGGAGTAATGGAAAGTAATAGAAGAAGAAAGGGAGTAAAAAAGAGTAATGAGAAATGATAGGAAACAAAAAGGAAAAATAGGACATGATGGATGATGAAAAAGAGTGATGAGAGATGAAAAGAAGTAATGGGAAGATAAAGAGGAGTGATGAGAGACGAAAAGGAGACGAAGAGAGTGATTGGAGACAAAAAGGAGTGATGGGAAACGAAGAGGAGTGGTGAGAGATGAAAAGGAGCGATGAGAGACAAAAAGAAATGATAGGAAGTAAACAGGAGGAAAAAAGAAATAATGGAAAATGAAAAGATGTAATAGAAAATAATGGGAAACGAATAATAAGAAGTAATATGAGGTGAAAAATAATGAGACTTTACTTTGAATCAATGTCAATTTCCAGTATGTGTTGCATTCTCAATAAAAATTAATAAATCACAAGGGCAAACTCTGAGCAGGGTTGGTGTTTACCTACCTGAACCTGTCTTTACACATGAGCAATTATATGTTAAGGTTTTTATAGATAATGGTGAGAACTGCAAGACAAGAAACATTGAATACTGTGAAATATTTCATTCTATAAATAGATTTCAAATTTAAAAATAACATTTTGTATGTATAACAATATTTCATATGTAATATTTTATATATAACATTCATACACAATTCACTTTTATTAGTATAAATATGTAAATTATATAAATTTATTAGATTATTTTTATCATACTGTAAATAATATTATTAAAATACTAAGCCTATTTCTAAAATATAGCTATACCATTGTTACTTTTCTTGACAAGTTTTATCCCCGGCGCAGCGCGACGGGTTACACCTAGTATGACAATAAAAAAAAATGATTATCTGAAAATCAAATAATTTATATTTCATGAATATTTTTTTTTTTTTACAAAATTAAGCGCCCAATATGAGAATCTTGTTTGCGTGGCCGGAATTATATAATAAAATGCAAAATAATATGTTTTTTTTCATATATAATTCACAGTGATCCATAAAATTACGTCTATATTCGTAAAATCTGATTTTTTTTTCTTTAGATAATGAAATTCCATAATGGCATGATAATAATCTAACATGAAAAAAGAATTTTAAGTTTAAGAAGTTTGAAAAAAAGAAACTCCTCAGTTCGTTATATGCTGAATGTAATCTATACTTACTTTAGTCAAATACCGAACCATTTCTAGGAAAATTTCAAGGGTAACATGAGAGAAGCTGCAAAAAAAAAGTGGTCTTAGTATGGTTAAAAATCATACTAATAATTCCTATGATAGGAGAAAGGTAAGCTAACCCTCCTCAAGGAAAGCCAGTTTCTCCTTAATGTTCCTTACTAGTCCGTTACTATCCATTATTACTATACTAAACTAAATAAAAGACAAAAAAAAAATACAAATAATGACAAATAACCTATACTAAACTAAATAAAAAACAAAGAAAAAATACAAATAACGACAAATAACAAAAATAAAATACAACAAAAATACAACATATATTCATATAATGGATAATCTGTGGTACCCCTAGTAAGGCGACAATTATCATAGAAAGTAAGTTGCTGGTTGTCAACTTACCACTATAGCGAAGAAATTCAATATTATCAATATCCGTTCAAATTTATTTTCAATTTTTAAATACGTTATACGCTGAATGTAAAGTCTAAATAAACCGTCAGAAAATATCCAAAAAAATTTATATTTCATTATCAGAATATATGACATTATTATCAATATATAAAAAATAAACTAGAAAACACTTCATACCATGATACTTATTTTTTTTAGCGAAATATCAAAAATTTTAGGAAAGGTCTTAAGCCCTTTTCTTTACGTCTTCCTTTAGGTATGTGGGTTGTTGTGTGTAGGTTTGTGTGTGGGTTTGTGCGTAGGTGGTGTATGTTTTTGTATTTCCTTGCTCTTTCCCTTCCCGATCATAAATATTAAAAAGAAGTAAATAAGAAGTAAATAAGAATAAACTAAAAGACACTTTATACCATGATATTTTTGTTTTTTAGCGAAAATATCAAAATTTTAGGAGAGGTGATCGTAAATATTAAAAGGAAGTAAATAGAATAAACTAAAAGACACCTTATATCATAATACTTTTTTTTTTTAGCGAAAATATCAAAAGTTTTGATAGAGGTGATCGTAAATATTAAAAGGAAGTAAATAGAATAAACCAAAAGGCACTTTATACCATGATACTTTTTTTTTTTAGCGAAAATATCAAAGGTTTTGAGAGGGGTGTTCGTAAATATTGAAAAGAAGTAAATAAGTAAGTGTATTTTTAAAAAGAAGTTTGAAGTTTGAGAGAGCTTTTGAGGTATATTTATATCTTTTGAGATTTATCAGCGTAGTACTATAAAAAAAAGTAAAAAAAAACCAGTATCAGTAAAGGTTTATGCAAAAAAAAAATAATAACCAGTATTGTGATTGCAATCTACCTCTTTATGGCAAGCTTTGGATGAGTCATTATGAAGAAAAAGATGGATGGATAGATAAATTAATTATTGAGTTTCAATTAAACTATTAAACTATTATATGTATACTGAGATAAACATGCATGATCTTGATATTGATCATCTTTATTGATATTTTCGACAACCGGATCAATGGCGCAAGCCACACATCGGACTTTATTAATTCTCAATTGCGACTAAACAATCAGAAATATATATATAGGGGTCAGGTGATGAAAAAAAATTTTTTAATTTAAAAATAACAAAAAAGAATGTTTATTTAATTAAAAACGTCGAAATTAATGTTTTAGTAAACGTCGAATTTGACTTTTTTTTTAATTCAAAAATAACAAAGTAGTATACAATAAAATAAAATGTATCGTTATAGTATTTACAAGAATTCCTTAATTCCAAATAAGATGTTATAAATAATTCTAATTGTTTATTAAAAGTTTTTGTATATTAAATATTTAAAAATGAAAAATATACTGTATAATATAAATATGATGACAAAATATTTGACAACAATCCAATATTAAAGAAAATTAATGTCTAAAATTAACCGTTCATTGCTAAATAATTTATTAAAAAATAAACTGCTATCAAATTTAAGTTCACATTGGCAAAAAAAACTTTAGATAGATTATTTCAAGTAAAATTTACGCGTTTAATAAAAATAAAAGACGAATTCACTACACACCAAAATTCTTAGTCGAATATACCTGAAACTACCAATATGACTAACAGGTAGTTTCTTTTCACTCATATTTTCATAATAAATTATTTATAACTTCATTAGTTCATCTGGAATAAATTTCTCGTATATACAGTACACTCATTGTGCGAGAATAGTATATTCGTACAAATTAAAGAATTTGATTGAAAATTATTTCTGAATTTTCATACCTAACCTAATAAATTACAAATTGAATAAACCTTTGTCAAAACTTGCAGCTGCCGATGATTATACTTATAATTATTTCCGGTTTAACGTGACGTGTCCTTTTACCTTTTATATGTTATTTAGTATCTTTAGTATCTGAAGAAATATCAATAATAATTATGCAATTATAGTTTATTTATAGCTTAATAAAAAAATATCAGCATGATGAAAAAGCACGATCCTATTTGGTCTTTCAAAAATATTAGTAGTATAGTACTTAATAACAAGAAAAAATTAATTAGTAATAAAATAATCAACATATTGATAAGCAAGCTTATTAAATAATAATCAAGAGATTATTTTTAGTTTATTTTGCAACGCATCTATATAATTCTCTTAACGTTAATTCTCTAATTTCTAATTCCGATTCCAATTATAATATTAATAATTCCCTAAACTTGTTGCAAAAGTATTTCGTATTTCAATTTCAAGTACACATCTCCAAATTATTGGATTAATTCATTTATTTGCGATTTTTCGAGTCACGTCTGATATCTGACGCGCGTCACCTTATCGCACAATAAAGTTTCTATAGTAAACACTTATTTTATTAATGAAATTACTTCTTTAATATTCTATAAGTAAACTTACTGTATATATCACAATGAATTACACATATTATAAAATTTTATACTTATTTGTAAAATTATATATTGTAAATCTACTTGAAATACTTGTAATTTCTAAATAATTTTAATGAAGTGTTTTTCATGAGTTTGAGTCTAATCAATCTAATATTTAGGTAATTAATTTATTACAATAAGCACAAAGGCTCATGAAATGGGTTGGAATTGACATTAAAAAAAGATTATTTGATGCCCGAATCTGGTCATAAGACTTTTGATGTTGAACAAATTTCTGAAGAACGGACTGAGTCGAACCGGAAGCTTCTAAAAAGGATACCCGTGTGTTAATTGTTTGGTTATAACTTAATGTTATGTGACAAATGACGCGCGTCAGGACGTCAGGTTGTTCAGGGGATCACATTTTTTATTGTAAAACCTTTTGTGATTGGCCGTTATTCTAATACACCAATTGTTATAAATATATAAATTTGGCCGGAATTATGTTTAATTCTGGCCAAAATTGAAATTTCAATCGCATTTTTTTTCATGTGTATTCTTAAGACAATTATAAATTATGTCCTTGAATTATTATAATACTTTGTATAATAAAATTTAAAAATCCGCAGGATATTCGTAATTTGTCACATGACTTTAAAAAAAATGAATGACAAATCTACAGTAACTGTTTCTAGAAATTCATGGTACACAAACTACACAATCGACATGAAATTATTTAAATAAAGCTACGGGTTTCATTCCTTTCAAACTTAAAATTTTTTCCTTTTTTTTTATTTTTATATTAAAAATAACATGTCTTCAAAATTTTTGGCAGAATTATCTAGCGACTACGAAAAACTTTTTGAAACTGAAATTGGATATGATGTTATTATTCATGCTGGAGAAGGACAAAATTCGAAGGAAATTCATGCTCATTCAAATATTTTGTGTATTAGGTCTCAATATTTCCGTTCTGCATTTTCTAATGAATGGGCTGAGAAAAGAGATGGAAAATTTATTTTTAAAAAACCAAATATTTCACCTCAATTATTTAATATTATTCTTAGGTATGATAATAATTTTAATAATTTATGATAAATTTTTTTTATTCTCATGATTCAAATCTTTCTAATTGTTATATTTATTAGGTTCATTTATTGTGGAAATATTGAATTGAAAAATTTACAAGGTCCTGATGTATTGGAGTTGTTGATAGCTGTGGATGAGCTAAATATCAATTCGTTAGTTTCCCACATTCAAGAATTTTTGATTGAACATAAAACTGAATTTTTACAACAAAATCCAACTGGAATTCTTGAAACAATTTATCAACATGAAACATTTACGGATTTATGGAATTTTTGTCTTGAAAAAATTTGTGAAGAACCTAAAATTTTATTCAGCTCTGATAAATTTATTAATTTAAAAGCTCCTTTATTAGAATTATTACTAAAAAGAGATGACTTATATATGGATGAAATTGAAATTTGGGAGAATTTATTAAAATGGTGTTTTGCTCAACAAAATATTAAGGTTGATTCAACAAAATGGAGTAAAGAAGATATTATTAGAGTTGAAAGAGAATTATACAGATTTATTCCTTTAATTCGATTTTATGATATTGAACCTGCAGATTTCTTTTACAAAGTTTATTGCTACAAAGACGTCTTACCGCAAGATTTAATTCATGATCTTTTGGAATACCACATTGTTCCTAACATAAAACCTAAAACTAATTTACCACCTTCAAGAAAACCAAATTTAAAGTATCATCTTGATTCAACCTTGATTGAATCAAAACATATTCCTATTTTTGCTTCATGGGTTGAGAGAAAAAATTCTTCACATTATAATATGAAAAATATTCCATATGATTTGAAATTATTATATCGTTCAGATCGGGATGGAACTGACACTAAAACTTTTCATATAAATTGTGACAATAAAGGAGCTACTATTTGGGTAGCAAAAATTAAAGATTCTACACAAATAATTGGAGGGTATAATCCACTTGATTGGGATGAAGTTTCATATTGGAAAACTACAGGAGATAGCTTTATTTTTAATTTTACTGATGGAAAAAATATATCTACTTCAAAAGTAAGCTATGTTAATAATCGGGAGTATGCTGTTTTTTGTCATGATACTTATGGACCAACCATGGGCAATTTGCACTGCAACCTGAATGGTTGGTCTAATGTTAATCGGGGTGATGGAGATCGTTATCCTAATATAGGAATTCCAGAAAATAATTTCAAAGTAGAATATTATGAAGTATTTCAAGTAATTAATAAATAAAAATCAAATGTAGAAAATTCATTAATGGATAATTAACAAAATTTTATATTTTATTGAATTCATTCGAAAAAAAATTATGAGGCCACTATTAATAAAAACACTGCAATACTTTCAAGAAATACGTGTTACTAACAAAAAAATTCCCTATTTTATATGAAGATATATATAAAAATATTTATAAAATTTTTATATTTAATTTTATATGTATGTCGGTGAACGTTGGTCTGTGAAATGATTGAATGATTGCGGTAAAGTAATTATCGGTTAGTTAAACGCGATCCAATATTTTTTTTCTATATCCTTGTATAAAAATACGATGCTACATTCTGGATATGGATTTACATTTCTTTTTTTAAAAAAGTTCTAACCTTACATTTCGTAGTTCACCGAAAAAAAAAAATCAATAATAAATAGCCACATTTTCTTTGTTAACCAAATTTAGTATTGCACAATTTTTTCTCCTCCTATTTTTAAAATTTTTAAAATTTTTAATATTCAATGGAAGAACCTTTAGATTTAGGAGATTTGACCGTTGGGAAGAAAATTATTGCAGAAAATTTTGCAAATTGGACTAGTGGGAATAAAATAATTGATAATTTCATTCAAGAAAAGCAATTAAAATTCGAAGGTGGTGCATTATTTGAATGGATAACCATATAATGAGTTTATTGATATTAAAGAAATAAAAGATAATTGTTTAACTACAGCAATATATAAGACTGGTCCATTAAATTATGATATAAACGAAAAGGAATGGATAAAAGTATCATATGACAAAGTTGTATTAAGATATTTATATGACTTACAAAATATTACTGACGGACTTATAAATAAGGTATTGAATTTCTCTATTAATTCTATTAATTGATTAAAATACAAATATTTATTTATTTTTTTTTTTTTATTATTGATAGATCGAATCATATTTAGGAAAATATTTTAGTTATGGAATAGGAATATCACAAAATCCAGATACAAAAGTTTATATTTTGGTCTTTAACATTAAATATCTTAAACGTTATTGTGTTAAATGTGGTTATAAACATCCAAAGAAAAGTGAAAAATTGTGTTTTCGATGCAAATTTAATCTTAAAATTGATTTTATAAGCAGAACTAGTGGAAATAAGAAAATTGATGAATTCATTCAAAAAATGCAATTAAAAATTAATAAATATAATAACACAATGTTTGAATGGATACCATACAATGAGTTTTTTGAGATTAAAGAGGTGGATGGGAAAGGTAGATTTGTTACAGCAATATGGAAGGAAGGTTTATTACATTTTGATGATAATGAAAATAAATTGATAAGAAAGTCATATGAAAAAGTTTGTTTAAAATATTTATATAATTCATATGATATTATTAATGAGTTATTACGTGAGGTATTAAAATTTTCTATGAATTTGCATAAGGTAATTTAAAATATTATTAATTTTTTTTTCATATTTTGATAGGTTGAATCAAGTTCATCATATGAAAAGTATAATTATGGAATATCTCAAAATCCAGATACAAAGGCTTATATTTTGGTTTTCAACATTGGATATCTTGATCTTTATTGTGATGACTGTGGTGGTAAATATGAAGGTAAATATGATAAATGGTGTAAATCATGTCAAATAAATTATTTTAAAAATAATTTTTCAAACTGGACTAGTGGAAATGAGAAAATTGATGAATTCATTCAAAATAAACAATTAAAAATTAATAAATACAGTGATACAATAATTGAATGGATACCATATAATGAGCTCATTAATATTAAAGAGGTGGATGGGGAAGGTATAGCAATATGGAAGAAAGATCCATTACATTTTAATGGGATTAAAAAGAAAGTAATAAGTGAATCATATGAAAAAGTTTGTTTAAAATATTTGCATAATTCACAAGATGTTACTGATGAATTTTTGAATGAGGTATTTAAATTTTTTATTAACCTACATTGAATATTAAATCACTATTAATTCTTTTTATTTTGATAGATTGAATCATATTTAGCAATTAAACTTATCTTTGGTATATCTCAAAATCCGGTTACAAAAGTTTATAATTTAGTTTTAAATGGTAGATTTTTTGATATTTACTGTATAAATTGCGGCAAGTATTGTCATGAAAAATGGTGCAAAACATGCCAAATAAATTATTTAAAAAATAATTTTACACACTGGACTAGTGGAAATGAAAAAATTGACGATTTTATCCAAAAAATGCAATCAAAAATTAATAAATATGACGACACAATATTTGAATGGATACCATACAATGAGTTTATTGATATTAAAAAAATAGAAAAAGGTAACTTTGCTACAGCAATGTGGAAAGATGGTCGATTATATTATAGTAGAATAAGAAGGAAGTATAAAAGAATATTAAATGAAAAGGTTTTATTAAAATATCTGGATAATTCACAAAACATTAATTACACATTTTTGAACAAGGTATGAAATTTTTTATAATTTATTTTAATTATTAATTATTATATATATTAAAGATTTTATATTTTAATATATTTTAACAGATTGCATATTCAATTAATGAAAGTTATGGAATATCTCAAAATCCAAATACAAAAGATTTTATTTTTGTTCTTCAACCTAGATATTATTGTGAAAACTGTGGTGAAAAATATAATAACAAATTTGAAGTAGATAATAAAAGCTGTGCATCATGTCAAACAAATCATGAAAATCAAAAAATTAATGATTTAATTCAAGAAATGAAATTAAGTATTGATCATAACTCTAATACATTTAATATGATATTTGAATGGATACCTTATGATCAGTTTAGCAATATTGAAAAGATAGGTAAAGGTGGATTTTCTACAGTATATTCAGCAATATGGGAAGATGGCTTATTAATATATGATGGCAGTACTTGGAAAAGAAAATCAAATACAATGGTTGCTTTAAAATGTTTACATAATTCACAAAATTTTCTTGATGAATTTATAAATGAGGTATGAATTTCTTTATAATTAAAATATTTCATATTATATAATATAATATTAATATATTAATATTTCAATAGGTTAGAGCATATCCAAATCAAAAGATAGAAAATATTCTTAAAATATATGGAATATCTCAAAATCTAAATACAAAAAATTATGTCATTGTTCTTGAATATGCAGAAGGTGGAAACTTCAATAATTATTTAAACAGAAATCGTGAAAATTTTGATTGGTTTAATGGGTTAAGAGTATTAACCAATATTATTGAAGGTCTTAATAAAATTCATCAAAAACAAATGGTTCATCGTGATTTTCATATAGGAAACATATTATTTATGAATGATAATTACTATAATGCTTGTATTTCTGACATGGGATTATGTAGAAAATTGATGATATTAGTGATATGAGTATTTATGGAGTTATGCCTTATGTAGCTCCTGAAGTATTAAAAGGAAAACCTTATACTCAAGCAGCAGATATATATAGCTTTGGTATGATTATGTATGTTATAGCAACTGGAAGACAACCTTTTGCTGATTGTGCTCATGATGAGATTCTAGTAATAAATATATGTAATGGAATTAGACCTGAAATAAATTATCTAATTACACCAAAATATTATATTGATTTAATGAAAAGGTGTTGGGATTCAAATCCAGAAAATAGACCAAATTCTATTGAAATAAAGGAAATAATTAAATTATTTTATAATTCACTCGATCAAAAATTTAAGAAAAAAGAACAACAACACTATGAAATTGAAGAACAGTTTAAAGAAACACAAGAATCCAGAAAAAAACATCTTTTATCATTTAAGAACGAATCAACTACTCACATACAGGCTATTTATACATCTCGATTACTTAATCCTTTTACAAAAAATCTTTTGAAATATGACGATAATAATATTAATAATACAGTGGAAATTACTGATTTTACAAAGTAAGTAGCGTTTTATATCATATTTTTTATTAACCTTAACTGATTCTTTTTATTTTATATTATTATAGCTTATAATCATTTTCTTTAATTAATGGCCCAAAAGCTCAAAGTTAATGATATCATATGTTTTGAAGGATAAGGATATTTTCAATATAGGAGAATTGTCTTCATTAAACTAGAAAATTTACTAAACATTTTTATTAAATATTTATTTTTATTATTATAGTGTTCATTTTGTTGTAGACAAGAATTATTTTCTGAAACATTTTTAAAAATTTAAAAATGATGTTTTTGGAAAAAAAAGAAAGTTACTATCAAATAATCAAAGAATTTGGAATAACAAATCCATATAAATTCATAGTAAAATAAAATTTCAAAATCTTTTAATCAAAACTCATGTTTATTATAGTAATTGTCTATATCATCAATAAATTTAAATAATAATAAAAGATATTAAATATTATTGGTATGTTATAATGAGTTACTATAATATCAATTGATTCAAATTTTCATCATCTTTTTTTTTAAAAAAGATACAAATGATTAAACTTTGTAATTACTCATTCATTGTAAATTAGTCTATCATATCAAGATGCTTTGGATCAATTTATTTTTATGATCGGTTAAGGAAAATATTTTAGGCTTGTTAATGAAAATAGTTTTTACTACAAGAAAGAATTTTGGATAATTTTAGTATAAATACTATTTCTATGTAAAATTATCATACTGCAAGCCGGGTAAGTATTTTCACTGTATTTCCCGGAAAGTTTTATGTTTACGTAAAATCGATTTTCTATAAAACACTGCTCCCCATAGGTAACAATAGGCTATTATGGTATACGTATCCTCTTTCTTTAAGATATTCATATTCGATTCTCTTTTGATAATTAAAATATCAATCCTTTTACTTCAATTAAATAATTCGAAAATGTTATTCCTAACTTATTTTTATAATGTAATGATATTAATCGTGAATTGAAATATGCAAATCTCTTTATGATAAGCTCAAATTTCTTTGGAAAATACACTTTCAATTTTCTCCTAATATAAACAAACGGTCTGTTTCTGTTTAATTTTAAATTTGTAATACAAAACTAGAGTAACTTGGTAATTATTAGTGAGTTATAATCATTATACTGTCAGATTGACTCGAAAATTTTGGGTCGGGTCATCAAACGTTTTTATAATTAAATATAAAAAAAATTGATTTTTTTATTAAAAACGTCAGACTTGACGTTTTT